AACAAAACGCGGTCCTCGCGGTCGGGAAATACATCCTCTCGCTCCCCTCGACGGTGTTCAACAGCACATCAGACGTTGAGAAGGAATGTGTACCGCTGTTTGAGGCCTTCGCCGCGGTCCTTCCTCCCGGAGGAGACATTGACTCGCGCCGCCTCGCACTGGTCGTCATGCGCACCATCTTCCGGCACCACGGGGGCTCATTCCGCTCGAGTCCCACCCTGCTAGGCATTCTCGTGCCGCCCGTCTTCGCCAGTATTCGTGACGTCGTCATCCCTGTAAAACTCGCCGCGGAAGCGGCCTTTCTCGAACTGTTCAACGTCGTCGACGAAGAGAGCGCCATCTTCGACCAATACATGCAGTCCGAGAGTGGGGGGAAGAAACTCGGCGCCGGGCCGAGCAGAGCGATGAGCGACTATTTCAAGCGCGTGGCCTTGAGGCTGGGCGCGCAGGCGCGCGAGAGGAGAGAGGCCGAAGGAGGTGTCAAGGGAGGGCTAGGACTGAGTGGTGACGAGGAGGAGGATGAGCGGGAAGTGTGGAGTGTCGGGCGCGTGGACCTGACCTCGGACGAGGCAAAGGTCGAGGAATAGTATTCGGCCTTGAGCAAGGCGTATGCTTGGTTCGCCATGGATGGGCGTTGACAGAGAGGTTGGGTGCAGACGAGCAGTAGCGCAGGAGCATGAGCAGTAGCCAGAAGGACAAGAGATCAAGGGCAAAAAACTTCCACCACCTGGATCGATACCGCACGACGAAATAGAACAGTATAATGTATGTCACGAAGATAAATAAAAGCCATTGATTCCACCTACCCGGATGCAGATGTACTATTAGTAACATATGTGATACGTTCTACCAGGCAAATCTACCAGAGTTCAAGGTGATGCAGATGAAAGAAGTAGCGATTCTTTTTTTCATTTCCTCTCGTCTCCTTGGCTTGGAAGCCATCGTCAGCCTTGCTTGCCTCCTGCCTGTCTGCCTATCTGTTCCAACCTGGCCGTGACGGGCCCACGCCTTCCATTCCCGTGCGGTACCAAGACCGTACCGATTCGATAGCGGGCAGGAGGCAAGCAGATATGTATGCATGCCAGTACAGTTATATACCCAGCCGCAACGGGAGAGAGAGAAAGGTCCTCCCAAAATATATACACAGCAGAAGCGGATGGCTTCGTCGACTCCCACAAGTTGTATTGGCTCTTGCACGGAACGGAGTAGGGGTGGTCTGGAATGAGTGTGTTGAGCCCTTTTCTTTTCCTTTCCTTTTCCTTCTCTGTCCCTCTTCTTCTGTCGCAGCGTTGCTGCTGCCGACAAGCACGAAAGTGAGAGTCGAAGCGAGGGCCAGTGCGAGAGCGAGAGGAAAAGCAACAGCCATGACCAACACCGACCGACTACTGCGCAGGGTGAGGTGCTTTCTTCCCTTCGTGCACAAGCTCCTCCTCCCTCCCTCCCTCCCTCTTTCTTGCGAACCCACAGTTGAACCGTGACGTAAGGATCGAGGGCTGTAAGTGCTCGACTCATGGGACCCCACAGTGTAGGAGTTTCGCATTTTTGGTCATCCCTTGTCTCGAGGCAGGTTTATTCTTTGCTTTTCCTTTTCTTCTCGCATCCTTACATTCTTCAAATCCCATCGGTGAAATTACACGGACAATAACATGACTCCGGCGCTATGCACTGCCCAGTTACCGCAACGAAAGTGAAGAGAGGCAGGAAAGATGATGAATACAGAGGTCTGGGCACTGAGAATCGGATGCGATATACAGCCTTCAGAACGAAACCTCCATGATCGCGTTACAATGAGCGCGACACTATGATTCGTGCCGCTTGAAGGCTGGGGACGGCTCCTCTGGCAAATCACCTGACGGGGCGTTTTGTTCTGTTGGTGGCGGCGGTCTAGATTATCACACGTGTTAGTCAAATGGAAGATTCCCACGAAAACACCATAGCAACATTAAACTGGACGGACGACTTACGGCGCGCTCTTCTGCCCCTGCTGGTTGTCGAAATACTTCGCAAAATCGCCCGGATCGCCAAACGGTCGGGGTCCCAGGATCCGCACGAGGTCATCCCGGACAAGCATCTCTTTCTTCAGCAGCTCCTCCGCCACGGCCTGGAGCTGGGATTTCTTCTCCAGAAGCAGGTCCTTGCACTGTTTGTAGGCCTCGTCGACGATACGGCGGACCTCGACGTCGATGTTGCGCGCAGTCTCCTCGCTGAAAGGCTTGTGCAGGCGTTGCTCGTCGTCGCGGTAATGCAGGTATCCGATCTTGGGGGACATGCCCCACTCGGTGACCATGGCCGTCGCCATCCGCGTCACCTTGTTGAAATCGTCGCTCGCGCCCGACGTGACTGTGTCGAACCAGATTTCCTCGCTCACGCGGCCGCCCAAAGTCATGGCCATGCGGTCCATCAGCTGCTTGACGTTCATGAGATACACGTCGCCACCTCCAGCGGGGAGGTATTGCGCATATCCTAGTGCGCCTTGGCCGCGCGGGATGATGCTGACTTTCAGAAGGGGATCGGCGTCTTTGAAGAACCAGCCACAGATGGCGTGGCCGGCCTCATGGTACGCGACCGTCTTCTTCTCCTCGGGCGTCAGCACGAGGGACTTCTTCTCGAGGCCGCCGATGACGCGCTCGATTGCTTGTTCGAAGTGTGTCATTTCAACGGAGGTGGCGTTCGCGCGCGCGGCGATCAGAGCAGCCTCATTGACGCAGTTGGCGATGTCGGCGCCGGAGAAGCCGGGCGTTAGCGCCGACAGCCGGCCAGTGAGGTACTCCAGGTCGACCTTGGTAACGATCTTCTTCAGATGGACTGCGAAGATCTGGCGTCGCCCGTCCATGGTCGGTCGGTCGATGGCAATGTGTCGATCGAAGCGACCGGGACGCATCAAGGCCTTATCAAGAACATCGGGCCTGTTTGTGCCCGCCAGGACAACGACTTGCTCCGAGGTGTTGAAGCCGTCCATCTCGGTCAAGATCTGGTTGAGGGTTGACTCACGCTCGTCGTTGCCGCCGCCAAAATTCTGCTTGGCTCTTGATTTGCCAATGGCGTCGATTTCGTCGATGAAGATGATGCACGGTGTGTTCTTGCGTGCGTTGGAGAACAAGTCTCGCACTCGAGAAGGGCCAACACCAACGAACATTTCGACGAACTCGGAACCCGAGACGGAGAAGAAGGGAACGCCGGATTCCCCAGCGGTTGCCTTCGCCAGCAACGTTTTACCCGTACCAGGAGGGCCCGATAGGATGGCGCCGCGAGGGATTTTGGCACCCAAGCTTTGGTACTTGGAAGGGTCCTTCAAGAAAGAGACAAATTCCATGATCTCAAGCTTGGCCTCATCCATACCGGCGACATCGGAGAATTTCGTCTTGACATCCGTTTCGTGGTTGAATCGCTTCGCTCTTGACTTGCCGATGCCGAAGATGCCGCTTTGACCACCTGCACCTGATGCTGCTCGTCTCGAAAGCCAGAAGAGGGCACCGACGAAGAGGATGGTAGGACCGAAGGAGAAGATAGCGGCGCTCAAAGGCACCTCGTCCGAGTAGGCGACGGGGATTCTCTCGTTTGTGGGGATGCCCAACTCTTGCTGTGCCTCGTCCAAATGTCGCTCAAACGCTTCGACGGAGCCTATCGAGAAGTAGTAATAGAAATTGGGTTGAGCTGCAGGTGATTCAGGGTATCTCTGGGCCACAGCGGATCGGTGTAGCTCGACTCGGACCCGGTTGCGATTGATAACCGTGAGCTTGTTGACGAGGCCTTTGTCGAAAAACGTCGTCCGGAACTCTTGCCATGTAATCTCCCGACTAGACTCGCCGGGGTATAAGCTGCGGTAGAGGTAGTACGTGATGAAGGCGGTCATGATCATAGTGCTGGCGTCAAGCTTCAACTCATACACCTTCGGCCCGCTACTTTGCTGCTGCTGTTGCTTCTCCTTGCGCTGCTTGCCGCCTTCCTTGTTCTTGTTGTTCGATTGCTCAAACAGCGGTGTCTCCTCTTGGGTCTCGTTCTTGGCCGATTCCGTGCCCTTCGTGCCGTATTTTTCTCGAACCTCCTTGGCCGTCATGCGAGACATCTTGGTGAAGAGGCTGACCAGCCGGACCGTCGTCCCCAGATCGATTCGTTTGGAGGGATCTTTCTTCCTCGCCTCCAACACATCCCGCAGCTCCTGGGGCATCCCACCCTTCTTTATCACCTCGGCAGCTTCGTCGACAGCATCGGCCTGGGACTTGGGCAGGCCCGTCTTGATCATCTTGGCAATATCGTCAATCTGCTGTCTCTCTTCGGCGGTCATGGGAGGGAAGTCTGAGCTGCTCGCTTGCTTCCCCTCTGACTCTTCGTCTGGACTCCTCTTCTCCAGCTCATTTTCGGGTTGTTCTGATTTCTCCGCCTTTTCTGCCTTGTTTGCTTGCTGCTTCTTTTTCTCCGCGTCCTCTGGCGGTGGTTTCGGATCCCCGGGGTTTACTGTTGCATAGGACCGTGACAGTGGGGCTCGTAACGACCTCGAGGCGCGGTATCTGGTAAATTGGGTCGAGCGGCGTGTGGCACAAAACGCGCACTCGAAAGCAGCTTTCGACGACCGCATCAATTGCGGCCGCAGGTAGCTTGCCGCCATCGCGGGCGGAGAGGTCTGTAAAGGGCGGGTGAAGCGGATAGGCATTCAGCGCAGGAGGAGAGAGGTGAGAAAGCTTAGAGAAGGGGGAAAGCCTAGATGGCGAAACGACGAGCGTGGTGTTGGTCAGTCGTCGATGGTTGACGCGGGCGAATTTGCCTGGCAAAGGGTGGATTCTCGGTGCTGCACATGGACTCGTCCGTGACTCGCACTCGCACTCGTTCGGTCATAGATTTGCTAAGTTACGCCACTAGGCCGTTCAGAGGCACCAGAGACTGCGGGAGACTGTAGAGACCAAACGCGAAGTGACGCGCGCACATCTGATCTCTTGCCATCCATATCCCACCCACATCCTGGTCACAGTAAGTTTTGCTGTTGACCCCTCCCTGCCTCGCACTCAGATGCGTCTCCTCCCATACACATCGGCTCGGAGTTTCCAGCCATCGTCTGCCTTGACCTGAATGGATTCCTTTCCAGCTGGTCTAAATCGAGGATCTCGCGCAATCCGACTAGGAGCTGTATGGAACCCACCAGCGTTGTCCTCAAAGAAACTCATGCTTCCACTGCTGCCCAACAACAGCCGCCCACGTTCAATCGCGTACTCCGGGGCGGGCTTGTACTTGGCAAAAAGACCATCAGTGTCTGTATGCGGCCTCGAAGATCCTCCTTCGTCGATCAGGTTGGCCACGATCTCTCCAACTGCGCAAATAGCAGCACATTCGATTTCCGCATGAGACAGTTGACTAGTCGTAGCACCGTCCCCACCAATGCCAACAGCCCCTATGGAAAGCCGTTCCCTCGCAGCTTCTTCAAACAACTTGTTTGTGGCCGTAACAGGTCTGTTGTCCTTGTTGGCGAGTTGCATCCAGCGCCGGAGATTTTCCTTCTTGTCCTCGTGTGCCTTGGGCCCAAATTCTCGAGGATGATCAGGAGCCTGTGCCCTCGCAAAAGTATTCATTACTCTATTCATCTTCGTCCGCTGTTCCTTGGTGACTGGCTTCAACTCTAACCAGTCTTGTTTGTCGACCTCAAAGATTTGTCGGAGGGTTGCCTGGTCGATAGGACAAGACTTCTTGTTGTCGTCCTCTTCCGAGGTCGGGCGAGGGCTTGATTGTGCTCCGAATCCCGGTGGTGGCTTCAGAATACTGACAGTTCCCGGGTTGAGCATCTGGCGCCGAAGGTCATGCTCGGGCGTCGTGGCTGTGCTGCCTGAACGAGCTGGAGAAGTTGCCTCACTAGTCCTCACCCGGTGCAGATCGGGATTGTGCAGCACAGTCTTCCCTGTCTTGGCCAAAGCCTGTTGTGCAGCCACGAAACTTTGCATCTTTATCTTTCGGTCGTATGGTTCCTCTTCCCAAGAGTGCAATATTGGCCCGCGGGCTATCTGTGGCGCGGCTATGCGTGTGGTTTGTTCAGTTGCTTGTGGCTGCTCGAGAGGTGCCGCAAGGGCATCAGGGTAAGAGTAGTGTCGGACAATATTTGGTATGTTACAGGATGCAGACCCGGAGAAGCTTCCCTCCATGTCGACAGCGCTATCCGAATTGACTTGTTGCAGATGCGGGCGACCCGGTGGGTTTGTAAGAAAAATTGCTCCCGGGTAGAGGCTCGCCTCTTGACCTGAGTGAATGGCAGATATCGGAGGCAGTCCCGAGTTTCCAATCCCACCCGAACCGGCCGTGAAGTGGTCATGTCTGGCAACAAAACTGGGCGGTGGACCTGCGAATTGCTGGGACAAAGATGCTAGCTTTGTCTCCTGTTTTGTCGGACTGATATCGTCTGGGACCATAATTTTACCAGCATATTGAACAGCTAGTGGCCTGCCGGTAGGCGCCCCGGACAAGCTAATGGGACCTACCACAGGGAATCCATGTGAGTCATAGTGCCTTTCAACCCAAGGATACGGATTCGGGTTTGGGTACCCACCACCTGGGACGACATTCCCTGGGGAGCTATGCACACTAGGGTTCGTGGTTTGCTGGACCTGCTTGATGATTGAATGTGGTTGGACGCGTTTAGGGGTCGGGTTGACCAAGGTGGATGGTATTTGGGCAGCCATGCTGAGCATTGCTCTGGGCGCCGCGGGCGCTGTGAGTGCAATCGAGGGGGGCGTACTGTCATTATCACCGAGCTTCGCGGTTTTCTCAGGCACCATGGGGACATTGTTGTCCTCGCTCACAGAATTGCTGTGCTCAGTCGACATGAGACGAGTGGGCGTTGATGGTGTGCCCTGGATGTCCTCCTGGCTCTCGTTGTCGCTAGTGGCTTCCGGTGTGTCTTCCAGAACCAAGGGCTTCCAAGCCTTGATGCCTTTGTTGCGGTTGAGAGGAGCGCTCTTGGTGAAGGCGCTCAGGGATACAGGTGCGGGCTTCTGCGGCAACTTGTGCTCCTCACTTGTTCGTCTCGCAGCAGCATTTTTGGCAGCATCGTATTCAGCGGCTCTTGCTTTTGCACCCCATTGTGTCCACATGTTGATATCCACGAGGACAACTTGGTGAATGCCTGGTGCTGTCGGAACGGGATAATCCGGGGGAGGCCGTCGTGGCTCTCGACCTGACTCCCGCATTAGAAGGACACTCTAGAGCTTGGATCTCTTGTTGTGAGCACGGCTGTCTCACAGTTGCAGCGATTATTTTTGAGGAAGCTCGGCTGCTAACCACCTGTCGTGTGCGTTAGCAATTGGTCATGTCAAATGAGAAGTGCCTCCGAAGCTCTGGATGTACCTGACAAAAGCCAAAACGACTCTCTGACAGGGAGGAGGCTCGGACAGTCTCTGCGAGATTCCCTCTCAAATTTCGGAGAGGGAGGGGAGAAATCGGGAGCGAAAGGGAGATGATGAGACGGCGAGAAGAAGAGGAAGAGTTTGTGGGAAAGAGAAGGTGAGCGAGGGTGCGGTCACAGAATATGCTGAAGACTGGATCCTGAAAAGAACAAACACCTTCTCTATTCACCGCGACGGGACGGGATCAAAGGCGCAACTGGTAGGAAGAGCTCGACTTTCAGAACGAGTGACTCGCCTCTCTCTTGCGAAAGGCAGGGAGAACTCAGCAAAGGAAGGCACGGCGCCACGTTGGTGCTTGCCTGCAAGTCATTCTCACATTCTCATCTGATCCTCATGTGATCCTCATCCGCAAATGTATTTCATCTTCTTCCTCTTTGTAGGCGTAGAAGACGATAAACATCGCTGGCAACATCACCAATTCTTAGACCAAGAACAATGAGCAATTAATCTTCCTGCTTCTTAGCCCGAGAACCATATCTCGCGAGTCCATCGACGCCCCCACATCAACAGTGGCATTCCGATGACATTTCTACTCTGGAGAAACATGGCATTGCATTCCTATCAAGGTGCACCAAGTCGGCAACAGAAAGAGCGAAAGAAAGAGCAGGAGAAACGAAGGGTTCGCTACATTATACGGTGATCTCGCCTCCGCCACCGGCGGAATGTCGGTATGGAATCAGCTGGGTCTCTGCCGTCCGAAAGTTGCCTCAAACCACGACAACCAATATTTCTATAAGAAGCAAACACCTGAGGTTGAGGATTCCTGGAATACTTGTGCCATGATATGGTCAGAGGCCTAGCTCTGACTCGCCGAACTACTCTGGGAGATAAATGGGAATACCATCATGAAGATCGGTGATCCCATATACAGAGGTGCGGAAGTGCGCCTGCCAGCAGAGGTGGTCACTATGATCATGGCTTATGTTGCATCCAGCAACAGCCCGGATACCCAGAAGTCGTTATGGGCTTCCTGTCTTGTATCTAAGACTTGGTATGCGGCTTCCATCTCACATCTCTATTACTCTCCGCATCTTTCTCCTCGAAATTTTGACCTCTTCACTCGAACGATATGCCCGCCTCTCAAAGCGCGCAGAACCCGAATCGGCATCGAGGATATGATCAAGCATTTGGACATGCGAGAGATTGCCTACGAGAGCTCCAACAGTCTCACATCTCGATTGATCAATCGAACAAAAGCCTCCCTGCAGGGTTTTCACTCTCCGGCAGTTACCTTCTCGTAAGTACATCCGCCTACCCATTGAGTTGATCGAGGTGTTCTGACAATCCCTACAGAGTTGCCTCACTCGCTCCGCTGTCCAAGTGCGCTAATTTGGCCCTGCTCGATATGTCGGGTGACCGATATTCCTTTACCTTGGAAGAACTTCTCGGTTCAATTGGGCGCCTTGAGCACTTGTCGTCTCTAGCGCTGCCAAAGGACATGCTGTGTGAGCACCAGGGTCAGGCTTTGACTGGTGATCTGCAGTGGCCGGAGAACTTGAGACTCCTTCATGCTCCGGGGTCCATTTGCAGCCGACCGCGAAGTTGGGACACCTTGTTCAGAAGCTGGCCTGCGAGTCTGACAACCCTGTGCTTCCCGGATTGTGATAATGCCAATGACGGTCTGTTTGGCAGACTCCACGACTGTCAAGAGAGTGCGAGTTTTGTGCAGCGCCTCGAAATCCACAACCCGCCACGTCATACGCCCAGACCCATTCGTTGCACGCTGTATGACATTCTTCGTGTCTTTCCGCGCCTGACGACGGTAATCATCCCTGATGACATGGCAGCAAACACGATGTTGGCATTTCCCAGCCAAGCAGCCGCAGTTGCAGCTCCCAGACATATATACTTGGAGACTCTGATCATCAACGTGACGGTACGGGCCTGTTTGGCTTTTGCAAACAACGACCCGTTATCCGGGCTTCAGCCCTCCAATCTCGACATGCTTTTCAAGCCTCCATGCCTTCGCAGGCTGGAGATCCGCGGGTGTTTGCTCGATTTAAGCTCGGAAGAGGACCAGACGAGATTTGAAGAGCTGTCCGAGCTACTCCGCGACCGTGCAGATCCCGATCAGCGAGACTCCTCGGGCATCTTTCTGATGCCCTTGATCTAGGTGTGACCTGAAGAGAGAGGGAGCTCAGAGACCCATCAGTCAAACTCCGCAACTTAGGTCAAAACTTACCCATACCACATGCTGCAAGGACTCACCTGTGGCTAAGTCAACTGAGCCGCAAGACGGACACCACGTTTGAGATGGCCTGTGCATGCTGCTATCAATCAACCCAGGAGCTTTGAGAAGGACCTCACTTAGCATATCGAAGCCTCGCCAAAAGCACAGGCAGAGAAGCTAAACCTATCTTGTGAACGAGAGACGTGTGACGACGGCTTTTTCGGAATTTCAATAGCCAGCGAGGACAGGGCGCAAGATCAAATACAGACATTGACTTATGCAAGGAATGAATCGTCAAATGCACAAACCAGCACAAACCAGCACGGTAGGAAGCGTTGAACAAAGTAAATAGACATGTGACTGAGCACTTTCATCATTCAACCCGTCGTGGTCTCAGTCACAGTACTGCACGCAGAAGGCACAATATGAAAAGCCTCTTCTCTATCGCATTACCAACGCAATATCTGTCCTTTCTCGAGACGGGCACGAAGTTATTGAACAACACCAACGCCAGTGCCAACGAACTCGCTCCCAATCCGTTCCAATGCCCTTGCAAAAGTGCCATTTGCGCCCGAATCCTAACCCGACCGTCATCAGCCGATCAGTACCTTACCCAGCGCTGCATATTTCTGTTCAATTCATACAAGGTTATCGAATTGAATTCTGAACTCCCTTCATGTGTTCGTACCGCGTCGTACCATACCGTGCCGTGCCGTTCCATTCCATTCCGTCGCATAACGTCCCTTAACTTACCTTACCTTACCCTACCACGTCGTCAGCCGAGGGCGTCTCTTCGCTCAGAAGATGGTCCCGAAGGCGCCGTCCGTGTCGATGCGCTTGCGGGGACTGCCTCCTTCGGTCTCGGGCTTGCGGTGTCTGTTGTGGGCGCGTGTCAGTCAATCACGCTCAGTCTCATGGTCACTCAACGAGAATAAAAGGGTACAGAAGTCTCAGACGAAGGTGAAGGAAGTACTAACCTGAAGGTGAACCCGACGAAGAGGGCCTTGGCCATCTTCTCATCCCGTTCCGCCATGTCCTCGAGTGCGCGCTGCTTATCATGCACCTCCTTGTACTTGGCCATGTCGGCCTCGTTCGAGAAGTCGTCGAAATAACCGGCATCTGTCTCGGAATCCAGCTCCGGCACGAACGGCGCCTTCTGCTCGCGCAGCGTGTTGAAGTCCACTTCGGCAAAGTACTCGTGCTTGTGGATCTCGTTGATGGATTTGAACCGGTGGTCCTTTGCGGCGACGAGACGAGTAATCAGATCCCAGGTGCGCTTGGAGAGGAAGTAGTTGGGGTCGTCGTAGATGGGTTTACGGAGCACGCGTTGCCAGCGCTTCAAGTTCTGCCAGGTTTCGTCGACGGTGGCGCCCGCGAACGGTGGATACCCTGCCAGTGCTTCGAAGAGCATGCAGCCCAGGGACCAGTAGTCGACGGTGAAGTCGTAGGTTTCGCCTTTGAGGACCTCGGGGGCCATGTAGTCTGGAGATCCGACGATCGATTTCGCGTAGTTGATGTCCTTCTTGCGAAGGGAGCGGTAGCCCTCGCGGCGTTGGTCGGCGGACCGGTCCTCCACAGCTGGCATACCGAAGGGGACGGGCGTGTTGCCGACTTCTTCGAGCTTGATGCGCATGGATTCGATCTTGATGGGCGAGAGCATGCCAGCTGCGAGACCAAAGTCTGTAAGCTTAACGTGACCAGTCGCATCGATGAGGAAATTTTCTGGCTTTAGGTCGCGATGGATGTAGCCCAGGGTGTGGAGAGCGTCAACGCAGGAAAACATCTCGGCGATGTAGAACCTCGCGTGGCGGTTGTGCAGGACGCCGGTGTTGTTGAGGAGCGTGCGGAAATCACCTCCAGGGACGTACTCCATGGCGAGGTAGATTTGCTCTTCATCCTGGAAGGAGTAGAGCAGCTTGACGAGCCAGTCGGACTTTGCTGCCGTGAGAATGTCTCGCTCGGTGAGGATGTGGCGGACTTCGTCGAGTTTGAACAGCAGTTTCTTGCGCATGACTTTGAGGGCGCAGACCTCGCGGGTGTCTTTTTTCTGTGCGAGATAGACTTGGCCGTAGCCTCCCTGGCCGACCTGGGTGAGGATCTGGAAATCGCCATGGCGGAGACGAGTGCGGCGCTTTCGGAGATTGGCTCGCTCACGACCGAGATATTTGTGCAACGCAGTATCATACTCTTCCTTAGGCGTTTCTGGCGGACCGGGAAAGGTGGACTGGAAGGCCGCCTGGCGGGACTGACGGTTGTGGACGTAGGAGAGCAGGTCGAAGTAGTAGTCGAGGAAGTCTAGGAGAGGTTAGTGCCCATCTTGCGTTGCAGAGCGGAAGGGAAACATACACAACTGAGTCACGTTTGCGAGCCGCTTGACCTTGGGAGACTGTAACTTCTGCATCTCTTCAGTTGTCAGACCTTTGGTCGTAGTGAGCGTCTTCTTGTCCGCTGTTCGATATTGCTGTTCGCGTGCATTGGCAGCATGGTTCTGCTGACCACCTTTGCTATAGCCATATCCGCCAACAGGGGCATTTTCCTTGTTTGACTGACGCGTCGGGCTCTCGGAGCGACCAAATGATTGTTGAGGCGGGTCTGCGAATGGATCTTGGTGTTCCTTGGTAGGCGACTTTGGCTGTGTTTTGGAAGGAGACATGGGAGCCAGTTTCATGGCATTGTCAAAGATATTTGGCAGGTCATTGGCGCCAGGAGGGAACTGTTTCTTGCTTGGGCTCCCAGTAGGAGTTTGTACGGGACTGGTGAAGCCATGGAGAGGGCCGCCACCGGGCGTTGTTGGGGTGTGAGGTCGGTCGTACATCTCGTTTCCAGAACGAGTATGCAGGAGAGGAGGAAGAGCAGGCAAGGACATATTCAGATCTTGCTGGGTTTTGGGGGAGAGGGGTGTACTGCCAAGAGCCATGTTATGTTGTCGAGCAGAAGTCTGTTGTGATGCAGGTGAGGCGGGATCGAGACGGCGGTGAGTTGCAGGCCGGGCCCCTTGTGGAAGAGGGAAGGTCAAGCGCAGAGCAAAGTGTCTGACTCTTCACCTCTTTCGCCGTAAATTGAGCAGCAAAGCCTGTGAGAGGAGCAAGCAAGGCGAGGAGCGAGATCAGCTGCACGGTGCTGGCGAACTTGAGGACTCAGCGACGTCCTTCTGGCTCGAAGAATTCCCACGACTGGCTTGATGTGACGTTTCAGGAAATCATCAACAGTGCCACGGCTGTCACGGGGCAACACGCCGCTTATCGATACGATTGGCGAGCTCGGTTTTCACGAAGTTCAATTGGTTGGCTACCCTCGCCTTTTCTCATGACAACAGCACCGGGCCTTACAGCATGGCTATCACTGTCGCGATACTTCCAAACCAAGGATGGTTGCCAAAAGAGATCATGATCCTCCAATCGATGTAGAATATCGCAATCACGGTGAGTCAGAGCCTGGATGCCTCACCACGCGAGCTTCGGCGACCATAAAAGGATGGAGATTCCTCGCTGAGCAGAACCAGCAAGAGGTGACTGCACTGCACTGCACTGTTGACTTTTCCTTTCTCACGGCCTTTCAACAATGACAACTACCGGCCCAATAGCATTCATCACGGGAGGAGGTAATACCTGGCCCTTCGCGTGTACTTCCTCGTCTAATAGTGACATTCAGCCTCCGGCATGGGCCTTGCCGTGGTGGAAGACCTCGCCGCCAAAGGATGGAACATCACCGTCTTCGACTTCGATCACGTCTCTGGCGCAAAAGTCGCAGAAAGACTCGGGCGGCAAGTCCACTTCATCAAGGGTAACACCGCAAAGTATGAAGAGCTAGGAGCGGCATTTGCCGAGACGCGGAAGAATTGGGGAAGCATTGACTTTGGTAAGTCGTGGGTCGAAGTCCCTCTCCACAGTGCGAGGTCATTGCAAATGAAAGTTGCACCAGTCTAACCAGAAGGTCACAGTCTTTGCCAACGCGGTAAGGTGGCTAAGTCCTTGAGCGGACAAAACAACTAAATCGAAGCCCGTCCAGGGAATCGGCGAACGCAGCAAATTCTACGAACCAAAGGAAGAACTCGCTGAAGGCTTTCCCGCTAAGCCCAGCACCTTGACGTTGGAGGTCAATCTCCTCGGCGTCGTCTACACGGCTTACCTTGCAATGCATTTCTTCCGCAAAAATGCGACGAAAGGTGGCAAGCTGGTGATGACAAGCAGTGCCTCGGCGTTGTACCCGAGCGCTTCGCTGTCACTGTATTCCGCTGCGAAGCATGCGGTGGGTCCTTTCCATTGTTTACGCCCTATGTCTTCCGAGGTCTAGCTAAACTCTGTGGAACACAATTCTAGGTCGTCGGCCTTACTCGATCGATGGGTGCCGCTTTGGTCAAGGAAGGCATCACCGTCAACTGCATCTGTCCCGGCATCGTTCCTTCAGGTCTCCTTCCGGAAGCATTCACGAACGCGCTGCAAGCGGACATGATAACCCCTACGTCGACGATAGTCAAGGCAATCAACAACTTTCTAGCTGACGACTCTCTCACCGGCCAGGTCGCGGAATGCAGCGGACAGGACGTCATCTACCGTCCTCCTTACGAGCCGGAAAACGAGGCGGCGAGGTATATGCTGGCCCTGCAAGACGGTAAGGTCGGCGCAAAGATTGATTTCGTGGAGATGGGGAAACATGCCAAGATGAAGAAGGAGTTTTACGATAGGATGGAGGATTCCGCAACATGACCATGTTAGCCATTGACAACAGGAATGCTCCGTTGTGAAGACCACGGAGGCTCGAGCCGTCCGTATGCCCATAGCCATGTCTGAGAAACGCTAACGCTCATACTTTGCATAAAGTCCCGCTCAGACGGACCTCCCGAATGCCACACTCCAGAATAACGATTCTCACGGCAGTTTCAAAGGACCCTTCGAGCTGTTGGCATGCATCGTCCCTGTGCCATCAGTCGGACCGCCGCAATGAAAGTGGATCCATCTAACCGCTTCACATTTGCCGTAGGCGCAGGCGCTCCTCAGGGAGACCTACGATATGGTCAGCCACGCACTGGCCTCTAATCAGCATTGTCATGGACTTACCTATTTCTTGTCTTCAAATAATGCTTTCAGGATCGCCTTTCCTTCCTCCACGTCCTCTGGGTTGTACATCTTCAGGCCATACGAGAGCATGAATTGATTGAAGGAAGTAAACCCGGCCTCCTGGACCATTGCGTACTGAGACATTGGTTTGCTGGCCGTATCGTTGCTTGATTGAGTGGTGTTGGACTGAGGCATCTTGGGCAGTACAGTAGCAGGACGATGGGTTGTGTTGAGTTATTGATCGATTCCAAAATTTCTCTGATTGTGGTTTGATTTGCGATCGAGCAGTTGGGAGCTTGGTAGAAAAGGGAACGAGGTTCAGTGAGAGGGTTCGAGGTCTGAAGAGAGAGAGAGACCTGAACGGGAAGTCGACGGGTGCGGGCAAGCACATCCCAGACCAGTCCAAGCAAGTGCGGGTTATGGATTACTTACGGAGTACTGCTGCCAAAGGCGGCTGTCTCTTCTCACTCAGTCTCACTACCTAGGTAGGCAAAGAATATTATCTGTGCCCGTTGAACGCCAGTGAAGAGAGAACCCAACTTCGATCAGGATCAGAAATATCTCCTCGCATTTTGCGTCATGTACTCCGTACAGGTCTGATATATCCATTGCATTGTCCTTTTGCTGCCTAGGAGGGCCCTAGATATAACCATACCTAGATATTGAACAGCCTCTTCCAACCTATTTGACCGCGAGCGGTTGACCGGCAGCCAGCCACTCACACGACTTTTCAATACGCGAAAAACTAGCCAAGCAGAGCGACAATCTACCAATTCATCTTGTCCTTGGCGTAGAGGTCCATATACTTGTCAACCTCCATGGAATCCAGCTTGGAAGCATCTGTTCCCAAGGCGACAAAGTCCTTGATCTGGGCATCATCGAAGTGGTGGCTCAAATGTCTCTTGTACTTCGCCAGAATCTCGGGCTTGGCCTCGTCCCTTCTCAGACGGTGACCAAGTGGTGCCTCCACAACCACTTCATCCAGCACGGTGCCATCGTTCAAGGTTACTGTCAGAGCATTTGAGATGGTTCTCAGTGCAGGGTCATGGTAGTCCTTGGTGAATTGAGGATCCTCAACACACTTGATCCTCTTTCGCAGATCCTCAACCAGGGGAGAGGTAGCAGCCTCACCGCCATCAAGGTAGTCAGTGGCTTCCAAGCGGTTGAAACACAGCATTGTAGCAACCATGTACTGGACACAGTGATCTCGGTCAGCAAAGTTGTCCATAGGCTTAAATTGCTTGTCGATGATCCGAATGCACGCTTCGTGCGTCCGGTTCGTGATCTCTTTGATATCCTTGGCCGATTTGTCCATGTCGGCGAGAATCTTGTATATTTTCTGAGCGGCCTCAACGGCCGTCTGCGAGTGGAATTCAGCCGGGTATGAGACCTTGAACAGGACGTTCTCCATGACATATTCGCCATATGGTCGTTGGAAGTCGAACTTCTTGCCCTTGAAGAGGACATCGTAAAAGCCCCAGACCGGAGCAGACAGCACCGTGGGAATACCGGCTTGACCCTGCTGGACCTTGAAAGCGAGGTTCACAGCTCTTTGGCAGGCATCTCCGGCAGCCCATGACTTGCGAGACATGGTATTGGGTGAATGTCGGTATGTCCGCAGGCTCTGGCCATCGACGAACGCCTGAGAGACAGCGGCAGCGGTCTGGCCCTCGTTGAGTCCCAGCAGTTTGCTGACGACTGCTGCGGAAGCAACTTTGACGAGGAGGACGTGATCCAGACCGACTCGGTTGAACGAGTTCTCCAGGGCCAAGCAGCCCTGGATCTCATGGGCTTTAATCATGGCCTCCATAACGTCCCGGATCGTGGGAATCTTGCCGCCAGCTACATTCCCGCCAGCTCTGTTCGTCCGGGCAATCCAGTCTGTAACGGCAAGAATAGCACCAAGGTTGTCTGAAGGATGGCCCCACTCGGCAGCCAGCCAGCAGTCATTGTAGTCCAACCACCTGATCATAGCACCGATATTGAAAGCGCCGTTAACAGGATCTAATTCGAAGGGAGTACCGGGCACGCGGGTGCCATTGGCGACACTTGCACCGGGGACGACTGGACCGAGGAGAGCAGTGCATTGTGGGAAGCGCAGGGCCTCCAGGCCGCAGCCGATGGTATCGAGGAGAATGTAGCGGGATGTATCGAGGGCGACGTCCGAGTTGATCTTGTAGTTGTGTACGTACGAGGCAATGTCGAGGATCTCGGGATCGTATTCTTGAGCAGGGGCGTTTGAGGGGTGCGAGGAGGCCATCTTCTGGGAGGTCGAGAAGGAAGAAGCCCACGCAGGCGCAGGACGGGGGACTCGGAAGCTGGATGTTGTCGGGCGGATGGCTGAGGATGGTTGGACACGTACAGCCGAAGCTCCTGCAGCTAATCTTCGCACTGGGACTCTCTTGAAGGCACAAGACACCAGCATGATGTGTTCAATGCAAGCTTGGTGGGAGCGGGGTGAAAAGACGCAGGATTGACGTCGAGGTGAGGAGCCAGTGGACAGCAGCGCTCACTTGACACTAGGCCTGTGTTCCTGAACTGGTCACTTGCTCACCGACTGACGGCACAGTGCACCAAGGAAAGAGCAGAGTGAAGGGCAAAGGAGGAGTGAAGAGAAGCAGGCTCGACGGGGATCAGTGGGATCAAATAAATCAAAATCTCCCAAGCTCTCAGTCTCCTGCCAACAACAACAGAAAACTACTGCAAAAATCTATCTACTAAACCATCTTATTTCACATTAACCTCATGCCTCGCCTCGCCTCCTCCATCAGCTAAATTGCTCCTGACCTATCGAGGCTCTCCTTTCCCTCAACATCACCGTGCAGCAACACACCGCAGCGTCCCACACGCCGATAGAGCTCCGACTACCTCGGCCATTGCCGGCAGGTTGCTCAGTCGCCCTTTGATTCGCTAGTGAACTTCGAGCAAAGCTCTGAGCTTGGGCCTGTTCAGCCACTTTCTAGTCGTCCAGGCAGGCTGGAAGGCGACCAAAGATGCCCTCCCAGCAGGCCCGCTATCAGCCTCTCCAAAGCCGTGCAGACCAAGGCGACATTTCCAATGACAATTTGGCCGCGAGCACACAGGCAACACACCAGCCCTTGGCTCTCCGCTCCGGTGCAGGGCCCGGCGCTGCCGCTTCCTCAAGCGAAGTCGCTCTGCTCCGGCCCTCCGCCTCCACAAAACGAGATTCTTCCCATGCCGATGCCAGCCGTGCCTTTGTCAGCCACAAACTCACAAAATCTCACATTGCCTTCTCAGTCCTCGTCTTAGCAGTCTTTGTCTCCCTCATAGGCGGGGGTGGTTATTGGTTCTATAACAAGGGTCTGATCAATGGTCAGTCTCCGCCATGGTATCCTACACCACGAGGCGGGACGTTGCCCTCATGGCAAAACAGCTACGAGAAGGCTGCAAAGCTGGTTGAGCGCATGAGCCTTGTTGAGAAAGTCAACATCACGACCGGCACAGGATGGGCAATGGATCTGTGCGTCGGCAATACTGCTCCTGCTGTCGATGCCGGCTTCCCTGCGCTGTGTCTGCAAGATGGTCCCTTGGGCATACGGTTCGCAGACCATGCTACCTCCTTCCCTGCTGGTATCACTGTCGGTGCAACCTGGAACCGTGGTCTCATGCGCAAGCGCGGTGCTGCCCATGCACGTCAGGCCCGACTCAAGGGCGTCAATGTTCTTCTCGGCCCAGCAATGGGTCCTCTGGGCCGCAACCCAGCCGGCGGCAGAGTCTGGGAAGGCTTCGGCAGCGACCCTGTTCTCCAAGGCGTTGCTGCTTACGAGACCATCCAAGGCATCCAGTCCCAGGGCATCATCGCGACAGCAAAGCACTTCATCGGTAATGAGCAGGAGCATTTCCGGCGACCTCTGGAATGGGGTCTTCCTGAGGCCCTATCTTCCAATATCGACGACCGCACTCTACATGAGATTTATGCTTGGCCCTTTGCCGAGAGCGTGAGAGCTGGTGTGGCCAGCGTCATGTGCTCATACCAGATGGTCAACAATTCTTATGCTTGTCAAAACAGCAAGTTGATGAATGGCATTCTCAAGGATGAACTCGGTTTTCAGGGCTTTGTTCAATCTGACTGGTTGGCACAACGGAGCGGTGTTGCCAGCGCCCTCGCTGGCCTTGACATGTCTATGCCCGGCGACGGTCTATACTGGCAAGACGGTCGGTCTTTGTTCGGTGAACAACTCTCGATTGCAGTGCTCAATGGCTCGATTCCCATGACGAGGCTTAATGATATGGCAACACGGGTTGTGGCTGCCTGGTATCAGCTAGGACAGGATTCGTGGGCTGATGAAGGTCCAAACTTCTCTTCCTGGACAAACGATGAGTACGGCTATTTGCATGCCGGAAGCAGCACCAGGCAAGACAAGGTGGTTGTGAACAAATTCGTCGAAGCCGAGACCGAGGAGAGTCGACAGCTCGCTCGGCAAGTGGCTATCGAGGGCACGGTCCTGCTGAAGAACGATGATTCACTTTTACCACTGAGTCCCACTCTTTCCGAGCTAGGTTCCTCCCCTCGCAAGAGAGTGGCCATCATTGGGGAAGATGCTGGCCCAGGGAAAGGTCCCAACTACTGTGATGATCGGGCTTGCAATCAAGGAACACTCGCTGTTGGCTGGGGTTCTGGTGCAACAGACTTCACCTATCTCGTTGATCCACTTACCGCCTTGAATTCGAGCTTTGACACGGCTGCGGTCGAGATAATCAGCTCTCTCACTAACAGTGTGTCCACAAAGATGAAAACAACACTGAACGATCAGGACTTGTGTCTCGTCTTCGGCAACGCGGATTCTGGGGAAGGTCATAAGATTTGGGCTACACAACGCGCTGACAGAAATGACCTGGAGATCCAGAAGGGCGGTAACCGGTTGATCCGCAACGTCGCTGCGGAATGCGGCGGGCCGGTCGTGGTCATTATCCACTCTGTTGGCCCTGTCATTCTTGAGGACTTTGCGGATCTACCGTCTGTCAAAGCCATCGTTTTTGCGAACTTACCGGGCCAAGAAAGTGGAAACGCCCTTGCTGATGTCCTCTTCGGTCGAGCTGATGCTTCCGGGAGACTCCCGTACACTGTCGGTCGGAGTCTTGGAGACTATGGTCCAGGGGCTCCGGTCCTTTACTATCCCAACGCCATCATTCCACAAGCGGACTTTAAGGAAGGTCTTTACCTCGATTATCGCCATTTCGACAAAGCCGGGGTCGAACCTCGTTATCCCTTTGGTCATGGATTATCCTTCACCACCTTCGACTTCTCGGACTTGGTCATCACAAGCCTGAAATCGAAATCCCCGCTACCTGCTGCAAGGCCTCCGCCAGCAATAACGCCACCGAGCTTGGGCGAGAAAATCCCATCCGTTGAAAGTGCGCTCATGCCAAAGGGCTTTACTAAATTTCGGAAGTTCGTCTATCCGTACATCTCTAGCAAGGACAGTGTGAAGACAGGCAAATACCCCTACCCTGATGGATACGATGTAGCCCAGGAGTCCAGTGCAGCTGGAGGCGGTGAGGGCGGTAACCCAGCGCTGTTCGAGGAGTATGTCCATGTGCAGTTGCGTGTAGCCAACACTGGACACCGGAAGGGCCACACCGTGGTGCAACTGTACGTGTCATTTCCTCCATCAATCAAGGAGCCTTCTACTGGCGAGATCGTCGATACCCCAGTCAGAGTGCTGCGCAACTTCGCAAAGACCGAGCTTGAAGCAGGTACCGACCAGGTGGTCACTCTCAGTTTGACCAGAAAAGATCTGAGCTACTGGTCCGTGGTGCAACAAAATTGGGTGATGCCAGACGGACCGTTTACCTTGGCGGTCGGGAAGAGCTCTCGGGATCTGGTTTTGGAAGGGACATATTGATGGGCTCAACAGAAGCTTCGAGTCAGGCATAGCAAGTCAGTACCGGTGCTGCGGACCACGTGACGGGACATGCAAGTACAGACTAGCCAATGCTTGCTGGTCCTTTCTCCATCAAAGCTCCAAAACGAGCTTGGCATGGCCTGACCTATTGATGTCGAGTCTGATGGTGTTCTAAGACGTTCCATCCTCCGCACAACCTCGGGGAATACAGGGCTCAGAACACTAAGCACATGGCCATACTCCAGCCGAGGGCAAGCATCTGTCACCTCTTCCCCGCAAACCTCCCCAAACGAAACGAGGAACCTCTTGTGACTGAGTCGTGGCGACCTTGGAGTACATCTGCTTCCGGAAAGGCTCAAACTGGCTATACTTTTGTTTGCGGTCTCTCAATTGGTCACAGAAGCGAGCCCGTCGCCCTTGAGCCGAGGTTTTCGTGCTGAAGCTAGGCCAGGTGTGTAATCGAGGTCACACATCTATCACTGTGGGCTGTCACACATAGCGTGGGTAGTTGGCCAGACCTCATATCACCACTTCAACCGTGAAGGGGCCGGGTGGCCTCGATTATAAATCCTATTAAAACGCCGGCTTCCCACTTGAGAGTCTTGTCGCGGTTGAATTCTGCTCGACTATAACCGTCTTGACAGTTGATTCATATTCCCTCCTTTCAACCTTGTCCCTACCTTGATTATACTTTATCTTGTCCTCGTCGATCGCTCAACCTACCAAACGGGCTGTCATCGATATTCAAGATGGCTCCGGATATCAACTCAATGGCCAACTGGTCAACGGATGGCTATAGTACGGATGGCGTGCCCCGAGACAGCTATGAAATCCCTGGTGGGTTTGTCCCTATCCTTCCCTTTGTCGATGTTGGGGTCTTGCAAGTGGCTGTTATCTCCCTCTGGCTATATCACTGCTCCGATCGGAGCATTCTTTCTACGACAACAGCTCCGCTTGCTTGATGCTTCTCGTTAAGCAGGCTCTCCACGACACTTCTAGCTTTCAGCCAACCCTGCTGGCTGTGGTGTTCATATCCCCACGCACTGGAGGTTCAAATGCGAATACGTCCGGCGGGCGCTCACGGGTCACTTCCTAATTGCGATTCGGCGTTGGCCACCCAAGCTACCCGCTTTTCAACCCGCCGAAGCTTCAGGCGACCAAGGCCGCAAGGCTTCCCATGTGCTGACAGGATGCGCTGACACGAAACGGATCAGATATCGTCATGCACGGGCCGTACACGCGCAAGATTCGCGTTCTCTCAATCGGCGCAGGTGTAACCGGGATCATGAACGCTTATCACATCCAGAAGATGCTGGAGAATGTGGAGCATGTAATCTATGAGAAGAATCCTGATATTGGAGGCACTTGGTTGGAGAACAGATATCCAGGTGAGCTGACTGATTCTGCATCCGCTGCCCGTTGGAATTTGTGGATGGTCTTGAGCCTTTGATTTGGGCAGATATTTTCTTACCAGATTGCAACATCTCTCGGCCACCAAGCTCCAGTCCTCCCAGGTTTCGTTCGGTGCTGTGACGTTGCTAATACGTGTTGACTAGGCTGCGCTTGTGATATCCCCAGTCACGCATACACCTTTCCTTTCGCGCTGAACGTGAGTCTCACCTGGTCAAGTCTGTTCTTTGGCTGGACCATTCTGACCAGATGTCTCCGTAGCCTGACTGGCCTCGCTTCTTCTCCTACTCCCCTGATATCTGGAAGTATCTCGACAAGGTCTGTGAGGTATGGGGCCTGAGAAAGTACATGACTTTTGATACCGAGGTGGTCGGCTGCTATTGGCAGCAGGAGACCGGAGAATGGTTGGTCAAGCTAAAGCAGAAAAACCCTGATGGGACTACACGTCTTTTCGAGGATCGTTGTCATGTGCTCCTCCACGGAACAGGTATCTTGAACAATTTCAAGTGGCCCGACATCAAAGGCATGGAGAAGTTCAAAGGAAAGATCATGCATACTGCACGTTGGCCAAAGGATTATCAGGCCGAGCAGTGGAAGCAAGATCGTGTTGCGGTCATCGGGTCAGGGGTGAGGGTTCTGGCTACCTCTCATTTGGACGCACTAACGACACCGCTATGCAGGCTTCCAGCATCCAAACGGTGCCTACCATGCAGCCGCACGTAAAGCACATGGACGTTTTTGTGAGGACAGGCAAGTCTCTCTGATACCGCTGGAAAGAGCTTCACCCCTTCAAGCAGCTGTCCTGAATCAGCTAACACACCTGCATTTCTTAGGTGTCTGGTTCGTTCAAATCGCCAACAACTTCGGCGCCAACCATGAATATACAGACGAGCAGAAACAGGAGTTCCGCGATCCCTACAAGCTCGTCGAGCATGCCAAATCTATCGAGGACCAGGTCAATGGGCTGTGGGGCTCATTCTACAAGAACTCCAAAGCCCAAGCAGAGGGACAAGCCGCGCTGAAGGCTCGTATGGCCGAGATGATCAAGGACGAGAGGCTACTGAAGGGATTTACCCCCAAATTCGGCATTGGGTGCCGAAGAATCACTCCTGGAGATCCGTATATCGAGTAAGTCCTCCATCTTGTGTTCTGGATCTGGCTGCGTCTGACAAGTGATGCAGAGCCATTCAAAAGCCGAACGTCGACGTTCACTTCACACCTGTGGTGGAGATCGACGAAACCGGGGTTATTGGGGAAGATGGAATCCACCGTGAAGTCGACACGATCGTCTGCGCCACGGGCTTCGACGTTTCTTACCGTCCTCGCTTCCCTATCGTGGGTCAGAACGGCGTCGAGCTGGCTGACAAGTGGAAGGTCTGTCCCGAAGGCTACCTTGGCCTTGGAATTCCCGACTTCCCCAATTTCTTCACTTTCATCGGGCCCAATTGGCCGGTCGAGAATGGCAGTGTCATGGGTCCTCTGATGTATGTGTCGTACTATGCGTTGCAGATGATCCGGAAGATCCAGAGCGAGTATATTGCGAGCATTACGCCGAAACAGGATGTGACGGATGCGTTCAATGAGCACTGCCAGGAGTGGGTCAAGCACACCGTTTGGGTGGACGACTGTCGGTCATGGTAAGCAAGCCTTGAGTTGACGAAGGCTTCAATTTCAGGACTAACTCAACGTTTCTTGCAGGTACAAGAACAACGAAACAGGCCGAGTCAATGCCGTCTGGCCTGGGTCCTCGCTGCACTATATCGAGGCCATCAAGACCCCACGCTATGAGGATTTCGACATCGAATATCTCGGTCCTGCGAAGAAGAACATGTGGGCGTACCTTGGCATGGGCACAGTGAAAGCTCTTGTGAACAAGGAGGATGTGTCGCCGTATCTGAATGCGGAAGCAATTGACCCGGACTGGATGAGAGCTATGGGTATCAATGCCGACAAGTTGCATGAGACGAAGTTGAAGGACCTGCAGCAGAAGCATGAAGAACAAAAGGAGAAGAGCAAAGAGACTGTCGAGAAGACAGCTGTTTCATGAGCGAGGGAAGATTGGAGTAGGTAGGGACTTTGGGGTGATTCGAGGACTGGAGTTAGATAGGGGAGCTAGCCTCGTCACGTGGCTGTGATCTCGGCAGAAGGGCGCTCATCAGTCAATGAGGGACAGATATGAGCAAATGCTACGAGGTATAATGAAACTGAAGATCATATTTGTCGTGTTCTGTGCCAGCCCAGTCCGTGTCTGGGGCATTTGCAGAGCGGGGGGGAGGAGACAGAAACCTTTCGGTGCGTGGTCACGTGCCGTCCCGCCTTGCCGCAGAAGTGCGGAGACAACGAGCCGCCAAAGGTAAACAATAAATTATTCTTCAATTGTGCTTCACCGACAAACAGCGTCACAGATATTCGCGGTCTTTCCCTTTGTGCCTCTACAGAGAAGCCACGTACACCCGCTCTCAGTCGCACTGTCATGCGTGTTTGCTAGCTGGATACCGACTGCCACCTCTCCTGATCACGAACAAAGATACCCCGGGGACAAACTACAAGCATGGAGATCCACTCGGTGCTACCAGAGGAGCGGGCGCGAGACCCAAAAGGCGACCCCTTGCCCTGGGGCTACCGCTACGCAGAGTAAGTTCTTCACACCATCATGTTTCGATGCTCCACCAACCATGATGACGTTCCGCTTGAACAAGAATCACCTGTCTCTGACTCGTCCTCTTCGAGCAGCTCCTCGCGCAATGCCCGCCAACAAGTCGAAGAGTCCGGTCCCTTCGGACGAAACAGGAGTATACGATCGACCGCGTCGCGGACCCCGCGCGCCAGAACCGGCACCACGCCCGTCCGGCAGAAGGAGAACAGCGCAGTCGCCGAGTTCGGAAGGCTCTTCGCGAAAGAACAGGCCGAAGAAGAGAGGCGGAAACCTGCTGCGTCCAAGCCCGTTTCGGCGGACGAGGTAGCCGCGGCGGAACGACCGATACAGCCCGAAGCCGTGCCCACGGAATGTTTGCTCTATGGCTACGCGGGCAAGCAATCCGAGTGGAAGGTGCTGTCCAAGTTCGAGAGGATTGTCTGCCCGGGGATCATCTGCGAGGACTACCCGCGCGAAGACCCGAATCTGTTCCTGTCCTCGAACTCGCCGCTCGGCTTCTCGCGGGCGTCCGTGGTGGTTCATCAGAATCTCAGTCGCGAGGCGATCAGGAAGAGCAGGATATACCATGGCGGCAACCATTGGATCAAGGTCACATTTGATTCGTACCAGGCCGCGGAACGGGCGTGCTTCTACAGCCCCATCGAGATTGATGGGCATATGGTCCACTGCGAGATGTGGCAGGGGCGAGGTCCCGCCGGGGATGCTCCCATTCTAGCTGGCCCGGCCTGGGGTGCTGAGAAGGCAGATTTACTACAGCCGCAATTATCGCCGCGGAAAAGGGGGGACCCTGGACGCAGCAGACCGAGAACGCTGAGTTCGGCGCAGGGGACGCGCGCAATCTCGGGCAAAGAATCGGCCCTCGCGGGCTTCGAGCGAGCTCTGCAGACCCTGCCGAGATCTCATACCATGCCGGATGTACAGTACGGTCAGCCTGACGACGAGGACGACGCCTCCTGGGACTCCACGACCGCCTCTTCAGCAACTGCCACCGGGATCGACGAGGCTCCTCAGGCATTCCAACAGCAATTAAGCCCCACCACGCCACAGCAAGGTCTGCGCTCTCGCTCCGTGCCCCAGCTGCCAAGCCAGGACCGCTCTCTCATCCAGCACAACAACTCGGAATACATGACGCACATCACGTCCGTCAAGAAGGCCAGATTACGACCCATCTCCGAGGCCCTCCCCCCGCAGCCGACGTTCGCAGAGCGCGTCTTGAGGAGCTTGCCGATCGTGTCGTACTTTGTGTCTAGCAGCAGCACGACCACGGCCCTAGCAGGCACGGTGCCAGGAGTTGCTGGGAAAGAAGCGCAGAGGAAAGGGGACGTCATTGGAGAAGGGCCCTTGTTAAAGGATGACGGCACTTGGGATCCGGGGAATGGCTGGTATTGGAGCTTTTGGCACGGTGTTGATGGCTGGTTTGGGACGGATTTCTGCGGGTTGAAGGATGACTGAAAGGAGCGTCGAGCTGTACGAGCGGCGCTGGGGAAAGAATCGCGTAAAATATCACGACCATGGCGGTTGCTGCCCGGCTCTTCAATCGAGCATGTGGGATTGATCCACATTAGCACCTGCACAAGCGACGGCGTTGGATGCAGCATTACAGCAACTCTGACCTTGGTTCAGCCGACGCCACGTTCACATGTACAACCGCCGGCGAATTCGCAGAGAGGTAGCCTCGCAACACTGATCAGAGAGCCTCACAATCACAATCATACCGGCGGGCTGGCTGGTGGACTGTGTGACCCAGCACATTTGGCCCATCGATTCAAGTCATTGCATTCTTTTGGTGGTGATTGTGCGTTCTCTGTCTGAGTGCTAGCCAGTTACTGTAGCTTCCACGCCGGTCTGGTAGGCAGAGCGAAGAGAAGCGTGGGAAACGCGATGCGGTCTCATTGCCTCTCCGCCCCCCTTGCTCTCAGGCACAACTGTCACCCCATGGTACAGACAGAGGCTTTTTTTTGGAAGCCCCCTCCTCAGTGGCAACCCAAGGATATACACGCATGCATACTTGCCCAGCACGCCACAAGGATTGTGTTCAATGCTTTTCATTTCGCCCAGCGCATCGCATCGCCTTGAACCGCCTTAGCAGGCTCAAACCTCACACCTCACACCTCAGACACCCCAATCGAAGATCCTCTCTTTTCTCCTTCCTACTCGACCTTGCCCTCAAAATTCTCGCCCTCGACCAGGTCGGGGATCTCGTCGTCGTCATCGTCATCACCCTCCTTCTTCTCGCCTTCCTTGCCCTCGCCTTCCTTCTTCTGCAGCGACTGGTACGACTCGGCGAGACGGCGTAACGAGGCGAGGCTGTCCGGGCCGAGCTGGTTGAGGATGCCCGGCACCAGCTCCGTCAGTTCCTTGTCCTCGCCGTTGCCGTAGATGGCGAATGTGTTGGAGGGGACCGAGGCGTGGACTGTAGCGTGGGAAACATGTTAGCAAAGATGTCATGTACTACGCCTCGCAGGGCATGTTTTGTGCATATTTGGAGATAGCCCAGTTTCGGGGCATCTCTCGTCTCATATCTTGCCCAGCCCCGGCCTGGCCTGCTGTCTGACACTGGGAATACTGCGAGGAGCTGTTGCTGTGCTTTTGCTCGGAGGGGGCTGAACGTACCCTTGGGCGCCGCGAAATGTATCACATTCCCGTCCTCCTTGAACATGTTGACCTCCTCGATCGCCTGGATGGGCTGGACGTTCATCTTTTTGAGAGTCGTCTGCAGCTTCTTGTCGTCCGTCCCACTGCTCTTGTGCACCTTCTTGGTCTTGCGCCGGGGTGTGCCTTTTCCGCTATGTGCGGTCACGTCAACGTTAGTTTTGGTGCTTGAGCTCGAGCTTGGATTGAGCTTGGGGAGGACGTGAGTTTGGGGGATGTGCTTGCTCGCATACGCGGACACCACATCACATAAACATCACGTCACGGTTGGCGGACAGAACATACCCTGCGGAACGCAATCATCAGTTCAAGCTGCTCTATGGAAACCGCACGGCCTTTCACAACGGCTAGGAAGACATACCGATTCGCACCTGCGCCTGCATGCGCTTGAGCTTCTCCTGGTCCATCTTTGCTGTGGGGGAGCCGAGCTCAACTCAACTCAAATCAAGCCGGGCTGTTGTTGTGCAGAGCGGGAGTCAAGAGCACACACGGGCAGACACGCAATCTCGATCGCCGCTCCGAAGCCTCGAGCAGGATGTGAACAGAACGAGTGCCACCACAGAGGGCGGGGAATATAGGTTCAGCAAAAGCTTGGAATCAAAGCCTTTGCGTCCTGGATGTGCACGGATTGGAACCTGCGGAGGGGAAATGATGGGTTCGTCCGACTGAGTCTCAGTGCTGCCCGTAAGTGGTCGATGTCAGTGGTTTGTGTTCCGGGCCTCTATAAAAGTCTTGGCATTGTGCGGATTAACCTCGGGTGCGGGCGGGATGGTTTTTTCCCGAATTCCGATCCTCGTGCCTACTGTGTACACATGTACGCTCACGATTGCTCAGGCACGAACGACTGAACGCATTTACGGACTCAGGTCAATTATGGGGGTGCTCGACTAGAGATACGCGAATGAACCCCAGGAAGCAGAGAGGTCTGCACGCGGCAGTTACTGTTCTGGTACGGCATCTCGACGTCCTCTAGGACTCTTTTGCCAACAAACAACAGGCCTACAACCGTGAGAGCGACTAATTCTTGTTCGCTGGGAGCCTCCGGCCGAGGTTGAGGTGCTCATACCACGAGAATATCTTGATCCAGAGCCTCTGCTAGCGTCTGTTGCCTGGCCTGAGCTCGAAGATCTTTGAACGAGGGACCCCTTCGCCGCAGCGCAGCCCGGCGAACGCTCTCTTCGGCGGATGGCTGTAGTTCTGGCGTGACCGGAGTTGTTGGGGTTTTCCACAGCTCTGATATCCTGAGGGGCTGCGCCATTTTTTTGGCATCAGCGGACGGCTGAGCGCTCTGGTCTCCATCGTCTTGACGTGGTATAAGTGCGGGACCTTCGTCCTCCGTGTTGTTGCGGTCGAATTCACCATTAGGGCGTGTCGAGTCTGTGTCTCTGCCAGTGCTACCCGCAAGCACTGTTCCGTTGTTTTTCACATCGTTCAAGTTTGCCTCCTCTTGTACCTCACGACCCTTCTGCGGCTCTGGGTGGTTTGCCTCAGCATTCTCGTGATCAGCACTGGGAGGAAACCGTCCCAGCTTCCCCTGCTTTGCGGCACGCGCCACGGTCTCTCTTATCATTTTTCGTGCTTCGGGAGAGAGGACAGAAGATGGCCGCATCGATGGTGGCTCCAGAGGTACAGGACTATCCGGCGGATTGTGACCGTCGTTGCCTCTTTTCCTGATCGTTTGCTTTCGACGCGGCGGCGAGCGGTGACGATCTGTCTCCGCACGCTGCTGCCTCAGAAGACCTTGAATCAGAATAGATGCCTGTGAGGCTCTCTTCTCGCCGTTCGGAGACTGCGTACTCGCATTGACCTGCCCGCGCTCGTTACGAGGTACCCGCAGAAATATGTTTTCGGCCTCCATGTCTTGTTCACCTAGGGTATCGTCGGTGTCGTACTGCCTTGCATTGGAGAGCCTTCTATGAGCGGGTGACTTTTTGTGAGCTCTTCTGCGTGTAACACCCTTCTTCTTGTTCTTCTCCTCATTCGAATTCTGCGTGCTCCCATAGGATTGCCTGCCCTCGTTGGGGGTGCCGAGCGGCTGCAGGTTCTCGGGTTGCGTATCTCGCTCATTCAGGATGTTATCCGTGTCGTGCTGTCTCAAAGCATCACGAGTTAGACCAGTTTCTGCGACTGTGGCTCTCTTCTTTCTCTCCTCCTCCTTCCCCTCCTTCATCTTCTCACTGTTCGCTGGCTGCGTGCCCTGGTCGACCTGCCTGCGATTGCCAGAGGTTTCGGGTGGAAACAGGTTTTCAAGCGTGCGCGCAGACTCGATAATTGATCCCTCTGATATCAATGATAGCGGCATCGAAAACATTCCGTCCTGGATTGTGCTGGAGGATAAAATGGGTCCACCATTCACTCCTCTTTGTAATTGAGCAGCGATTCTTTGAGGCAGTTCAGCTAGAGCTTGAGCTATTTGCTCAAGGGTGACGGCATTATCCTGCAAATTATTTTTGATGACCGAGGTATCGTCCTTGATGGCCGTGCTGATGGACCTTGTGTCCTTTTAGTCGGAAAGCCCACCGAAGAGGCATTCACCGTTATTGGCCACTTACAGGTTCAAGAGAGCCAGTGTTATCTCCAAAGAGGCCTTGTGAGACTCCAACCTAGATCGGAGCTTGTTCATGTCCTCGTGACCGTAGGACGACCATCGGATCGAGCTACCAAGCTTAGTTGGAGAGTAGCTGTGCAAGGCGGCTTGTATATCCTTGAACACTTCGGTAATGTTGCCGAGCACGAGCAAGATTCTGTGCTTAAGTGGCTCTGGCATGCGCTGTGAGGCGACCATAGCATCTTTGCTTAACGTATCTAGACAAAGATCAAGCGAAGAGAGCTCTTTCAATACGCCAGCCAAATCGTGAGCAGTCTCCTGCATTCGACTTATAAACGATCGGACGTCGAGTGAGAGTCTCGCAATGCTCGATAGCAAGCCCGTGCATGCTGCTGCGATGGAAAGCGGGTCAAGCGCCATCTCTGCTGGAGGGCTAGTGGGATCCGCCGTCACACAGGCCGAGAGCCTCCAGCAGTGCGCACACACAGCCTTTTGTGTACGAAAGAGCTCCTGGCTGCGAGTGAACGAGTGCACCTCCGCATGAGGTGCTGCATTGAGGCTGAGGTCGGAAAGAGGCAGCGTGATTCATATTCAGCATAGCGCAAGCCCTGTCTCATCGATAGAACGCCACAAATGAACTGGCTCAGTATTGGGGCCGAAAAAGGCTGACTGCAAGGCAAAATGGGCCGATACAGTCGAAGGAGAGCCACGGAGTCGAAGGAGAAACCTGTTGGGTGCCCTGATAGGAATTTCTGTTAGGGAAGGAGCAAGCTGCATGAATACCTATATACCTAGTATTTTCTTCGTTCGCAGTCCCAGCGTTGCGGATGCGGGTGGGCGGCTGGGTGGCGCCTTCAAACCCCGTATTCGCGTAGAGCGCAAATCCACGCTGTGGGGCACAAAACCATAGCAATATGCAGGTTTTACAAATGCCCATCTTGCAAGGAATTCATAAACAATAAGCCGGACAGAGTGATGCCCGTGTCTATAGTTGTGCATGCTGCTTGGTTGCTAAGGCTTCAGGGCCGAAACAGGCAACTCGAGGTTAATGAAGAACAAGAAGAGTCTGGCCATGGTGGTCTCATGGATCATCACCGGGTGAGGTTACCCCGAGCGACGATTGATGCCGCATCTCGAAGTAAAGAGCCATCGCAACCGCGATTTATTCGTGAATAGGTGGAGAGGAAGGTGAGCAGCGGCCTGATCAGGCAAACAGGCCGAGCAGGTGAAGCTGAGGCTGAGTCGAAATTGAGCCAAGTCATCAATTCCAGATTCAAGCGGCCGAGTTCTTACAGTAGCTCGTCACGTGCTTATAAGCGCGGGATAATTGGGGTGACTGGCCGGACAAACCTCGGTTCCCCGAACTGTACGAAGTAGAGTGGCACCATATCGCAGTCGTGCGCAGTCAATGTTGGCTTGCTGTTCGCAGTAATTAACTCTGCCCTCATCGGCCTGCGTTCACGTTACTGAAACAATCCTGGCATAATCACTGCCGGTCTTCCACCCTATACTCCGTTCTCCGAAGTCTCATTCTTGGTCCAAAAATGGCGGGAAAGCATGCCCTGATCGTCCCTGCTCTCAAGAAGCATACTGCGACGGTGATCATGGCACACGGATTAGGCGACAGGTGGGCATATTGAAGCTCAGCTTGCAAAAGAGAAAGATCCACAACGCTGACGCGAGACATGCAGCGGAGCAGGCTGGTGAGTCGCGTTCTACTGGAACCATACGGCGGTCCCGGGCGTGGAGCGGCCACGGGCTCACTGGACGCAGGGTATCACTGGCTGAAACCTGGAGACGGCGTGGAAAGTTTGAGGACGTCAAATTCGTCTTCCCCAATGCACCGAATATCCCCATCACAGTGGTATGTCGCTGGTGTGCTCTGGAGGGGAGCAGGAGGCGGGCGCAAATCAGCTAATGAGGCCGGTAGAATTTTGGCATGCGTATGCCCGGTTGGTACGATATCGTAAGGCGCCGCGAAGATGTTTGCACTCCTACCCTGCGTATACCTGGTTTCAGCAAGCGCTTCGAGGACAGCAACGGCTGATGAGACACTGGACGCGTCTAGACCGACTTCTCCGATCTGAAGCAAGCTCACGACGAGCCCGGCATCCTGCGCTCACGTACCACGTTCACCAAACTCATCACTGACGAGATCGAGGCGGGCATTCCGTCGAATCGAATAATCTTGGGGGGATTTTCACAAGGCGGCGCCATGTCCCTCTTCACGGGCGCCACCACACCGCACAAGCTGGGTGGAGTGTTTGGGCTGAGCTGCTACTTGGTTCTGGGCGACAAGATCAAGGACTTTGCGAAAGAAGCAAACGAAGCAAACAAAGATACACCTTTCTTCATGGGCCACGGTGATGCAGATGAGGTCGTCAAGTACACATGGGGACAACAGACTGCGGAGGTGCTGAGGAAGGAATTAGGCCACAAGGTCGAGTTCAAGACGTACCGGTAAGTGCTCCTCATCCACCCGGGCCAAGATCTACGGGGGTTTGCTGGCTGACAGCATTTGCGCAGTGGCTTGCCTCATTCAGCTGTTCCAGAGGAAATTGATGATCTGGAGGAGTTCATCAAGAAGTGTCTTCCCGCAAGCGAGTCGCTTTGACTAGATGACTCCTTGCGAAGCAAAGACACTCCTGGCTGATGCTCGGCCTGGTGATGTTGTTGATTCTTACTGCATGTGCGCTCACTGGAAGGTCACAGGCTCGGCGCGAAAAGGCGAAGAAAGCATAGACTGCATTCTGGTGGCCAGACAATAGGGGTTCAACAGGTGGTCTTTTGTTATAAACTATTTCCTCTTTCGGGTCTCCTGACCTCGATGCGATTTCCGCATCCCGCTATGTCACGTTTATGCAGCATCCTCCTTCCGCTGACCAGTGTAGAAGGCGAGGCCGTAAGTGTTGGTCTTGAAGGTGATGACTGAGCCTTTGGGGAAATAGAAGACATCACCAGCAACGGCCTAGATTTGGAGTCAGTGAGGATGTCAACGATCTCTATTGGGAGTAGGTGCTTACGTGAACGGATTGACCGGTCTCATCACTGATGTCGAATTCTCCTTCCAGGATAATCTTCATCTCATGGTATGTATAAGTGTAAACGAGAGGAGTGCCCTTTTCGAGTCTGTAGATGCCGCAGCTGATGGGCTTCTCAGGGTCGACCTTCTCGCTGCTTGCAACGTCGCCAAGGTAAGCGTTCTCGTTGGCAATCAAAGGAGGCTTGAATTCGGATTGGACTTTGGAGAAGTGAGTGAATGCTGGTGTGGAGCCCATCCTTGCTGATGCTGCTGGAGCTGCTGTCGGGATTGAGGTGAGTTTGCTGAATGGTGCAGGCGTCGCTTGAAGAAAGGCGCACAGAGTTGGGTAAAAGAGAAGACTGCAGACTGGTAGATGTTCGTCCAGGGACAGGACGCGAAGCTCGACAAGTTATATTTCTGAGATCGCTCACCTCCCACTACCTACCATGTACATTTTGCCGTGTCGGCTGTTGCCCCAGTCGTCAGCTAGGAGTTATCCAACATCAAACAACGCGGTTGAGGACAATGCCTCAGCAAAGCCCCGCGCTTCGACGTATCAGATTGCATGTTTGCTGCTCTGTGTCAGAGCCTGTGGATTCGAGCCAGTCGCCGGTCCGCAGAAGTAAAGGACAGATTAGAAGGTAAGTTATGATTGTTCAGTGTGGAGGGACAAAGATGCCCGAGATGGTAAAGCTCGAAGATGATTAACGAGAACGAATGGAAACTCACCGCGAGGCCTAGAGGGGTAAGTGGGATGAAGAGACAAGGGCCAATCAGCACATGTCAGTCTCCCGATAAGGGATGATAAGGCTGGGAGACTGGGCATGTTTGTTGAGTTTGGAATCAATCCGCCGTCTGGTTCGACATACCAGGCGGTTCGTGGTCAGCTCGAGCAAAGAATCCTGCGGAACGGGCTTGGGATAATTCAGCTTCCATTGTTCGTGCTTACATGCATTCATATGATGTTGATACATGAACGGCAGCGCAAACGTATCCCTGAAGAGGTACAAAGCTACACTATAATTAGTGGCTGCCCAACTGCGGCGATCTAATAAGAGGCGGTGCACGAGACACAGTAAGAACGATACTTGCAGGAAGGTGCAATGTGAAGATGTGCAATCAGACGAAACTCCCTCTTCTCTTTCGGGCTTTGCTTGTGACCGCTCCCTCCTCTGCTCCTCGCTCTTCACCCAAGCCCGTCGTCCAGCTCTCTCATCTCTCAGACCGGTCACCACTGGTATCCGTCGGAGCCCCAGCCTTGTCTGGACATGTCCGCTTCATCTCGCGCGAAACTCAATTGAGCAATCATTTCCCTCCGTACTCCGTACCGATCCTCGGCACACTCCTTCAGGCTCACAACCTCTGCCTTCTCGGCCCCCACAGCGCCCCAAGAAGTCTGCGATATGACTTGCCCAGTTTGCCTCTTGCGGGTAGAAATATCTTGCCGCAGGCGATCAGTGGCTGCACCCGTTGAGGGTGAGAACAACCTCACTGGAGATGGTCAGTCGTCCGTGTAACACAGCCGATCGAGGCCCCATCCCACAGCTTGCAGGGCACATGTCGCCTGCCGGGAGGGGTTTCGACAATTGATGTCACACAAATGTCACGAGCGACCACACCGGCTTGACTGACTAACAATAAATATATCTCATAACCATATCGACGATAGCATTCAACGTGGGACGCTGAACGCACAGAATCCGCCGACTCCACCCAAGCCTGCAATGCTTACAGTGTACAGTACCACGACTCGATCATCGCCCGCATCAGTCGAACCTCCTCAGTTTCAGGATAAGATCTCCTTTGGCTTTCCTCTCTAGTATTCTTTTACAGGGAGTCCAGGGACAAAGCTGCATTTAAATGCAAAGATATCCCTCTCCTTCGCGAAGGGTCGGACCCCACCGCTCACGACTAGACTCAACGCTGCTGTTTTCTGTCATCCTCGCATCGGCCTTGCTTCGCCCCCGATAGGCTCTTCTCCACACGCACCATGCAGTTCGATGGACAATGGCCCCTCGGTGGGATTTCCATCCCATAAGAACTTTCCCCTCATTCTCTCCCACCCCAACGAGTCCGGTGGCCTGTGGACAAGGTATCTCGCACGCCATCGTGCTCGGAGCGAATAATTCAATTCTGGCTGAGTCTTTCGACCGTCCTACTGACGAACTACATTTTTAGCCCTCTTCGTGTTCGTGTTTTCCACCTTGCGCCCGCCGAGCCATAGATCCTGCCGAACACAGCGTGGCACGCCGTCCCAAAAACTGCACGACCATGGGCCTCACCACTGTGGCATGATGCCATCATGCCTTTTCGCCTCTTACTGCAAGCCCCATACCTTATTGTCCTGCTAGACGAGGCATAGCCTGTGGTCCGAGCCTCGAAAGGCACACTACTAACCTCCCATCATTCCATCCGAGTCTATCCATCTTCTCCATCGCGAACCACCGATACACACTACTTCCGGCTCAGAGCAGAACTCTCATCCCAAGACAAGGCCTGAGCTTGCTCTTTGCTCCTAGCCCTCATATTTTTACTCCTTTGAACAGATCTCGAAACTCCACTTCTGGGGTCTCCTTGGTGACTCGATCGCAGGAACCTGTCGAACTCTTCTCCCAAAGCCTCATTGACCGTGATACTTGGCCTGCCGCGCCTCTGCTCCCACTACTACGAAAAGACTGCCGGCCTTGACCCACGATTGCGACTCTTCTCTCTTGACCGCTTACGAGAACAGAAAGATAGTTCAGTCCCGGACCAAAGCAACGTCAAGAAGTTTCGGCTACGTGCTGACCAGCGAACAAAGACAAAACCCAGCTTCCCCACACTTTTGCCTCCGCTCGTCCACCTTCTACAATCCATCTCTCTTTTCACCACCGATTTCTATAGCTTAGGGGCCAAGAACAGAAAATCTACACTTATTACTTCTATACCATACTCATCCTGTTCCCTTCGACCTCTACACGGAGCTCTAGACCGGTTCTGGACGTGACTGAACGACGAGCCGACAGCACCAACTGGATCTCTGGAAAAGTGCAATCGCAAAAACCCCAAAAACTCTGATCCCAAGGCGACACCGAGAACAGACGACAAACCACAACCCGCGCGTGAAAAGGCCGCCAACTCCAAAGCAGCAGCAACAAGAAACCGGGGACTGTGACATACCTATCCGTGAAAACTGGAGGCCCCCACGTCCTGTAAATATTCCTTCGCGACATACCAGAAGCGACAAGAGCACCGATAAACCAGGCCGGCAGTAAAGATTTTGACCAGATCGGGAGAACTCCACTGCGACTTGGACCGTAAGAAAAGCAGCCATCCGCGCCATATGCAGCATAGCCTATAGGTACAGAAAGATCCTTGGAGCGCCGACATCGTTAACCTTTGGCGACAATGGGGACCTGACGTCGCTGTACTTTTCCTGACCATATATCCTTGCGCGACATCTCTGGGTTGGAAACTTTGATATCGTTTATTATCGCCCACGCTACATTCACGCACGCTATCGACATTCCCTTCAAGGCCATACGACGTTCCAGACCGGCGTTGCATCAAGCCATAGCAATAAATGTACGCCTCACGCCAAAAGTCAATTTCGATAAATCTTGCGGAGACGCCGTACTCGTAACGCTTTACCCGATATCGCAAAGAAGAGCCTGAGCACACCCGGATTACCAAAGCAGTAGTACTCCCAGAGCATCTTTACACCAAAGCCACAAGCGATCCCTGGCACCACAGACCTAAGCGCCAAAGCACCATCGCACGTCGGGAGCATTGACCCAGCCCAGCCCAGCCCAGCCAGCCGCCCTCCGTCAACGCCACCAGAACCCTCAACCCCAAAGCGCCGCGCAAAACGACAAGTCATAAGTTCAGTGCTAGAAATTCCACATCTCGTCACCCGAGGCATGAAAAGCGCCCCAGTCATCCCAAGCGCACACCCAAGAACCGCAGCCTGATTGCTATCCCAATCATACCTCGAAACGGTCAAATCTCCCATCAGAAAAGTCGACAGCAAAACAACGAAAATGTCGGCCTCGTTGGAGCTGCACCCTCAAAGCAAGCGGAACAAACCGACTCCCACTCTCACTGCACCTCTGTCACCCGTCGCCATGTCGAGAATGAGCCAGAGTGCCGAGCTCGATGAGTATACGGCCAGTATGCGGAACTATCTGGCCAGCATCGAGAACGTGGCCGGTGCTAATCGGAAGAGAGCCACGGACCACGACGCCAACCGAAGCAAAGGGAGAACTGAAAGTGGGAGTGGCAGCGGAAGGGAGAAGTCGCCCGAGACCCGTTGGATGGATCTCGCTAGCTTGAGGAAAGAGCATGGAAACGTGAGCCACGGTCTCCCTGCGGCGAGTGAGAACCGGGTATCCAAGAGTGTCGCCAAGTCGATCAATCACCATCACCATGCTCTAAAAGATGCACGCCAGCATCACCGTGACCATCGACCCGCCAGTCCTGCGGGAAAGGCAATGTCCAGCAAGAGACATCCGGTACATGCGGGTGTGAAATCAACCGAGAAAAACTGAAAGCGGCACGTTAGCTCTCTTCACGTGACCATTAAATCGCGAGGACGAGGGGTGAAAAGAGCACCAGCATGAAGGGGAGGAATGCGGCGTACCTTCCCAGTCTCGATCGGCCATGACGCCTAGCCAGTGCAGATGGCCTCTCACTGTGTACTCGCGTTCCAGTTGGTCTGGCGAGATTATGTCGCTCGTTTGGCGTCGAGGCGTCGAGATAGATGGCATATTCAACGACATGCTTGGCATCCTATTTCCATTTCCCGTGGTATCTGTGGTCACGCGACGTCTGAGTGGCCTCCCAGCTGAATCCGGCTCTTCCAATCCGCCAGACTGCTGATGTTGAGGTTGGTTCTGGTTGCGAACGAACAGTCCGTTGTGAGGCATGGCAGCGGAATCGATCGTATGTGCCTTCCTCTTCAGCCCAGGTGGAATCTCCAACACGGGTGGCACAAAGTTGCCACCTGGGACACCACGACTTGCGTATTGTCTGAGTAGTCTGTTTGCCTTTTCACTCTCATACGTATCTCTGCGGTGCCAGACTTCTTGTACAACACTCCAACACGAGCTCACATTGCCAATTTTGAGCCGGGTAATCATGGCTGCCCAGCGCTGTGTCACCCAATTTCTGTCCTCCGGGTCCGTTACTTCGCAGCTGGCTGCGAAGAGGGGGAAGATTTGGACAATCGTCGCTCGCGACGATAGGGGAACAGAAGCCAGTGTCACCAGTACCTTTTTGGCCAGCGAAAATGCTGGATCACTGGGGATTTCGGGAACCGCCTGATGAAGATACAGCAATGTAGCGTATCGATAGGCTTCAGCCGTTTGAATCGAGTGCTGAACCTCTGAGTTGGGGTCTTCTGGTCGCTCAAAGACCAAAAGATTAGGCACTTGCCATTGTTGTAACTGTTCCTTGAGCTCCATGGCGGTTGAGACAACAGTGAGAGAGTTCGACTCCGTCTTACGTACACGCTGGATGAGATTCGCAACGCGACCAATTAAGGGGAAGAGGGTTGTGGCACAACCCATCAGCGGATCGACCTCGACTTGATCCCCATATGACGCATTGACAGTTGTGAGGATCTCCTCGAAATTGAGCTCATGGGCTTCCTCTATGGACGTCAAGCGAGCGATAACATCCATATAGACAAAAGTGTTGCAGAGAAATTTGAGTCTGTTGGCATCTTGGGTCGTCATCTGCCCCAGCTGCATGTCGCGCCTGTGTTTGACCACTGCATTATTGACCATGACTTTTGCGCCGCGAAGGTGCTGCACACCTGTGCTCACATGACGATCCCACCCTTCGCCGAAAGCTAGGGCCAAAGAAGTTGCCAGTGCCGAGTCCAAGCGCATGTTCTCAATCTCGGACGCGAGCCGCTTGATGGCCTTCGTCATATGAGCCATCCCAGGTACGTGCAAATTCGGCATCTCATGTGCGCCATGGAAAGCCGTCATGGATGAAATAGCATGGTACAGTGCTGGAGACTCTCGAGCGAGCGGCCAAATCAAAGTGCGCCACGGGTTTTCTGTCGGACCGTCCTTAACAGACAGAATACCGCAGGTCTGTCTGTCGAAGCGCAGCATGAGCATCTCCGGTGATGAGGCATCGAGTGAGGGCTGAGCGAGTAGTGTCATGTCGCTGGATCTTGAGGACGCGGTAGACGTCTCGCTTGGTGTGGGTGAAGATGCACGGAATGCCTGGAACTCGGGATTGGGGAAAGCGCCATCCGGAAGTGACGAGGGCGTGGGAAGCTGGATGGCGGCAGACGTAGCGATGGCGTCAGATCTAATGATCTCTTCGTCGAAGTCCTCCTCCATTTGCATCTCGGGGGGCAGAGACATTGGCGGATGTATTTCCCGTGGGCTCGATGGCTGGACCATATCTGTATCCGACAAAAGAAGATCGAGCATCTTGGGAGAGCCCGGTGAGAGTGACTTGGCACTATTATTGTCGTTGATAGAAGACCCCGTTGTGGTGGTAGTCAGGCTGTATGGATCAATTGCGTCGCCAAATGCTACACCTGGAGAGATGTCTCCGACCTCAAATGCAGGCATGAAAACGGAGTCTGGCGTCAAATCCAATGGTGGAGACTGTCCGTTGCTAAAGTGGAATTCTGCCTGTCTGTCTGGACTTGAGCCCAGGCTCTGGTCTTGCCCTTCATGCTGATCTTGAAATGCATGAGCTGCTGTTTCGAAAGCAGAATGCAACCCTGGTGACCATGTCTGCGAAGGGTGGGAGGGATCGACGACGACATGGGTGGACTCCAATCGCCCGCCGCCAGTGATATGAAGGGGCTGTGTAACGTTTTGACTTGTAGAGAACGAATTCGATCGTACCACCTTTCTCCTCGCAGCAGGTCGCGGCGCAAAGGTGGTTTCCTCGAATGTCCTCCATTTGTAGTCTTTCTTATAGCCTTCGCACACCACGCTTCGCTTCTGGCATTGCACACAGGAGGGTTTTGTCTCGTCACATTTCAGCCGTTTCTTCTTGCATGTCATGCAACCTTCAAGCGAAATAGGTCAGCTGAGCAACTCTTGCATGAAGGTGAGCCCGTGGGTGCTTATGCTGCAGTAAAGGGTGTATAGAACCGCGACACATACCATTTCGGCTCTTGCTCTGCTTAGGTTTCGTCACCGCCCCATCTTGAACCGACTTGTTCGCTGGTTTAGGAGGAGCATTGACTTTGGGTTTTGTGATGGCCGCTATCTTCGGTTGCACAACCGGCGCTGGAGTAATGATGGGAGACTTTCTTAGGAAAACGGACGGAGAAGGGATCTGGACCTCCATGCGATGCTGGCAATGACAGGCGACATGGACCCGCGCAAAGAACCGTCAACCTCGACCAAGGCCGAGCAGTATGTGTGGTCCGCGGGTGCAGGATATGTGTCGTGGGAACTGGAACCCAAGCGGGGAAACAAATTGGTGCGAAAAGAGCGCAGGGTCGCTTCTAGCAGTCCTGTATCGAGGATTGAACCAAATCAAGAAACACCAAAGGGAAGACGACTAAAAGACTGTTCAGAATGCTAGAGATGCGAAGGAGGGGAATCTGGCGACGGCAGAATTAAGAGAGTAAGGTAGCAGTGCGTTCGTGCTGGCGGGTAATGCCAGCGTGACTTGGGAGCTTGTCGGGATGGAAGCCAATAAGCGCAACGGCATCTGGGCTGATCAAGAGCATCAGAGGCAGCAGACGGCGACGGGAGAGAAGCCAAAGGCCAGAGGCAAAGTGTGAGCGGTGATGTCCAGACTTACCTGCGAGTTGCTGCAACTGCGAGTGGCTGAGGAGCAAGTGAGAAAGAGGGACCAAGCGACCAAGCCGGATGAGACCCTGTTTGATGATTCTGAACCCGTTCCGTTATCTATGGCGAGATACGCGAAACCCGGAGAGGCTGTCATGGTCCCTTTCGCTACCTCCCAGTCAGCTGAGGCCACACATCGCAAGTTTTGGCGACGGAGCTTTCACCCGTGCTTCCGCCGCCCTGCTGCAGGAATGGACAGGCGCTCAACAGGGTGATAGAGGATACTGGTACTGTACCTTCTCCTCGAAACTTGGGGTAGAGGCCCCCACGCCCGCACAGTGAGGGGCACCCTGGCCACCACGGGCGCCCACTACCTATAATGCGGTGGCTTCACGAGGCTGATGCTATGCCTACGACATGGCCTGGGCGTGATCCACTCCTTCTCAGTGTCCGTTGAGACGGTGGCGTCGCAGCCCCGCAGCGCAGGCGAATAAACACGCAGCATTTGCAACGTCCGCTCATCTTATCGCGCGCAGCTGCAGACGCCTTTTTGGAAGACCTGTTGTTGGGTCAATGTCACACCGAAATCACCATCCAGACTATCGGAATGAGACCTCCCACCTCTATATTCGACCTCATGTCGCAGACAGCCGTCCTACAGGAAGCCTGAAGGCATCTTGCCTAACCTCGAGCACGTTCGCTTCTCAACCCCGGGAGGGGAGCGGTTCCGCACACGTAATGCACAAGATTATGCCCACAGCCTCCCAAGGTGGAGTATATCTGCGAGGGTTGGAGTTGCACAAGAGTCAAGACACGGCAGAATCGACCACGTAGTCATGGAAATTCCAAATTGCCAGGGGTCATGTATGTTACACAGCGCTGCTCATCTGGTCTGGCATTCGCAGGCCCAGCTGATCAAGCGGCGGGCAGCACGAGAAGGTGCAGAAGGGCCAATATCGCAAGGCGACGTCTCAAGTGGCTGTCTGCAGTGGCCAACCCATATCCTTGAGCAGGACGATCGCTTGTGTTCCCTTGCAAGCCTTCAGCCTGGTCCCACCCGTCAGTGCTGCTCTGTGTATCTGGCTATGGAGACACACGTGCAGTGGAATCTGCGCTCTTGACGCCTATATAAGGCCTTTCCTCAATGACACCCTTCAAGACGAATCAATGACTATTGTGGCTCGCCATGGAGGATACGGCATGCCTCATCGCTGTCGGAAATTCATGCCCTCTTCAGGAGATGAAACTGAGTCTCGTCCCAGTGGCACCCTGTGTATGGGCGTCGTTTTGGGTGTTTTCCGCGTCAAGGGAACACATTCTACACATCGGTCCTCGAGCTCTGCCATGGTATCGCCTCGCAGAACCCGACATGCAGGCGAGCTTTCATTCTTTGGCGATTGGTGGGTTTGCCGCAGTACGCGCTTGTCGCCTTGTCGGGGCTCGAGAGGAAGCCACGAAGTAGGTGTACAGCCTAACTTACAGCCTCATACTCAAACCTTGCGATACCCGTTTCCACTTTGTCCATGTTCGAAGGCCGCCTCGCTTCCATATTCTTTCACGGTCTCGCGGTCTACTACTCGAGCTAGGTAACCGACAAGGCGTCTGCGTAGTGCAACTGTGGATACCGATACAGCCGGCTTTCAGTCTGGCGGGACGATACAGCAATGGCAGTCAATACTGTAGCGTGGATGTCCAATACATCGGACTTCTTGAAGCCTGCATCAACCCATGTCACTGAGCCTTACCAACACTGGCCGTGGAATCAAAACAAGAGAGGCCTGCCATTTACTGTGCTTGCAGTCATTACAGTCGCGTTGGTACCCACATTCTTCGTATTATTTATCTGCGGTGTAGCTTCACCTTTTCTCTGGTCTGATCCAAGATGAGTTGTCCATTAATATTGATATTCAGGGAATCTCCGGGATGAATGTTCAACAGGTCACAGGTCAAGCCGGCCAGCCACAAATCTGGTGGTACATCGTCGTTGCGATATCGCTCATGGCGACATCTTTTGGCGCATGGTGCCTCTGGTCACGATTTGGAGGAGTCTTTGACAGGAAAGCTCGGCGAAGGATGGATACTGAGGGATTGAACATGGTCGACCCACGAGCTAGGGGTTGACCGCTGTGAATTGCAGCAATCTTGCGGAGAGACCATCAAGGGTGGAGTACGAATCCTGTGAATGGTGCTGAGGAACAACACTCCATGGTCGCTGTAGCCGCGGTTGTTGCAAATGCCACCCACTAAGTATCACTATACGCCAATGAATCGTGTGTGTTTGAGGCTGTGACAGAGTCCATCCGAGAACGCTAGAAGATTGACCGTGTCCTTGGAAGCTTCCCCTAATTCTCCTTGGTACAGTAACGATGCTCGCACGCCCAGATTGCACGCTCCAATCACGCATCGCCCGCTCCGTCAACAACACATCTATGTATACATGGACACCAGAACCGTGTTCCAACCTTGGCCTTGACCATTCTAGACAAATCTTATGGAATTTCTCCCTCTATCGACGCTGAACTGGGATGCGTGACTTTCCCCAACCCCCACCCCCGTTTACCGAGTCGTTCACGCGCTTACTTACTCGCCCACTCGCCCGCTAATTCTTGGCCTTAAAGTTCTGCGCTACACCAGGCCAACGCTCCTCAAACGCAGCGACCGTATCGAGAATGCTCCGATCGTACGGGATGAACCGCGTGACCCCCAACGCCTCGTACGCCTTGGTAGCGACCGTGCTGGCCTCGTCGCCAGGAAACCAGTAGTTGGCCCCAGTATACCCCTTCCCCGGCTCGCCCACGATGATGTCCCGCTCGGGGAACCGCTCGCGCAACAGATCCGCAGCCGCCTGGGGCGGCGCCTTGCCGTTCGACAGGATGTACCGTTGCCCGTCGCTCCTGTCGGGATGCTCGACGCACCAGACGTGCATGCGCGCCACGTCGCGCACGTCGATGTACCCCGCCCCGCCTATCGGAGGGGGCATTTGGCCGTTGGGGCAAGTCCCGCTCCAGATCCGCCAGATGGGGAGCAAGGTCGTGTTCAAGCCCTCCGGGGTTTCGGGCCACGAGACGGGCGGCCCCGTCACGACGGCCGGGTTGATGGCGGCCACTGCGAACGCCAAGGGCTTGTTTGCGGCGCGCCACTCCCACAACGCGCGTTCGGCCGCGGATTTACTCGCCCCGTAGGCGACTGGGGCGGAGAATTCGGCGCGCGCGACACGCTCGCCCGACTCGTTCCAGTCGTGTTCCGTATACGCGTGCGTCGGGGGCAGACGCCAGCGGTCGACGATGGCGGCGATCGAGGACGTGGCCACTAGGCTCGTGAGTTGCGGGCCGGCGGCCGTGCGTGCGGACTCTAGGATCGAGAGGTTCCCGCCGATGGCGGGGGCGAAGAAGGCGTCCACGCTCTGCAGCGTAAAGTCGACGGGCGAGGCCGTGTGGATGACCGCGTGGACGCCCCTCACGGCGTCGTCGAAGGCGCCCTTGGCTGTGATGTCGGGGACCACGACGTGTTCGTACTGCGCGGCATGCCCCTTAAAGGCGCCCGTGAGGAGGTGGTCCCTGGCGCTCGCGGACCGGGACGTGCCCCGGACGCGGTAGCCCTTCTCGAGTAGTTGGAGGCCGATGTGCGAGGCGATGTAGCCGTTGATTCCTGTCACCAGGACGATCTTGTCGCGGTTAGGACCAGGGTCTGGTTTCGCTTTCGAGTCGTCATCGGCGTTGGCGGTCGCGTTGGTGCTTGTATCGGTGGTGGGCGGCATTGGGGACACTGAGCGAGAATGAGACCGGCTGTGGCCCCGGCTGCGGCTGCGGCTGAGCGAGCGCAGGTAGATGTGACTTAGGCGTTTGGAGGTCTCCAGGTTGGGCTGTTATGGATTGACAAGCGGCTTTATATGGATGTCGGTATATGTGTATGTCCGCTGGTCTGGCCCACCAGATGGACCCCAGGAGGTGGGTAGTGGGTTCGTAGGGGTTCTTTGACACGACGGAGACGGTAGTGCACAGTGCTGTGGTACACAGTAGTCCGCGGCTCTGTCATTCGTCTACCACCTATGTTCTGCTACTGCTACCGTAGTGGAACGGCTACTGAGGCCTATCACTGATCGCTAAGTGGTATCCGACGAAGATTGAGACTTGCAGCAGGGGATTTTCCCGGCGAATAGCGTCTCAAGGAAGGCCGAGGGCGAGACGGTTGTGATTACTGATTGTCACTGCTGGTTTACCTGCGAGGAGAAAAGAATATCTGTTTAGTCGTCGAGATTTCCGGCCACCGAGGTGCTAACATAAGCTGAATCCTGCATGCACTGAGCTGATTAGGAAGTTGTGCTTCGCCAAGCAATGTGAGTACGGAGTACATGAAAGTCCCTTGGCTGACATCTGCCTGAGGCCGCTGTACTGTACGCTTACATGCGCACCACCCGTGGTCGGAACGTGCTGTATTGATCATGGAAGATAATATTGTTTACAGGCCATTCTAAGCAGTTGTAGAGAATGCGTTTGAGGGGCTGTTCCTCCTCGGCCAGCGACCTTTCAACGGACACCCTGACTGACCCTGCCCCACGCGCCTATCACTTGCATCTGTAGCAATACCGTCTACTCGTCGTCGTTGATATCGACGGGGGTCTTTTTCCACTTGCGAGCTGGGACACGACGTCTGAACAAGATGTCAATTTCGCGGTAAGATCGGTTCTTCATCTCCGGCAACCAGATGTAAGCCATGGCCGTGCAGACGAAGGCAGTACCGGCCCAGACGTAGCCGCACTTGCCACCGAGGTTGGCCTGGTCCGGGTTGAGCATGTAGCTCGCCAGGAAGATACAAGGAATGTTGACGGCGTAATAGGCACCACGACCGACACCAGTGGTCAATGGCCTGAGACGGATGGAAGACGTCTCTCCGATAATGACCCACGAGGCAGGGGCGGGTCCCAAGCAGAACAGCACAGAAACGATCAGGCCAAGTGATGCTTGCGCCTGGGTAGCCGCAGTACCACCACCAACTGAAGCGGCGATACCGAGGGCGACCAGAAAAGCGCAGTTGATAAAAGAACCCCAGACGTAGATCGTGCGTCGGCCCAGGTAAGTGGTGAGGATCCACGAGAGTATGACCATGATGGTCTGGAGGGCTGATGTAATGAGACCGAGGGCAAATGCCGTGTTGGTGGCCATGCCGGCGCCTGCGCCTGTATTAGTAGTCTAGAAAGAGCTTGTAAGAGAGGGCGACAACTCACGCTCGAAAAAGTAGACCGCCTGGTTGGCGATCAAATTACCCGTCAGATTCTGAGCCGCATACACACCACACACAATGAGCGTCCGGTAGCGATCGGTGCCTTTCCACAGTTCAATGAGACTGGGCGCCTTCTCGGTCTTTTCAAGCTCGATTGTGCGACGCATCATCGAGACCGAGTCTGCGGGATTATCCGTCGCGCTCGCACGCCCGAGACGTCTGACGGCCTTCTCTGCCTCGGCGAGACGGCCCTTTCGCACCAGCCACCAGGGTGATTCAGGTGCCAGGAAGAGGAGGATAGCAAGAGGCGTAGGGAACATCCATTGGAGAGCGATGGGGACTCTGGTATCAGCTGTTAGCACAGTGGGCCTCTATTAGAGCTACAGGAGCGCACAAACCTGTAAGCAGCGTCGGTGTTCATAGATTGGTAGTGGTAGGTGATACCACCGACGATGATCGACCCAATGGCCCAGAACATCTGTAACATTTGTGTCGCGGGAGCCCTCAGTCTTAGTGGCACGATCTCACTGCAGTAGGCGGGTGCATTCGCGATGAAAATGCCCCAGGGGATGCCTTCGAGAAGCTGGGACAGCAGCAGCACTCCTAGGGAGTCGCCGAAATAGAAGATGAGGATGAAGCCGTTCAAGGCCATGAGGCCGCCAATGGTCGCCCATCGGTATCCGATCCAGCTGGTGATAGGACCGGCGAGGAAGACACCGATCAAGGCACCAACTGGTCCGCCACACTGGAAAGCTGACTGCCACGGGGCTGTGATGAACCACTTGTCCTGTGCGGCGTTGTAGTTGCCGTAGTTCTCGGCGAATCGAGGCGTGGCGATGAAATTGCCCATCAGGAAAACACAGTACGACTCCATGATCTGTTGGTCGTCAGAGAACATGTCTGAGAAACTGTGGTCGGGAGCTTACAATGGTGCATGACATGACAAATGCCCACCAGCTGGCAGCGGGGTAAGCTCGAACGGCCTCAAGCACACCCATCCGGTGTTCGGTGTTTTCTGCCTCGATTGCACCCGCCCTGTTGTAATCGACCTTCTCGTCGACATGGTGAATGGGGTCGACTTTGGTGGGCTGCGCCTCGACCTCCTCGACGGTGGTCGGCTTGTCCGAAACGACGTTACTCATGTCGACGGTGGTGCTCTGAGAGAGAGTGATGGACGATGGGAACGAAAGAGAAAGCTAGACGTCAGGGACTCCCAGATCTTTAATATCCTTGGACGACACCCTGGGCGACAATGCTCTTGGTGGATATGCGAGCTTGGCTGGCAACCCTGCATCTAGCGAAGCTTAGCCACCCCGGGCCCGGGCCTGAACTCCGCTACCCCAACTTCTGCATCCCACCACACCCCTTTTGGGTAGTCGCCCGGCGGCAGGGTCGCATTTGCTTCGCTTCCCAGGCCGAAGTAACATTGCATGACGCGCCGCCCGGCGTAGCTTCTCCCGATCGCCCAGTCTTCGGTGTAGCTTTGACTCGAGTGGTTCCTGTCGAGAAGCTCAACTTAACAGTAGACTGGACGAGAGGCGCTGGTGGTCCTCGGTCGACAATCCCCCGTGGAACACGACGTATACACAGTATTGATGCTTGCAGATGGCTTTCCCCTCAATTGACACTGCGGGATCTCCTCTTTTGGCTTTGCTTTATTTGGTCAGGCCCCGGTGGACGACTGTGATCCTAGATTGCGAAGCCGGGGTACCGGAGTCCTTTCCTTGCGTGGTGCTCACTACCGCGTGGCATTTGGCGATTTCGCTGTCCACCTTGACGACCACGTTCCACGATTTAACCGGTGATAGCTGATCTTGCCTTGTCTAGCAGGATTCTGGAAGACCTCCCTGCAGTAGCAGGTTGCGGGGGCCTGAAGCACCTCTGGGGTGAGGCGACATGATTGTGGGAGCATGTGTTGAACTCAAAGGACGGGGTGAACATGTCCGTTAGATGCTGCTCATCTCAAGACATGGTCTTGCAGCAGGTCGACGACTCTGCCGCAAAGCTCACCACATCTCAATGATCTCGAGAAGGTGATCGGTTTCCAGCTTCGCGCAAATCGTCCCCGTGTGGGATTTAATAGGCTGACATTGTTGTCAAGCCAGCCTTGATTTGTTCGTTTGCGCTCTTCTCTCGTGTCAGGAACTTCGAGCCGACACTCCTAACCCATATGCTCCTGACACTTCGTCATTCTTGAGCTGGAGTGAGTGGTGAGGCATTGCTCTCTTCGGGACTAGAGGCGGCGCTCCGGTTCAAGTACGGTTAAGGATCTCTGGTTTCAAGGTTACAGAGCTGCAGAGTCGTGGTGGACAAACTCCTCAAGAGAGTCCGGTGGTTTCCCTGGCAGACCTTTCTCGTAGCACCTTCCCAAGCTTGGGAAATACTCGTATGACAATCATCACTTGCAGATGGTGGCGCCGATCGGCGGGTGCAGGGAAGGCGAGGGCGGAGGTGAGCGAGGAGGGTGAGTCGCAGACAAGACGCAGGTGAGTGGGAGTATGAGCCGATTTAGAAGTGGCGTGGTCGAGATGAGCCCTCACGTGAGCTGGAGGCGGGTTTTACTCTGCTTGTACTCTCCAGTCAGCTCGGCAATCTCACATTGTTACCTTGGCGTTCTGGTGGCGGCAGACAGGTGTGTTGAGGGGGTATTGCACGGAGGCAGGACAGGTTCCTATGGTCTCTGACCTCCGGTGACATCTCGAACTCGAGTGCCTTCCCACATATGATAGCCGACACCACTCTCGTGGAATACAAATACTACCCGTTGCCATTGCAGTAGCCACAGGGTCAGTACCCGGATGCCTTCAGCTCCTTCTCTGTCCATTCCCAGAGCTTGCGTCCGGCACCAGCGTCTGTCGACCACTTGTTGGTCCTGTGCTTGCCGACGGGCGTGTAGTATTCCCCATTGACCAGTTCCTCCTTTTTCGCGCCGGCGGCTGCCCAGAGTTGATTCAGGGCACCTGTCTCGACGGTACCAAATAAGACAGGACCGACGATCCTGGCGCCCCATCTGACTAGCGCGTTGGTCTCTGCGTTTGGGAGATACAGGTCCGTTTTGATGACGCCGGGATGCAAAGAAACGCTAGTGAGTGCTGGGTAACGCCGGGCCAACTCGGCGGCAAACATGATGTTGGCAGCTTTGGAGGCTGCATATCGAGTCCAAGGCCCAGTAGCCGCCAACTTCTCGGTCGAGAGGATTGTGTCGAGGTTTGGGGCCATGTTGTGCGCTTCTGAAGAAACGGAAATGACACGCACGTCGGCGTTGTGCTCGTTCGCTGTTCTCTGCAGCGTTGGGAGGAGCAGTTTGGTCAACAAGAAGTGTCCGACGTGATTGGTGCCCATTTGGATGTCTTGTCCTGAAGCTGTCTTCCCGGGTGGGACAGCCATGATACCGGCGTTCAGAATAAGAATGTCCAGGCGGTCACGGTGACTGATGACGTGATCGGCAGCTTGCTTGATCGACGGTAACGAGGTGAGATCAAGGGGGAGGTACTCGATGTCAAGATCTTGCGAGGTCTGCGATTTAATGGATGAGATGGCGTCGCGCCCTTTGGATTCCGTTCTAGAGGCGAGGTAGATCTTTCGAGGATGGTGCTTCGCCAGCTGCAGGACCGTCTCCTTCCCGATACCATTGTTGCCGCCGGTGACGAGGATGACTTTGCCGGCAAGGCCTTGGATGCTTGTTGCCGGGACGAAAGTTGCGCTGCTGAAGGGCCACATGCTTGCAATGCCGGGGTGGTAGACTTCAACGGCGAGTAATGGATGGAGGGCGTATGGCAGGACCAGTCCTGTAGCGAAGCCAAGGAGCTGTTTGTATTGAAGGAGAGTTTGGTATATCGAACTTGGGGCTGGTTGGGAGGGCTGGCTGCCCGTACCAGCGCCGTCCCTTATATTTAGCACACTCTCAGTCGCAGCATCCTTCGGCTGTCCCGAAGTCTGTGGCTCCATTCGCGGCGCAAGGATCACACCGAGGTTGTTGGCGATGTTGACATCTTCGATAGAGGCCTCCCGATTAAAGCGTCACCACGCTGTTGCGTCCAATCAAGGAGTGGGATGCAATGCTAAGTACTATTGTCTTTGCATTGCCCATTCCGTATTCCAGCTTCAAGGTCCAGAAGCCGGATCTCAAGAACTCGTACATCCATGGTTCGGGCCAATCACAAACCCTGGATCCCACATTCACCAACGTTTGTGAGCTCGAAACCTGCAAATCTCGACCGCCGGCCACTTTTTCTACTCACCAAGGTCGTCCACTATGAAGCACGTCCTCTCTACGGTGGACCACGGATTCATTCACAACACACTCTGGTCGCAGCAAGCCCCGAGGATGATTAAGTTGCTGCTGACGCCGGATGACGCACGAGGAAAATCCCTTGATAAACACGATTGCATCCACGGTTGACCAACCTCTCACCGCTGTGGCTGTCTAGATTGTCATGGTCGAGGGATTTCGCGACGAGGAAAAATCTTGCAGAGCACTGTCGGGCCATGTCCTAATGTGCTAGCGTCTTGTAGGATACAAACAAAAAGTCCGGTCTTCTCTAGGGCATTACGGAGTACGGTTCACTCTAACAAGGATGATATACCATCGACCACAAACCTGCTCAGGCAAGAGAACGTGCAAGAGGGCTTCTAGGTCCCTCGCAAATGACATGACCAACATGTGACCATCCTTGCCTGACACGTCCCCATGCATTTCACAATCATTGCAGTGCAACAAAGGACAAATAGAGCAAATGAACGACTCCGTACTCCGTATCCACGAACGAGATAGTGAATGTTGAGGATACCGGCACAGCATGGATATATGCGGAAGGAAGTGCCGAGCTCTGCACTCGAAATGAGATTTGCAGCGTCGGGCTTTAGGGGCGAGGATCACGCCCGTCCAGACAGAGGGCATGTCTCGATCTCGTGAGGTGAGACTCCAAGGAAACCAGAGGAATTGTATGTGCGGGTTGCAACAAGCCCGATCTTCGTGAGACAGGCCAGCTTTTGACAGGAGTTGGATACTTGGGAAAAAAACACAATGACTACCTGGGTAGTCAGTCTGACAATCCTCACGGCCATGGTAATCATCATCGTAAAGGTGTAGACGTGAGCATCTTACAGCTCAGGGCAAGGAGTTTGGGCGAGGGAATGGGCGCGACGAGCAAGTTAACAAAGCCAAGCAGCCCCTGCCAGTTAAGCGGCGCGGAGCCTCTGGACCCTCGTCAGATGCCCACAAGCGCGCCAATCACAGCCCAGCACGGACAAGGATGGACCGTTGGAAACTTGCTCACTTCGCTCTGCGTGGGAGAACGAAGAAAAAGGGCACAGATTCGCTCACATTCTCCCTCTCAATGTATCCTAACTTGAACACCGCTGCTCACCACGGATCTACCGCTTCGCTACACTGGTCTCTCGAAACCTTTGCACCACATATGATCGTAGTATACCGGCATTGAGTCTTGTGCTACCGCGATCAAACCGGTAGCCGCAATACATTTCCGGCATATATTTCACTCCCAGAAAAGAAACCAGCAAGAACAAACGCCGACCATGGACATGTCATCCCACGACTCCATGTCCTCGGACCCCATGAATATGGAGTCCATGCCCATGGTATTCACGACATCGCACCACACCCCTCTCTACGGCAGCGGCTGGACGCCCTCCACGGGCGGAGGCTACGCGGGCACATGCATCTTCCTCGTCTTCCTGGCCATCCTGCTACGCCTCCTCTTCGCGGCCAAAAGCGTGCTCGAACAGCGCTGGGCCATCGCGGCCCGGAACCGCCGCTACGTCCGCGTCCAAGGCAGGACGACCGAGGCCGGCCGTATCGACCAGGATCCCGACGTCAAGACCGGCTCCCTCATCACCGTCAATGGCGTGGAAGAAAATGTCAAGGTCGTGCAGGCCAGGAGTCAGTCCACGCCGTTTCGGTTGTCCGTGGACGTTCCGCGAGCCGTGCTGACGACTTTGATTGCTGCGGTGGCGTACTTGCTGTGAGTTAGATACTGCCTGACCACTGAGCCAAGATGATCATTCGTACTAACCGATGTGGCAGAATGTTGGCCGTCATGTCGTACAATGTCGGGTATTTCCTCTCGGTGCTTTTGGGTGTGTTCTTGGGCGAGCTGGCCGTGGGACGATACGCGCAGAATGATGACCACGTCCACTAGAGAGAGTGCAACGACCCATGGTACATTTAGAATTTTCTGTGATATTTATCCACGCGGGCTTCAGTTTCTGAGCTGCAACCCTATCACGTTATGAATTATGCAGCGGTCGTGTAATTCTTGAATATATTTTTGGAATGGTTTGCAAGTCGGTGCTGTCGTGGGGTCCTGACAGTGCGCAGTCGCACAAGTGGCCCATCCCCACTGAATTTCGAGTCCAACTCGTCTTCCGGAGATTGCTGATGTTGTCAGCACCCTGTAAGAAGTTGCTAGCCCTTGTAGACAAATGGCGTATGCCATGACTGACGCCTGCGGCTTCTGTATCCTCGTCCGCGGGTTGGTGCTCTTTGATACCCAGGTGCTTTATCTTCACTAAGCCTAAATCAAGCAGTGTATCCCGCACGACTACATCTCACGCACTCGATCCTCGAGGCCCACGTCCTCACGGCCACGTCTCGACCCGATTCCACTCACCCACCGACTCACTCGGCCCAGGCCCGCCAGGCCCGCCGTGCTCTTGATCCAACGTCCAAATCTGCCTCGTGGCCTTTGCCGGATCCGTCAAGTCCACAGCCTCGACCTGCTCCGGCGTAATGATCGCGACGCGGAAATTCTTCCTCGCCAACGGCTCGTCCGACAAATGCCCTGCCTTTTGCCCCAGCGCCTCTCCCGCCTCGTCGTCCCTGCCCTCCGCGAGCGGCTGGCCCGGCGGCGGATTCTTAAAAGATCCCCGCATCATGGGCGACAGGTTCTCAAAGTAATTCTCCATCTCGCGTCGCCAGGACCAGGTGGATTTGTTCCCGTCCGCCTCGCTGCCTCCGTCCGTTTTCGTGCGCATGTACCGCTGCACCTCGGCCTTGACGGTCATTGTGCCCGAGTTCTGCGCCTCGGGCGTGCCGCCCTCGATATCGTCCGCGGCCACGACCCAACACTTGCCCCGCACCCGCCACTGCGTGTTCGTCTGCTTGAACCAGAAGACCGCCTCGACCGGGCCGCCGCCGCCCGTTCCCGAGCGAGACTGCGCCAGATCGCCTTGCCCTTTACCCGTCGCAAAGACGTGGTATGTCTTGTCCATGCGTGCGTCCGTCGTGAAGGTGGGGCAGTCGGACTCGAACACGGCCGGGTTCTTGGGTAGCTTGTTGTGCTCGTTGTCCGGCAGCGTCGCCCAGAAGCCGCGAAAGATGCACGTCCGGGCCCGCGGCTCGCCTTTGGGCGTCACTGTCGCGAGGATGAACTCGGCGCTCGCTCCGCCCGATTTGTCCAGGTGGTCTTGGAACGTCTTTTTCCAGGGCGCAGGCGCCGACTGGGTGGGGTGTAAGGACATGGTGGAGGCGAGGCGTGTGAGACGAGCGACGCTTCGAGAGGCCAGCGTGGGATAAATCACAGAAATGGAGACACGACACAAGTCGCTTTAGGTGACACCGGAGGTCATAACTAAGAAATCCCGCGAGCCGCGACTGCTGCTGCTGCTGGTCTTTATTCTCTGGGATTTTGGATTTTGTGGTTGCTGGTTATGACGCGGTGATGGGGTTGAGATCACATCAAGAAGTTGAGATGACGTCGACGACTCTCCAGAGACACGAGGCCAACGACAGACTGACCACATAACACAGTACCGCTCCATCGCAGGGAAAAGGTCCTGCGTTGTCTCCTTCCTACATTACATTAGATTGATATGCAACAGATTATCTTGTCCACCCTAATACGAGGAGGACATGGCTGTGGGAAAGTCTTTTGAGGGTAGCTCCCGAGATTGACTGATGCCACTATCGGCTTCAGTCCACCTGTGGTCTGCTTAGATTTTGGCTCTGAACTGACAGGAGCTTGTTACGTGGCGTCCGTTGACAGATCAATTGTACCGTAAAACGATCGCACGGTAGGCTTTAGGCTTTCTCTCTTTTGGGAAAGGATTCTTTCAGTTTCGTGAGCACTGCACGACGGCGAGGACGCAGAATATCTCGTCTCCTCGTCGTTATCGCTCTGTACTCTGGGAACGGAACAGACCCCTGGAACTGGGTTTATGAGGCAAGCATGTTTTGAAGGAGACCACAGTATCAAATTAACCGTCGAACCCTCGAGAAGAAGACGGCATCGGATGTTGAAGAGCCAAATGGTAGGTGTACGGAATTGTCTGCAAATCTGAGATTAGTTCGCCAGTCACGCCGTGTGACGGGTCGCTGTCCTCGTGTCAAAGTCCTCTGTAACTACCAGCTTGATCATCATCATCACCTTTCTCGGTGCGTCTTCCTGGACGGAGAGCGAGGGATCATCGAGTAATGCCACATGCTCCTGCACAAATCGTTCGGGCTACCCTTAGATACTGCGCACGGGGGAGCCACTATTGATCAAGTAAGAGAGGGCGCTAGAGGACTTGCCCTGAGAACTGCTTCCTGGACCCCAACAGTTGGGAGACATCCTCAATCAATATAGTCCTTGAGCTCGCACTTTGGCAGGGTCTTCTCATGAGCACCTCTCCCGTCCCATTTTCGCTTCCAGCACCACGCCTCGTCCTTTTCCTGTCCGTTAGACTTACCGTTCAAGACGTTGACCACATATTGCCCAATGTTCGGCAGGAACTTCCAACTGTGAAACGAGCCCGCGGTGGCAAAGTACAGATTCGACAGCCGCGGGTCTGGATGCTGTGTGATCAACTGATTTTGATCGGGAGAGATGACATCCCAGCACAGGCGCCAGTCATCGGGGGTTCGGCCGTTGTCGAGCATCTGAGGAACTCGCTGGCGGATGATCTCAATGGACTGTCGCTTCAGAGATTCCGGCACGGATTTCTGGTCCGGCGATGGCACTGAGATGTGCTGACCGGTCCCTGGATGGGGCTGCGTATTGAGAAAGGTATTTGCATTGGTGAATTTGTACCAGCGGTCTGCGTTGGGAGGCATGACTTCACCTTTCGCGCCGTATATCAAGACCGGCATTTGAGAGTAATGCTGTGCTTCCGCCTCGGATAACTGGAATGCCGCGACGCATACTCCCGCTGCCTTTATCTGCCGCTGAATACTGTCACCGGGAGAGATGTTGATCTTCTGTTCGAAGGATGCCATGAGATACGGGGTCCATGCAGCCGTTGCGAGAACGATCTTCTGCCCGCTGAAGACTCTCCCATCGGCAGTGCGAACCCCTAGGAGATGTTCACCGTCGCTGAGCAACTCGGTCACTTCCCCTACCTCTTGTTTCACGCCTGCCTTGACCGCTTCGTGCATCAGAGCCGCTACTGCGCCCGAGGCGTCGGCCCATCCAGCACTAGAATTCGTGTACGCCTTGTCGTATCCCGTCGTGTCCATGCCGGAAAGCACGCCACCCCATCTCGACTTGACTTCCTCGAGCGTGAGATCAGCCGACGTGTCGAGACGGCCACTCTCGCGGAAGAGTTTGCGAATTCTGTCGGCGAGGTCGCTGTCCTCCTCGTCGACCATGACCCATCCTGTCTGATGGAAATATGGCTTCAGGATGGGATCTTGTGTCCAGCTCTCCATGGCTTCATAGGCCAAATCCATGTAAAAGGCCTTACTGTAATCTGCACGGACGATCTTATTAATGTCCGAAGATGCAGCCTGAGGCGATGGCACGAGTGCGCGATCAAGCACTGTGATGCGCGACGGATTGGCATGGCTTCGAGACAGGTGGTACGCCGTACTCGTGCCAAAGATGCCGCCTCCGACAATCAAAACGTCGCATTGAGCCGAGTCATTCGAGCCCATACTAATACCTCCTGAGTGTAGCACTCGCGATCCGTGCTGTGGTCTGGTGTTGAAGTTCGCTGGTGAGTCGAGGTCTGCGTCACTAGGATGCTACCTGTCGTGGGAAGTTTGCATGGCTCCCTGTGCCCTGTGCAACCCTTCAGTGCTAGGCAATGAATCAAGCATTGTCAGCCACCGGCTCCACGTTGAGCCCTGTCACTGCCTGTCATGTCATGACTGCTGGGGAAACGGCGCCACCAGATCTCCGCAGGCATCGCCCAGAGATTGAGCCTCCAATCCTGACCTCGAGTTTACGGTGATTAGGCGCAAGATTACCTCGGTATCTCGATAAATCCGCTGGGCTGCAGAACGCGGTAGTCGTACAAGTAGAGGGGATGGGTGTTATCTTGTGTGGGATTTCTGACCGGGCCTGAACATCGTTCCTGGTGTTGCTTACTCTTTGCTTCTGCTTGTCCCTGCATTGACCACTACGACGGAGCCTCTCTTCCACCATTTCGACGCCCGAGCTCATCTGCCGTAGGTTTGGCATAATGTCTCTCGGTAGGCCTGAATCCGCCGTCAACTAGCGGAGATGATGCATTTGTGCTAAGATGTATTTTCACAGCAACGGCAGCGGCGGTCGCCGCCGGCAGCTGGGCCACAGCTGCGTATCTAGACGCAAAGTTCCACCTTCGAAAGGACCTCGAATTCCTCGGCCGAATGAGGCGCGGCGCAAGGGAGTATGAGCGCGTGGTCAGCGAGGACAAGGTGTGCATCTGGTACGCTCTAGAGGAGCAGTGCCAGAAGAGTTGGAACAACCGCGCAATCTGGACGCGGGAAGGAATCTACACCTTCGGCCAACTGTACGAGGAAAGCCTCCGATATGCCCAGTGGATGCTCGAGCAGGGCGTCAAACCCGGTGACCTGGTCGCCATGTACATGACGAACTCGGCGCACTTCATGTTCGTCTGGTTCGCGTGTACGGCGGTCGGCGCGGCTCCGGCATTCATCAACTACAACCTCGAAGGGAAGGCGCTGATGCACTGCCTGGACGTCTGTCAGTCGAGACTGTTGATCGTCGATGGGGACGCGGGCTGCCAAAAGAGGATCAGCCAGAGCAAGGCCGAGATCGAGGCTCGAGGCACCAAGATTGCCGTCCTCGACAGCAGTTTACAGGAGGAGATCGGTGCAAGGCCCGTGGTCAGACCTGGCGATGAGCTTCGGAAAGGCACCAAAGGCAGCTTCCCGTACTGTCTGATATACACCAGGTAAGTGTCTTATCACCCACTGCCTAAACAGGAACTAACACAGTGCTCACTCACAGTGGAACCACCGGTCTTCCCAAAGGCTGCGCCTTCACCTTGCAAAGAGTCTACGCCATGAATGGCCATAAGCAACCCATATGTGGCGGCATTCCCGGCAAAGACCAATGGTACAATGCCATGCCTCTATACCACGGCACCGGCGCCATTTCGTCGTCGACCTCGCTGCTTCAGGGTTTGTCGATTGCCATTGCGCCGAAGTTTTCTGTCTCACGGTTCTGGAACGACGTTCACGACTCCGGGTCAACCTTCTTCATCTACGTAGGGGAGACGGCGCGGTACCTCCTCAACGCGCCGCCTCATCCGCTCGAACGAAAACACAACATCCGCTGCGCCTACGGCAACGGGCTACGGCCCGACGTCTGGGAGAAGTTCCAGACGCGCTTCAACATCCCCGAAGTCGGCGAGTTCTTCAATTCCACCGAGGGCATATTCAGCCTGTTGAACTACGACAGGGGTCCCTACCTGCGCGCCTGTGTGGGCCACCACGGGCTGATTATGCGACTGATGCTCCGCAACACCTACATCCCCGTGCGTATCGACCACGATACGGGCGACGTCTGGCGGGACCCGAAGACGGGCTTCGCACAACGAATGCCCTACGAGGAAGGCGGCGAAATGATCGTCGCCGTCCCGAGCAAGGAAGCATTCCAGGGCTACTGGCGCGCCCAAGCCGCCACAGACAAGAAGTTTTGTACCGATGTGTTCAAAAAGGGGGACATCTACTACCGCTCCGGGGACGCCCTGCGAAGAGACCCCGACGGCAAATGGCACTTCCTCGACCGTCTGGGCGACACCTTCCGGTGGAAGTCCGAGAACGTGTCCACGGCCGAGGTGGCACTGACGATAGGCCAGTACCCCGGCATTGCCGAGGCCAACGTCTACGGCGTGCTGGTGCCCAACCACGAAGGCCGCGCAGGCTGTGCGGCCATCCATCTCGACCCGAACCACACGGGGGCTCCAGCCGATTACAACGACCTGCTGAAATACTTGCGGGCGCGCCTACCTCGATACGCGGTCCCGGTGTTCCTGCGCATCGTCAGGGAGAGCACGCACATCCACAACCACAAACAGAATAAAGTCCCGCTGCGGAAGGAGGGGGTCGACCCGAAACTCATCGGCACAGAAGCGCCCGAGGGCAAGGGCGACGCGTTCCTGTGGGTGCCTCCCAAGGGCGATCACTATGTGCCGTTCAGGCCGGAGGATTGGGAGAGGTTGGTCAACGGACAAGCCAGATTATGATCGCTCAGGCGGCGGAACTAGAATTTACACGGACACGCCAGGTTATGATCGCTCGGGCAGGCAGTGATGGTAGATTTGACAGCGCCGAGATACATTATATTCCAGAAAGACGATGGATGCGGCGTGAACGGCCAGTCAGCTCTCCAAACGCTTGCCTTTCTTCGCCTTCTGGAATTCACTAAGGGTTACGTACAAGCCCACTAGGTAGGGAATACTGCACTGCATGCGCACCACACTGCGTGGCCTTACACGCCCCTTTTCGTCTCTAATGCCCGCTGAAATCGTTGTCGGGAAGCACTGTAGACGTCTTGAGAGAGGCGGTAAAAATGGCAAGAGGGATTGTTTCTTGTCTTGACAAATTCCGGGTCAATCCCCGTACTGTGCAGTATCCTAACTTTTGAGGACTGGGTATCTATTCCATTTTCTACTTTTAAGCCATCCAATGCAGAATACAAATCACATCGATATCCACGTCTTGAGTGTCGCGCCATGGCCCTTCTCGCCATTTCCTAAGAGGCAAACCCTTATCGAGCTTCCTGCTGATTTGAGGTCACCATGCAAGGTGCCTCCCTCTTGATGCTGTTCAGACAAGTCGAAGCGCAACACCATTCCGTGCTTGCCACATCAGTATCGGTGCTTCTGCGGCAGACTTGGAGCCCGCAGAGGTTGAACCTCTGGAAACAGGATGGCTGTGGCAACCTCCGTATCGCAACACACGCTTAACAATATCAGTCTTGTCCACGCATACCATGCTTCCAGTCCGTAAGCCGGAATCCAGATTAATGCTCCTAGCCCATGTCATATCTTTTGCTAGTCCTTTTCAGGCACCTGCAGCGTGAGCCGTTCGCTGGCGGATCACTGCTTCGCTATGCAATGAACCTCATGTCAGTCGGTGGCAATCAATTTGCAACGCTGCCTCTATCTCGGTCAATATTGTTCGATCATCCTCGGTGTCCAAAGGCTGTCGCGCCGTACCAAGCTCTAGCATCGGCAGGTCTATAGTGACGCGGGTGCATTTTTTGCCTGGATGTTTGCTCAAGTGTGTACTGGAGGGGAAGAATCTTCCTTAGACCGTGCGTTTGTCCTCGGAAGCCTGAGGTAATCATAACCAATTCCTGACGCGCTCTGGCGCTTCCATTGCTTCGCCGTCTGTCTTGGTGCGCTCCAGGGTATCAATGGCAGAGTCGTCGGTCGTCGTTGTATAATTAGTGTCCATAGTGGTGGTGGTGTAGGTCGAGAAATTCGTGGAGCCGCACACGGGCTGTCGCCAGACCCCACCAACATAGCCCCTCTCGATTGCAATCGACTTCAGGGGGAGAGGATTGAATCGTTCAATGAAGACTTTGTCTAGCGCTCGGTCCTTTGGTTTGGAATAGCGTTCATACTCCGCTACACAAGCCTCATACGTCCACCCCGTCACCCGGCGGAAACTAGCTATGATGCAACCAGTCCTGTGCTTCCCTTTGTTGCAATGGATGAGCATGGGGTAGTTTGCCGAGTCGAGCATCAACTCAAGGACCTGGTAGACCACAGCGTCCGGGGTGTACATTTCGGGGTCCTTGTTGGCGAGGATTGGGATATGATAGTGAGTGATATTGTTCCTCGTCATGTATCTCTTGTAATCTTCAGGGAGTACCTGTGGCACCAATGTCACGATGGTCTTAAGGTTCAGCTTTTCCAACTCCAGAAAATGCGGCGTTTGGGGATAACTGGATCGGTAGAGTCCGGGCGCAATGATCTGAAAGTTGACGGGGCGGCCTGTACCGTCTGGCGTTGGTGGCTGGGACTCCTCGACGTGGATCGTCTCAACCTCTACGGAGGCGTTCAGAGCAGCCAGAGAGGCCGCCAACTCGCCGGAGTCGACCCCGGAGTGGGCCATTCCTGAATAACTTTCGTCGCTCATTCTTTGCGATTCCGGTTCGCTCTCGATCTTAAAGTGGTACCACACACCGACCTGGACTAGGGATCCTTCTGCTGAAGTAGTACAACGGTCGTCCTCAGGTCGTCTGCTGGAAGCCGATGAAGTGCACGATCACAAGGGGAGAATTGCTGAAAGACGAAAAAGGAGCCGTTCACAACGAATGTATGGAGGTTGCTGAGGACCTTCGAATCAGCAACGAGATTGATACCACGGACTTTCGACGTCCGTGCTCGTTACGGTGGAGTGCGCCCTGGCGGTGGCTCCAGCAGCCTGATACCGGGGACGCGGCTCAAGAAGTGTTTGGGACGTGCGATTAGTTGGCCATTTTAGTGCAAGGTTTTCAGTGTACCAACGGACAGGTCGAGCCACAGGTATGTGCAGGCTGGTTTCAAGCCAGACAGTACGGAGTAATGGTGAAGAGAATGAATAGGAGAGGTTGTTGATCGCCCGACAGTGGTGACTATGAAAGTGAGGAATGAGGCGGCGAGGTGGGTAGTAGAGTCGTCGAGGCAGTTATCTTAACCGTGGTCGGTTCTGACAACCCAGATTACTGATTGGACGCATGGTTACGACGGTCTTGGAGAGTCTCTGCGATGATGTTGCAGAAATGACAATAGTCGAGCCCAAGGCCAGTGTCGAGGGTTGTACCATGCTATGTGAGAGGGGGAAGAAGAGAGCCGAACGTGTGTGCGAGATTTAGAGTAAAGAAGGGAATGAGAGGAGACGACCAAACTTTGTGCAGACCAGATATTTCTGCCCGGCTTGATCGTGGTATCCAGTCAGCGCAAATCACCCGGGTGGGTATGGCAGCATCGTGACGCGGTTACTTGCTAGGCAAACGGCGGCAGGCGGCAGCCAACAGTTACAGTAAGAACGCGTCGCTCTGATGGCGAGACTCAAAAAACCAGAAGAGGCTAACGAAGGCAAAAAAAAAGAAGTGGAAACGAAGCCACAAGTGAGAGAAATACGACTGGCATCTGGCTGCGTGCACGTGCTCGGCAACTTCAGGTTAACCTGGAAGCGCCTAAAGAGCCCGAGGTAGGTGCGACGAGCCCGTTCATCATAAAGTTCTAGGCGATACTCGGGGCGTAAGGGGCGCGGGGTTGTCAGGTCCAGTCCCTTGATTCCGGCCACGCATTCTCTCAATTTCCACATCCACTCAATGCTTGAGCCTCTTGTAGTCCATGACGGGGATTCTAACCATCATCTATATAACTCGTACGAGTACTGTGATTTCTTCACTGCATGATTTCTGCAACAGGATCTCGCCATCATAAAACGCCTCAACCAAGCACACACCCGGCAGCACCGAGGCCAGCGCTCAGTCCGCCGCTCCGAGACAATCACGCGACGATGACCAACGCGGATTATTCACCATTCTCGAACAAACGTGCTTGGTTACTCGATTCGAGCGCCCCGACACCCCGCGTCTTGTAATTTGTCTTCACACGCCTGTGGTTCCCAAGCCAAACATATCGGTCGAGTTCCTCCATGCCGCTGCAGAGACATCTTCGACTGAGATGCCCTTGACTCGCGCAATCACGTGAGCCACCTGGACGATTGTCGCGGGCTCGTTCCTGCCTTTGACCATCATTCCTTTCTGCCATTTCTCCTTTTTGACCGCTTTTGGCACGGCAGGTCCGTCCTTGAGGTGTCGAGAAGAGGCATGGGATGCCCGGATTTCGCACCACGGCCCGTCGGTCTCGATCTGAAGTCGGTCAAGTGGGACAGCCTTCACCGCCTCCAGGTTCTCGTCCGTCTTCATGCTGCAACCATTGATGCCAATGTCGAACCCGAGCCTGCACAGAGACTCCATCTCCCGCACTGTACCGGTGAAGCTGTGTACCAGTCCTCGTTTGGGTAACTTGTCCAACCGCTCACCAATGAGTCTTTCGAAGTCCTCACTGCATGCCCTCGAGTGAAGAAATAGCGGCATTTGCAGTTCCTCGGCCAAGTCGAGCTGGAGCTCGAAGTATTTGAGCTGGACATCCTTGGGTGAGAGGAATAATCGATCGTAGTCTAGCCCGATTTCGCCGAATGCTACCGCATGGCCTGCCTCCTTGGCTTCGATAGCGAGGTCCTTCAACTCTTTGATCAGCCCGTTGGGCCCGCCTTTGTAGTTGTCGAAGTCCTGGGTTGAGCATGGATGGACCCCAACCGTCGCATAGCAAACGCCAGCTAGGGGCCGGTCAGTGAGGACAGCCACATGTAGGAAAAGGTGGTTTACGATATTTCTTCGCGAGGTCTACAGCGTGATGGGACTCTACCAGGTTTGACCCAGTGATCATCAGCTTCTTGACCCCGACATCTAGTGCTCTCCGGACAACATCGTCTAGATCGTCTTCATGTGCTTGCTTTCCGTGATAAACCCCTCGAAAGACGGGATCTCCCAAGTTGATGCCGACCTGGACCGTATCAGCATGGCAAAGGTTCTGCACCATGTCCATCGACCTACATCGGCATACCTGAAGGGCGTTGCGTTGCCCGCCATGGTCATGTAGAGAAATCTGCTACCGTGGCAGAGAGGATTATACGCTTTACCGCGCCATCTCTCGGGACGTAATGCTTCGTCAATTCCAATCAGTCACTCACGTCAAGTCAGAAGACTGGATCCTCACCCTCAGGTTCCACACAAGCATCAGCCACAACACAAAAAGACCTGAACGGGCGAATATTGGAGCGGGCTAAAATGGCCTTCAGCCGCAAGGGCATCAGATTTTCTGCAAGTCTTGTTTGTGGCTGCAGCACCGAGATCTGAATGAGCTTGCAATGAGAGTACTCTGCTGGACGCGTTAAAATCTCCTCTGTGATCGGCTGGAATTCCGCCGATGCCGAAGACCAAGCAAGCCAGGTTCTAATTAATCCAATCCCACTCAATCTCGAGTCAAAGTCCCTTGACCGTCCCTCACTCTCCGCACCGGTCTGGACGCCGACAGCATTTCTCCATCAATATGTTTCAAGGTTGTCGACGTCGCCTTTCGATAAGCGGCTGAATAGATCGCGCTCGGCCTTGCTAGCCGGTGAAAATACCTTCAGCGGATAAAGGGTAGTACCATCTACATAGGGATGCTACCACAGGATCTTGAATATGTAAGTATATATCCCGAGAGTGAGTTCTCTTTCGCGTCTTCTTGTCGCTTGCAGCCCTTGTAAGGACCTTAATCTCAATCCGACTGGCTTCCACGATGGCACCACGTCAGATCTCAGTCGCAGATATCTCGTCGCACAACAAAGACACCGACTGCTGGATAGTCGTCGACGGCCAAGTATGGGATATTACGAAATTCGCCCCCGAACACCCTGGCGGTCCAGGCATCATATACAAGTACGCCGGCCGAGACGCCACACAGGCATACAATGAAACGCACTCCCCAGCAATCATCAAGAACAACCTTCCCGTAGACGCTCTCAAGGGCACTCTAGACCGATCGACCATCACGGCAGAATGGTCGACCCCGTCAGCACAGCAGGAGCCACGTGAATCGAAAGCTGCCTCGTCATCATCGCCGAAGAAACCACCCTTAGACTCACTGATCAACGCACACGACTTTGAGCTGGCGGCGCGCAACACCGCCACGGCGAAGACGTGGGCCTTCTACTCCTCGGCCGCCAACGACCTGATCACCCGCGACCTCAACGCGCGACTGTTCAACAAGGTCCTGTTCCGGCCACGCGTGATGCGCCGTGTCGACAAAATCACCACCGCGACTTCCATCCTCGGCCACCCGGTCTCCTTTCCCCTGATGATCGCCCCCGCGGCAATGGCCCGCCTCATCCACCCCGACGGAGAATTGGCGCTCGCCCGCGCGGCCCACTCACGCAACATCCTACAATGCATATCCAACAACGCGAGCTACTCGGCGTCGGAGATTGTCTCGCAGCCCGAAGTGGCGGACCACCCGTTCTGGTTCCAGTTGTACGTCAACCGCGACCGATCCAAGTCCGAGGCCCTCCTGCGCAAGATCCACACCCACCCAAACATCCGCGGCATCGTCGTGACCACGGACGCCGCGGCCGCGGGCAAACGCGAGGCCGACGAGCGCGTCAAGGCCGACGAATCGATCCGCAACCCGATGATGACCTCGTCGGCCAAGAACGACAAAAAGGGCGGCGGCTACGGCCGCCTGATGGCCAGCTTCATCGACCCGGACCTCAACTGGGACGATGTCGCGTGGCTGCGCTCGCAGACGAAACTCCCGCTCCTGCTCAAGGGCATCATGGCCGCCGACGACGTCAAGCTCGCGCTCGACGCCGGCCTCGAGGGCGTCGTGCTCTCCAACCACGGCGGGCGGAACCTCGACACCTCGCCCCCCGCGCTGCTCGTGCTGCTGGAACTGCACGCGCGGTTCCCCGAGATCTTCACCCGCCATCACCCGGCCTCACCTGCCGTCAAGGCCGGGCGGGCGCGGCCGTTCTCCATCCTTGTCGACGGCGGCGTCCGCCGCGGCACGGATATCTTGAAACTCGTGTGTCTCGGCGCCGTCGCCGCGGGGATCGGGCGGCCCGCGCTGTTCGCCACGGGATATGGCCAGACGGGCGTCGAGGCGCTGGTTGACATCCTCAGGGACGAGTTCGAGGTCGCGATGAGGAATGTGGGCATTACAAGTGTTCGAAGAGTGTCGGCCCGAGTATGTCAACTCGGGGGCGATCGATAAGTGGGTGGTCAGGACGAGGGCCCATCCTTATGCTGTCGCGTGGGCGGACGCTGAGCTTGTGATCCCACGGGAGAGTAAACTGTAGTCGAAGCGGGCTTTCCGTGCAACGTTGTGAACTTCGGAGAGGCATACGAGTAGTCTATATAGACGGATTAGAGATACCGTAGACATCGCAATATTTTGGCTACACGGAAGCACCGATGCTGGCTGGATCTTGACTTTCATCTACTCGATGGATACCTCGAGAGTTGAATAAATATTGACATTGTGAAGGTGTGAATTCTATGAAATTCGTTAAAACGCCAGTTGTTTGTAGCTCGTAGCTCTTTTTAGCTAGTATTGAGCTTGGGCTTGACCTTTGTTAGCCATGCCAGTCCTTGTTTTGATCTATAATTTGGAGCGCCTATCTCCCCAGGGCTATGCTGTCAAGCACATGGAGACGAGCTGGAAGTTGTTAAGCTCGGTTTCTGCTTTGATGGACCAGGTCAGCGTCGATCACAAAAGATCGAGCTACTGCTTCTTGGCCTCCGAAGTCTTTTGCTCCTGCTCTTGCTTGCCTTGCTCGGTCACATCGTCCTCGGCTTCCTGGGCCTCGCTCTTTGCGTCTGCTTTCTTTGTCTCCTTTTGAGAATCAGCTGGCTTTGGCTTCGGCTTTTCATCGATATCCTTATCATCCTTGGGTGTCGAGGCAGCGCTCTTTTCGCCCTTGTCGGTGGTCTGCTTGCTCGACTCGGCTTGCTCATTCTCTTCTTCAATGAGCTCTTGCTGTTCCTTCAGGACCTCAAGACGCTGTTTATTCGTAGCGGCACCTTCGGCGTTGTGGACCTCCAGTTCGATCTCGTGGAACAGCTCTTCGGGAATGCTGCTCAGCACGGCTTGCAGAGCGTCGATTTGTGAGTCGATCTCGCTGTCCTTGCCGGAAGTGTACATGTACGCATTGCTGAGCACCAACAGTGTCGAGGGAATGTTATATTTCAGGCGCAGGTCGAGCCACATTTGCAAGTCTTCTCGGAGCTTGCCCGGTGACATGCCGTGGGTACGCAGGCCACGGGACGCACACGCCATCTGCAGTTCGGGCACTGATAGTGAGTCGACGCCTTCAAAGGAGATGGCCTTGTCGTCACGCTTGATCTGGCGCATGCGGTGACGGATCTGATACCGGAGCATGGCATCAGTGCCAAAGGTGTTGAGGTTCATATACTTGCACATCCCCACAAGCTGTGGTCTCGAGAGGTTGTCCAGGGTCAAATCATCTTTGAAGATCTTGCACACTTTGATAACGTCTTCTTTCGACGGCGATTCTCCTGTAGCACGGACTTTTCGGAAGAATTCTGTAAACTCTTCTTTCTTTGCGTTGACGGCGGAGACAGGCAAACCGGTCTCGCGCAGGGTGTTTCGGAGGAAGGAAGAGACCTGCTTGCGGGTTTCCCTCAGATGAGCCGCCTTGGTTTCGCGGGACTTTTGGCCTTCGTATGTCGAAGGAAGTAGGTTGGGGAAAAGCTTCAGCGCCACCGGCAGTAGGAGTTCAGCGAAAGGGACGATGACGAAAACCGAGAAAGGGACCAGACGGCCCAAGTCCTGGACGGTCCTTTGGAGCTGATACACCGTCAGTAACTGTCATTGCACCATCATGGTATAATGCTCACCTGTCTGTTCTCCCGCCTGCTGAGCTCATACCCAGCAGCCATTTTTAAAGCGAGCTTGGACGAGATTTTGACCTCGGCAGCCAGCAATTTGGTGCCGTCCCAATAATGTTGAATTTCCTTTTTGATCTTCTGCCCAAGCGTGAGTTTCTTCGACTCTTCCTTCTTGGCCGCCACCTCAGCTGAATGCTGCTTGTCGGACTGGGCGGAAGCGGCCTTTTCGGCTGCCAGCTCGCCCATACTGGCATTTTCAATCGCTCTGGTCTTTGCAGTGGCCGTCGCGACGGACTTGGGGACGTGTAATTGCTCGTCCGACTTCTTTAATTCTGAGACGGAGGGGGTGGTTGCCGTCGATGACGATGATTTCTTGTCCCCCTCCTTTGGCAATGGTTTCTTAGCCTCATCAATGTTGAATCCCGGAGGAGGTCCACTGTCAGTCCCAGTCGATGTGGTTTCTGTAGCGTAGCTTCTCTGAGGTAGAGCGATTGCGAGGGCCGACAACTTAGGAGGAAAGTCTCGGGCAAATCTGGACCGCGGAGCGTAGCTGGTCAAAGGGGAGGAGTGCAAAACGCGGGAATAAGCTGTCCTATGAGTCAGTATGAGCTCGAGGTCCAACATCCACAGTCTTCCGTACATTGTATAAGTAACCTCCTGGCTGCGGCATTGCTGACTATCCTTGGGCCTGAACTCATGGTCGACTATGGAAATGAATGCGGGCAAGGAGTGGCGATAATTGCAATAAGCCGGTGGTCGCAGGTCAGTGGGGTCTCAAAAAGAATGATTCCGCAAGGTCTACAAAAATGATTGATTAAGGCGGAAATGGTCTGAAGGGTTCAAAGGATCAGGTTGGGGAGCAGGCAAATGTATGAGTTGAATCCAGACTTCAGTTCACGTGTTTCATGCATCGTAATCGATCCCTCAACGAACACGTGACCCGCCGGATGCAGGGATCATCAGGCACACGCCCCGGAACTTTCAGCACCGACGTCATGCAATGGCCATTGGGGATGCCACCCAGCTGCATGATCTTCAAGCTATGTTCAATGCTCATGCAGTTTACAGCCACATTCTGCGTTCGACGGTACCGACGGTAGCGCCCTAGGCATCATTCCGAGGCTTCCGCGTTTCCAGCAAGGATCCCAGCGTGCGTCACGCATGACATTCGCCTTGTGTCAAAGGACCAGACCGTCAAATCCCACGTTATGATCTCTCGAGGCTGGTCTTCAGCGCTGTCGGCGCACTGGGACTGCGATGCACACACGTTGAATGCAGGTTGGAACACTCGAAATCAATCCGAATCACCGGTACCATGTCCATTAACACTTTGCTTACCAGGTGAGCCTCTCTCTGATCCATCTTGCGATCCGGTGCGCTTGCGTCTTTTAACTTCGGGGGACGACCCTGGAGACGAAGTGTTGCGCTGTCTGCGTTGGGCCGGCTCGTATCGCTGCATTGACCGTCTTCGTTTGTGGTGTCTTTGCCGGCTCCGGCTTCGGCTTCGGCTTGGGCTTCGTCTTCGTCGGCTGCTATATTCATCCGGACTGCGGCTTAGACGGCGGTCGTCGTGTCCATTGCGACCCCTGAGAATATCAGCGCGCTTGTTGTTGCGGTTGCCATTGGCAGAAAGATATGAGGGAGATCTGCGGCGATGTTTGTCACCCCTTCTGTAATCTCTTTGTCTGTCGCGCGATCTTGACCTTGACCGTGACGGGGAATGTGATTGACTGCGCCGATAGCGCCGCCGCTTAGGGCTCGGGCTTCGACTGCGACTAGACTCGGAATGGCTTCTAACTCGTCGTCTTCTAGGTGACCGTGAGCGTGATATATCAGAACTCGCTGGAGATCTTGTGCGTCTATCACCGGGTGATTTAGATGTCCTCCTTGACCTCCTTGACTCGTTTGGTGGAGGAGACTGGGTCCGGCTCCTGCTTCTTATATCCTGCCGCCTCCTCGAGACGGGCGAAGGGCTTCGTACAGAAGCTGGCGTCATGGAGGGAGATCTGGACCGTGAGACTGATCGGGCTGCACGACGCGATCGTGATAGAGATGGCGACCTAGATAGGGAACGAGAGGATGATCTAGTGGCAGAACGGTTTCGGCCCCGGCCAGAGTCCCGCCCTCCTCTGCCACGCCCACCGGGGACGTAGGTATCGACGTCCCGACGCGGGGGTGGACCTCGGAAGGGAGACCGTCTGCGAGGCGGCGATCTCGAGTACCTTCGGGACCGGGAGTCATATCCTCGCCCACGACCCCCGCGGTGGCCGCCTCGACCACCTCGACCACGCTCGACTCTCTCACGCTGTCGAATGGCGTCAAGATCCACCTCGCGAGCTTGTTCCTGGTCTTTCCGGTCTTTCGCCACGGAAGCGGCCTTTTCAGCGTCGATCTAGCAGTATCAGCATAGTCCTAGCCCTAGCTACAGGTGTGGTACCTTCTCTTGAATGAGTTCCAACTTTTTAGCCTCCAGAAGTTCTTTCGGGACACCCTGCGGGTTTGATTGAGCGCTCAAACACAGATTCCAGAGCTCCTTGCAAAATTTCGGGGTGTCCCTGTCAAGAAACCCGGTGAGCGAGATCTGAAGCGCTTTGATGTCGGGCTAGTGCGTGGTCAGTTGTGTTCGTGTGAGAGGTCTTATGCTGGCGTACGTAGCGCGAACCCTCGAGCAGATTGAAACATAGCTCGATCACCACGTCATCCTCAGAACCAAGTATTTCGGAGATCTTGCCTGCAATCCACCTGGTTCAAGCACGTTAGGGACCAGACATCAAAAATTTCCTGTGCTGCCAATCTCACCTTTTCATGACTTCAACGTTGACTTTCTTCATGTCGACCTTTTGATTGAACTCGGGCGGGAACTTGGTCTGCCGGAGCAGCTTTTGATCCACGGCGGTGGCCATGATGTTGTCGAATTGCAGCGACAGGAGGTAGAGCTCTGCTTTCGGACTCGCAATCGACGACCGTAAACCTCGAAAGATGAGGATCTCCGCAGCAGGACGAGGAGGACTTTCGCTAACAGTGCTGGGGAAGGTTGAGCGAGCTCAGCCTCGTCAGCCTCATGAGCCTCATGGGCGTTGTGATCCAATTGATGAAAAATCTGCTCCGTACTTTGGCACAACCTCGATGTGGATTTGACTGAAGCGCCATGATCACATCCTTTGTGACGTCTGGCAGGAGTGATGTGGCGAGATGCTGGCTCTTTCCTATTTCCACGACCCCGGATTCGTGCAAGACCGACCCAGGGGTCTGTCAGTCGCATCCCTCGCGCTCTTCCATCATGCTCCGTACAAGTCGGATGCTACTCTTGCATTCCCCCCTACGCCAGTATACCATCGCTATGCATTCTTCCTCAGATTCCTTCAACATGAGTAATGAGCACGTCTTGTCCGTATGGGCGGTCAAATAGACGTTATTCTCCCCACTCCACCGGTCTGGGTTGGCCCTGGCCCGAACACCCTGCCTGCGAGCACTTCCTGGCTTCCCCGGGTCTGAACCCTCTCGTTGACCCTGAACCCATCGAGCCATCAAAAGGTGGAAAGGAGCCGGCATGTCTATTCTTTGACAGTCGAGAACGTCGCTTATGTCTGACAGGCTTAGGATTTACATAGACTGACCGTTGAAACTCGGAGGAATAACGAATTTGAGCCTCACGAGCTCCGGGCCAGCACAGCTCCACCGCCTGCATTGGGTTCAACCGCTTTCTTTGGAGCAAAGAGGCCGTCAGTTGAGGCGCTCGTCAATCGCTTTGAAGAAGTAAGTAGGTTAGGCATCTGTCACGATTTCGGCTAATCAGACTAGAAAGACCGCCTCTGTCGAGCCCCGACAGTTCCTTTTGAGCGAACACTTACTAACCCGGCACCAATACTCCGCCAACGTTATTTAGCAGCCGTCGAGTCACAGAAACCAACATCGTCCAGTTATTGCCCTAAGGAGGCTATCCTTCGGCAAAGGCCTGGAGAAGAGGAGATACAATTCATCGAACAGGCCATCACGAGCAAGCCTCTTGCTGGCTCACCAACCTCTTCTCCTTCTCCGTTAACCTCACTTCCGAACTTCACTACCGAGCCGTCACCCGTCAAGGTCAAAGTGTCCGCTCAGTCAATATCGATCATAATCCCAGAAGGTACAAAGCTTCCAGTTGTTGCCACCATCGAAGCTGCAGGTCGTCTTGAGCTCGACACGCAAATGTCCGCTGCACAAGCCGGAGAATCAAGCGAGGCAAGTCGCAATCATAGCGGTAAATCACAATCACGACGACCGAGCCGACGCAATACCATATCAGAGGGATTTGGGAGCCAAGCTAGCGAGAACCAGGCGATCATTTCGAAGATCAATTTGCCGTTCCTCTCAAGCCGCGGGATAGGTCGACTGAACGTTTCCGAGGCGTCAATTCCTGCACCCAGAAGCTCTGACATCTCTGCACAAGGGCAAGTCTTTGTTTCTCACGAGCGTCCCGGTGGACCCGTTGTCGAAGCTTTGCATGACCACCCGAAGAGGTCGAACGAAGCAGCAACAAAGACACCTGAAGCCTCCGAACCGCCAGCAAACCCACCGAGAGACGAGCACTTCCAGCCTGCCGATACTCCCTCTGATCCAGGTGTCGCTCAAGGAACCGCGCCGGAAGATCCCAAAGCTTCCCTACCAAGCACAACTACCGCAGATACCACAAGACCAGCGTTGCCCTTATTCACGCAATCAGAGAGTGCTGTCGAAGTCACAGGGCAACCATTCGCCAAACTTGGACCTACTCAGGCGCGTTCGGTCCCTGCAATCAGGATTCACAGACCTAGTGGCACGGTCATGGCTGAGTCAGTAGGAACAACAGCTATCAACGGCGCCAAGCTGCCGGCCACTCCTATGCAATCGGCACTTGAACAAAGTCCACCCATTGCGGGGACTGCGGCGCTCAACCCTCTTTCGACGACGGTAGCAGCCATCCCAGCCCCGACTAACCTCCCAGTGGACACCTCCAATGTCACCAATGCTGTCAGCGTAGCAACTTCGGCCCTGCCGAGCTTACCTGTGGGTGGCAATGTTGGCAAAAGGAAGAGGGTGATCCGGAAGACACGCAGGCTTGTTGTCAGAAGGCGCCTTCTGGCCATTATCATTGGGCGCGACCTTGCTAATGTTCTCCATCCACAACTCAACGCAGCCGGAAATGTTGCTGGCAGTGTGCCCTTGCCGGTCGATGGACCAAGTGACTTGGTCAGCAGCTATACGAGCCGAACCGAGCGCAAACGAGACTTCCGCCGTCGAAACCTGGACCAAAAGATTGCGGCTGCCAGAATCCATGCAGAAGCAGAGGAGATCCACCGGTGTCGGATGTGCCGAGGGCTGACGAGGACAATGTATCTACGACGTTATCACCGACTTCAGCTCAAAAGAGACAGACCTGACATGAATACCGTCGATCGGCATGCGACGGCCATGAGTCGAGTCGCGGTATTCAAGTGCAAGTGCGACAGGCGACTACTTGGGGTGTCCAATAAGGTGGCAGTCCGGGATGCGGCGCCTACGCAGCATCTGAGAGGTCCGGCCGCCGCTGATGCTCCTTTGTCTGGAGTTGAGGCGGCGCAGCAGCGTTAGAGATTGACCGGAAGAGGGCATATTATTATCGGTGTTTGGGATTTGCTCCAGTGCGGTACTGCGTACATACTGTGTAGGCTCATTATTAGCAGCGCATGTTCTACTCGAGTGATTCCTGGCTTTAGCACGAGCCTCTCATCGAGACGTCCTCAAAGACGCCAGAACTTCGTCTACAGCCCTTCCCGCTTGCTCCAACTCTGGATCCGGGCCTGTCTCAAGATATTTCAGTTTGACCCCGTAGTGCAGTGATAACAATTCGTTGGCACGTTGAAGGTCCTGGTCGTCGCCTCGAGTATCGCGTCCTGACGAGTGTGCCTGCACGTCCTCTGCCTTCTCTGTTGCCGTTGTTTCTGTTTCTTCCGCTCCGGTAGGCGCCGGTGGTTTGACAAGAGCGGTTGCAGCCTCATGTGACTATCGGACGTAATTATTGGCAACGTGATCAAGAGTGGACTACGCGAAGGCTTACTTACGCAGATGGTCAGGGATTTGAGATCTGAAAGGAATGCGGCAATTTGCATCTTTGGCATGGCAAGGTTGGTGATCGGTGTGGATCCCGTCGAGGATGGCGATGTCCATATGGTGGCAGGCGAAGTCAATGTGAAAGTGAAGTCAGAATGAAGTGTTGTACACTGTCGATATGACGGAGAGCCAGCCAATGACAACGTGAAACTCTCCCGCGCCGAGAACACGACGGGTTTGCAGACATCTACCTCTCACCAAATTGCAATAACTGTACCTCCCTTCCTCAGTAAAGCTGGTGCTCATAATGCAAATACCACTTGTTGCTCTTAAGTATACAATAAGCTGAGTATACCACACTGCCACAATCTGCATCCTTGCGACAGGTCAGGAAGACACCAATCATTGACTTGGGTCTGAGCAATCATCGAGATCCTCCTAAGTTGCTTCTCATCTAACTCTCGGCAGCTCGTCGACTCGCAAAGTGTTCTGTGCAGCATATGCGTTCTGGTCTCAAACGCCGTCGTTCACGGAGGCTCCTTCCCATCCGTTGCTGGTGCAGCAACAGGCGAATTCGTTGAGAAGCCTTGCATGGCACCGCTCCCTGCAGCCCATGACTGTGTCGTCGCCCATGTTCGTACGCCCCAGCTTATTGAGCTAGAACATGAACATGGCTCAGCCTGTACGGATTCAAAGGCACAAAATGAGGCAGTATCCAATCTTGTATTGCTGAGGATAACCGAGCAGGCGCTAGCATCCACCTTGTATAGGCATTGTTACCAGGAGAGAAAGTTCGAGCCAGTATTGTGGACTCAGGAGCGACGACTTTTCCAAGCATTCGAGATGTACTCACAGCCTCACCCTAGATAATCTGCTCACAGCCCAGTCTACCCCCGAAGCTAAAGCAACATTAGAAACAGTCCTGGCGTCACTTTGAGACTGTGCCTGTCAGTCCAACTGATCCGACATGCCGCTCTTGGGAAGGGCCGCAGAGAACCACAGCTCGGACGCTCGTCGCACCCGCGAAAGGATGTTCCCTGCGTACCCTATGAGGCCGTATGCATAAAGCCAATCCGATAACGAACACTATTGGTCAACAACTATCTTCAGCGAATGATCTGAGCATAGAGGTGACGCTACACAATGGCCTGTTTCGTGGAGATTCTCAGGATCAACTAGCTACCAGTTAGCTTTGATCTCGCCGTCATACCAGTGGCGCCGCCGAAGACGTCGAAGATCGGTGCAGATTTACCTCCATCGTCACGCTAGGCGAGCGTGTCGCAACGGCTGCTCAATATGCTTAGCGGAGCGGCGCTAAGACCTGGCAGTCAAACCCACCCCTTCTTGAGAGCAAGAATGGGCGAGCGGTGAAACCGAAGCACCAGCAGACCAAACGACGGCGTAGACGGCCGCTTCAGTCCGCATGATAGACTTCTCCAACGGTCTCCACACATGGGTACCCTTGTCTACCGTCGTGTCGCCTCTGAGAGGCCTCGACCGAGCAAGACAGCCGTGTCCACCTGCCTATACTAGACGAAGACGGCAAGACCCTGATAATGCATCGTTGTCACATCACCGCACGAATCTGTTCGGTGAATAGCTAAACTCCGTATCCAGTTCTGCAACCCAGTACCTGGTACCCAGTACATCGAACTCTGGCCCCTGCTTCAACCGCTGCTGCTCAGCCTTGTCACTGATAGCAAGGCCGCTAGCATGACTCGCTGGTAAGATTGTCCAAGTGAACTCCTATCGCGACTCACAAAGTGGGCCGGAAACCATCGCACTGTGCTTGTTGGACCGGGTTAATCGCACTAAGCCCTATGCTCAGGCGATCTGTCGTCGCTCCTGGTCCGGGCGATCTCCCACCATGTACGACGGGTTACAGTGTCGTCGTGTCTCTGAAGACAATTTTCGCCGCATCATCTGTGAGTATATCGACGAGAGATTCTCCGTGCTCGCAAGAGATTCGATCATCAAATGCGGTGGTGCTGAGCATCAAGGGCATCTTAGCGGACCCTTTTCGCAGCTTTGAGCCTCTTCGCTCCAGACCTGTCCGAAAGGATGCTTAGGGCAGTGTAGAATCTGCTGGCCTGCCTGATTCTAGTCCTACCAGTTCGCCGCAGTCATACGGCGCTACGTTTTGCCAGAGTGATGTGGAAATTGAAGGAACCATATGCTCACTACTTACGTTACCCCAACAAGAATAGCCACCTCATGAAGGAGTCGGCGTTCCTGTGCGTGTCCCATTTCAGGAATATCAGAACATGACGAGCTCGGACTCCGTTCCTTGGGTGTGCCCACCCTGGTAGGGATCACCGAAGGGGGTCAACTGGGCGACGAAAGGCTCCATGGAATTGGGTGCCTTCGAGAGCGAGCACTGTGGGTGATACCTCCTACATTCTCAGAGGAAGGGCCGGAGGATGGGCCCCGAGGAGTTCCTGCCGTGGAATCCTACGAAAGGCCTCCTACGGGCTGGCGACAAGGTGCAGCAAGATCCAATCAATTATACTCCGTACTCACCTGGCCATGCGACAACGAGAACGAAAATCCCGACTCACAGACATGTGTACAATACTCCGCACGTGTGACGCGATACTTGCCGGGCAGTGAGACGTCATTACAAAGCCTTTCAGCCCCCTTTTCGCTGTGGGGTTTTGGAGCCTCGTCGCTGCCACCCCGGCCCTCCGATTCCGCGGTCGTGTTTGTACGACTATGACTAAGCCACTGAGTGTTAAATTTTGGTCCGGCCGCGACTTGCTTACGGAGGACTCCTGCGCAACATCCGTATGCACACGGAATAGCAATCGACGTACGGAGTACATCAATTGTGTCGCTACAGTGGCACAGTCTTGACGACACCGGGTGTGTCATCGGTACATGCGTACTTACTGAGAGAAGCACCGTTGGAAAGAACGGGGACGAGGCTACCGTTTCGCTCTTGCCTAAGTCATGAGGCTGATAAAACCTACTGAGACCTTCCTCTTTCGCTTCCCGACGGTTGAACTGCCTACCTATTTTACCGGACGGATCGAGCACAACCTCGTCACAGGCGCCGGCACATTCTGTCCGACCATAAAACACGCTATCAAGCGCGGACCTAGGGACTTGGTACCCAGTACTCCGTATGTACACAGTAAGCAACGTCCCCCAAGTGGGGACGGGATCGGCGAAAATGCTGCCAGGACTATAAGGTACTTGCGAGCTACCGGACATCCTTTTAAATCACTTTACCCACTATCCCACGACATTTGCATAAAGCCCATGACGAGTATTCCTTCGACGTTTCGTGTTGATCTTTATTACTCCTCGCCACCAATATACGGGTCTAATATGCATGCGATACGGAGCTATCGTAAGGGATAACCCGGGTAGGAGATCGTGGATCTACAGTGGTTTTCTAAACCCTTGGGTCCACCGCACATATGATGTACAGCGGATATATCACCGATTCGTGGGCACGTGGGGGTGTGTTACGTCCCTCTTGGCCAAAAAGGGCATTGTAGTACTATGTTCAGAGTATCTCATGCGCCTGTACCTTTCGCATCCAATATGCCGCCCCCAATACGAGCTACCGGGCATCCTTGTCCCGCGAGTACTCGGACTCAGTACTCCGTACTGTGCGAGGTGCGGTGTACGAGGGGGTTTCTGCTGCACTCCTGCTCCGACTCCTCTGGTGTCCGCCATGACGCATCTATTATCTGTTGTGGCCTCATCCTTCTGCCCTATGCTCCAAGCGTCCATCCATCCCGCCACATCCCCCAAGCACAGCTCAGCACAGCGTAGCACTTCGATGTACTGTGGACGAAGCCAGTATCTCAACTTCGCAGCTCCCTTACTCGAAATGTCTCGGGTGGTGACCGGCGAGCAGTGAGCACGGACGTATAATTAGACCCGGAAATTTTTCCCACTACTGCGTCCAGTAAGTACGTCCTCGTACTACTCTAGGTACATTCGACTGTGCGCGAGTATGTACCTAGTGCGAAAGAAGGCAGGTTGTTTACACTACTTAGTTAAACCAGTCCCAGTCTGAATACGGTCCTCGCTGGGGAGACATGGCTGGATAGATGGAACGAGTATACAGCTCGACAGAGACACAGTGAGCTCGAAGCCCCGATCAAGTAATTCTCTTTCGGGGGGAAATTTCCTGGCAGCGAGAAAGGGTGCCTTGGTGAGCCCCAGCCAGCATCGGGAATTGTACTTCGAACGAGTACTGCACACAGGACGCAGCTTGCTGCACGGCAGCCAGCACTGTGAGGACGACCGAAGTGCACGGGAATTTACTCCAAGCAAGGCTCACTCAAGGCTGAGAGAGGTCCCGTCCTTGTGTAATTCTCAATCCTTATCGGCCACAGTATCACCTTCCATGTACATTATTCATACAAAGTACCTCGTGCCCAGCACCGGCCAGCGCTCCACTTGCTTCTGGCGTAATAGTGTACGGCAGGAGGCCAGAACCCAGTTCAGTGATCCTGCAGAGGAACAGACGCAGTGCTGGGTGCTGGGTCCTGCTTGCAACGTATGGGTAAATGCCACACAGAGCGCACATCGCAAGGCTGAGTCGTTTGTCAACACATTGTACTGTGCTCCGTTTGTACCTCATTTCGTATATGCCGCCTACTTATCATCGGCCTACCTAGGTACCTTTAGTGTACGACGGGTAAAGTTATCCATAGCTCTTCCGCACATGGGTCCCTTCGCTCCAGGATGTCAGGACCTCCACTTGCTATGCACGCGCGTCCAGGGTTCTGACCACTGTATAATGTATGTACTCTGTACCACGTCCACTCTGATCTTGCCGAGGAGCCTTGTGAGACTCCAGACCAGGCATTAGCAATGCAACGAACCGGAACGGGCATGCAAGAGGTCTTGTACTGGTTCATTTCTGGTCTGGTATCGCCTTGCCCCTTCCTTGTGTTATACTCGGTCTGACGGTCCAAAAAAAGCCCATATTTCGAGAGAAGTACAAACAAGGTAGCGGCACGACATTTACCCCGCTAGGACGGCCAGAAAGGGAGCTTGAGCTTCCTGGGGAAGCCCGCGCAGAGGTGTAGCGCGGCGACAGCATGTGGCAGTAGCGGCCGGAATTTCCCCTCTTGCTGGTACCAAGGTCGGCAACGTCTCGACGTAAGGAAATCAGCGCCAACAGCACTAACATGTACTGAGCCATGGACGAGGGCTCGACGACGGTGCACCTTGACCCGCATCCTGTACTCCCTTGCGAGCTCGAGCGTCGATTACTCATCGTTGAGTCAGATTGATTGTCCTCGGCCATCGTCTGCGCCCCTCACCTCACGGCGACAAATCGACTCGTATGCCGTCCATTTGGTGAGCTCAAAAGCCCGAGAGCGTGCAAGTTGGACGTCAGGGGAACGAATAACCGGTCAGGCAGCAGAGCTGGTCCATCGCGCACCTTCCCAAGTCTAACTCCGTAGTAATCAATCCTCCATGCTCCGGCATCTCTGCTCTAAGAGCATTCTAACCTGCCATGGCGAATTGGGGTGCTGAACTCGATCCTCATACACAGCAACCACCGGCTGGACGCACCTGAATGAGTGCAGGTGCCGTCGACCAGCACGTCTAGCCAGATCAGTGGCGGATCTGCCGCAACTTTACCGGACGACATGCCGCATTTGCCTTAGATCAGGATATCGTCAACACAGTGTGCAAGAAGCGGTGGACGCGACGAATGCGTTGGAGAAAAAGAAAATCTGGACTGTTGTCGAGTCTAGGAGCACCAAGACGTTAGGGGACTGGTGAGGCACGGCGGCTCTGTAGGACCGCCTCCGGATCCTCCCAGGCTGGACTGTTCGCCTATCGTCGCTCCTTTTTCCCGACCAAAATTTTATTGAGAAGCGTCCTTCAAACGTCAGCGGAATGAGTCGGGACTAGCTCGCAAACAGGCAATAGTGAAGAGAAAGCAGATGTGAGATGACAGAACGTAGCTTATGACATGGGAATGGTGCGTTCTCGAGTAGGAAGGTGACGATGTGAATGGTATGACCATGGTCAATATCTGATTGCCAGAGTCCTGTTGAGTAAATGCGGCTTCGCCTACGACGGTGGGCGCGCGATGTAAAGCTTCTAGGCCGAGAACAACACTGGTGTCATTTGCTAGCCTTGCATGACTGCACATCTTTTCGACTCTGGTAAAGCTTGCTGCCGCCGTTGTATTGCATCCTAAACACCGCTCCTCTGCGTTGGTGAGAGGGCTTTGATGCCTTCACTCGCCAATGTTACATTGCATTTCGTAGGCCGAACGCAAGGCCTTGCCTCTCTCCGTAACGCGCGGCTGCGTCGCGGTGGGCGAGCCGACGTCACCGCCATTGGTAAAAATCAACACTTTTGCTTTAATCGGCAAAAAGTGGCAAGTCTTGCAACGTCTGTGGCTGGGTATGGGTCGGCCCATTGACATGTGGTACGTACCCGGAACCCCTGCCCACGGATTTGGGGTTCCCCAGCACCAGGAAAATGGTCGGATGGCGCTGCCGAAAGCGCTAGCTGTTGGCATTCTGGAGACAAATCAATTGCTGACGAGGACCCAGTCTGAGGTGTTGTGCGGCACTTCGCGAACAGACATCGTGGGTTGACCTTGGCACTGTGGTGAGGCCCTCCAAGCTAACCAGGACCGTCCCCAAGGGAAGACCCTGGCCCGTTTCTAGGGATCCTTCAGCGATTTGGCCTGCCCCGGGAAGTCGTCTTTGCCCACGAGAACAGCACCGAGCTCCTAGTTTAATGCCATGCTGGTCATTTTCCGATCCGTGACTAGAGCTGTTGTTGATCGATCTCAGAGCAAATCGAAGGCACCTTTCGTGCAGTGCGAGTTTCAGAGGTCCCCTGATGAGATGGGGAGGTAAGCACTAACGGGCCGATGAGGGGTCAACGAGGCCATGTCGTCAGCAGGAAGTCGGTCGTTGTGGCTTGTTAATTTTCGTGCTCTGTGCCTTCTTGGGTTTGGTCCCTATGGCAGGGAATGCCATGAAGAGCGACAGCCAATGGGCAACCTCGTCGGTCATCATGGATGACAGCGAGCTGCACGGGAGCAGCAGACTGTGGTTCGCCCGTTCTTTAGGGGCGTGGCGTGATGCAATAGGTTCATTGCGGCCTGGTAACTCGATCTGTGATAATCGTCGACTTGCTGATACTGCTCGGCCGAGTGGGCGAAGACGCCTGTACGGTTCAAGAGGCCCAGACGCCTACTCCACTCCTGATTGACCTTGGACAGGTGAGAACCTAGTCTTCTCAAGACCATTGCCAGGACGGGAACATATCCACAGAAGATCGAGGCTCTGCCAGGGACTGGCAAGAAGCGTTCCTTGCCCGTCATTATCCCGTATGTGCTAACGGGCACGACCCGTGGTCTTCATTGGGCACAACCCTGGGGGGGAGACCTTTCCAACTGCATCAGAGGTTGACTCGAGGCATGGATACGTTCCCACCAGTATCTCCATACACCTAGAATACGGATGACGACAACAAATATGTCCAATCCTGGCATGATGCATCATAACATGTCGTAGTGCCGGACATAAGAGGTGCCTTTTCTAATTCAGTGTCGGGGATCTTTGTAGCGAAACCAGTCCGTCGTACACCTCTTTCGGATGACAAATTGCAAGTGGGTGTGGAACACAGAAAGGCAGGACGGAGTGAATAGTGACATGCTCACACCTGGTATCGTCGTTAACATAGAATTGATTGAGAAATCTGACAGCAAATGGGTATCACTGGGTGCTGCATGTCTTCCCCTCCTCAGACGCAGCCCAAGAACCTCGAGGCAATCCCCCGTCATTGATGCGGACCGAACGAGGCCGGTAGCGCAACCTTGTTTTGCAGATGACACCGTTGTAGGCGTAAAGAGAAGAAGGCCAATCCGACGTCTCTGCATGCCACGGTAGAAAAGTCGACACCGAGTTGAGCCGACAGCTTGGAGTTGAACATCTGCGTGGCGGCTAGCCAGATGAGTAGACGGAAATGCTAGGATTGGCAGGCTCGATCCTCTGCACACACCTGCAAGACTAGTGATAGGCGGCAGATGACACTCCAGAGAGGAAACTCCAACAAGAAGAGGGCGGGGTTTGGGAGGCCGCCAGACAACTCTCGAGCTGGTTAGCATGCTACCCTGCACCTCGGGTCCTTCCGCTGGCCGGAGTTGTAACCCTCGACGCCCTGACATCCATGCAACATGGAGGGCTTTTTCGAGCCGGATCCCGACGAAAAGAGCCGCCGCTCACGTCTCGTCCTGGGCTTCATTGATCGTGGCACCACCCATGGGCCGTTCTGGGAGGCTGCTGGGTCCTCGTCCTGGGCTCGAGTCACTCCCAGTTGGTGATATTCCAGCTAGATCCTGAGGGACTTCCTCGCGCAGGCACACATTTTCCAATACGTTGGTCCATTTCCCACTCTGTCCAGCGTGGCTGTGTTTGAGGTGCTGTCTGAAGTGATCGGCCCGGAAAAATTTCTTTGCTTGGTTGCACTCGCCAAACTTGTGGATGTTGGTGAGGTGGTCAATTCGGCGATCCCAGTCGGGCTGCGGCAGATTGGGGAACTCCTCTCCGCAATAGCCACAAACATCGGCTTGGGCACCCGCTGAGCCAGGTGGCGAGGAGACCGGGTGAAACGCTGCCTGATAATTCGAGATAGCCGCACATGACCAGGAGTGACGTCGTAGATGAAGCGAGTTCTGATGGCGCTCTGCCTCGTTTTTGTTCTTGAAGCGATTGTTGCAGTACTGGCAGGTGTACTGCTTCTCCATCTGGTGTGCTCTGATACAGAGCAGTCAGCAAGAGATTGGAAAGGGCGGGATTAATAAGTTAAGAGGAAAGCGAGAAGGATAAGGGTGGGCGCTTAGCGAGTGTCACCGGGTCGACTTACCTCAGACCTTCTTCGGCGTCGAACTTCTTGGGCTTCTTGGGGCAGCAATCACATATGAAGTAGTTGCCAACGCGCGTAGCTGGAGGGAGCATGGAGTCGGACATTGCAATGTGTGTAGATAGTTTGCGGACCGCAGATTTCGTGTCGAGGAGCGGCTGAGTAGGCTGTGTCCTGGAAGGCACAACTGACGTGGCAGCAGGACTCGGGATAGGCTGAGCCGAGGTTATGTATGCAGTCTGCGAGGCAGGGTCTAGCGGTGACTGTCGCTCGAAGGAAGAGATACTGGTCATGCTACTGCCGGCAATTGAAAGCGCAACAGACGATGCATAGGAGTTGTGCCTGACGCTCGACGCAGTGGACGAGACAGATCCATGCTTGGGTTGATAATATCTCGAGCCCGGCGAGCGTGCCAACGCAGTCGTAGGGACTTTGTGGTGGATCACTTCTGTTGAGCTGCCGCCACGTGATGGAGACTTGTCGTCCCGAGCCACTTCGGATGGGGGTGACCCAGCCCGACGCTTCATGCCCTGCTTGGAGGATCGCCGACCCACCTGCTGCTCCTGCGAGTCGCCGAGATTTAGATTGCGGAACGCGCTCTGGTCATCGCCTACGACGTCGGATTCCGTCTCAGCAAAGAATCCTGGATCGTAGCTACTCCGGTACGAGCGGCCTCCCACGCTGGCCACTTCATCATTCGGCGTGGCACCTGATATGGAAGGCAGACCACCCGCCCGAGGCTGAAGGAACAGTTCCGGGTCCAACACGAGCGAGTGCGCAGTGTTGTCGATTGAGGGACTCCGATGCTCCATATTGTAGTCACGCCAGCCAGGGCGCGAGCCCGGCGAGATGCCTGCTGAGACCGGACTCGTGATCCATTTAGACACCGGATCAACGAGGGCTGACGGAAGTTCAGTGGCTGACAGCAATCGGAATTTTGAGTTCACGGTCTGCAGCGAGAGTTGCGAAGCATAAGACGGGCCATCTGTTGAGCCTGAACGTTGATGTTGAGGTGGCGAATTGCACTTCCCAATCTTGGACAACAGTCTCTGGTCGTATGCCTGCGCGGAACGGTCGTAATTGCGCCGGGCGAGGGGAACTTCTCCTTGTAATCTAAAATAGAAAGGCTCATCAGCATTTCCATCCTCTTTCGTCCATCGCCACTCGCGGCTAACGGTCATGGGGGCCAGATTTGGCCCCCACGATACAGTAGGCCGGTATCCCACAAAAGCACGTCACTGAAGCTCGGGCAGGTCATTCAATACGATACTGCAACGCCGTATTGTAACAAGCGACCATACCACGCCGTATTGCACTGGAAAGAAAAAAAGCAACTGCGCAAAGCGTGCCACCGCTGACTCACCTCTGATTTGCCAGATTTGGAGAGGGCGGTTTTCGGCGGCCTGCAGGTACAGAACCGCCAAACCGCATTTCGGCCTGTGACGGTGATCTTACCGTCGACACGTTGCTGCTCCTACGAGGATACTTGTCGTCGTCGATGCTCATGTCGTCGTCGTCGTTGTCGTTGTCGTCGTCGCGGCCATGTGGCAGGGAGTTTCTGGACCGTACGAAACTGCCGTGAAGACTTGAGCCTGGCTTAATCGGCGCCAACTGTCGCTGACCCTCGAAGGGATGGCTGTTTGCCCAGTTCCAGGCCAAATCTACACCGTTGGCCAGGTCGTCATTGAAGGCGGGCGGCGGCAGCGGTGGAGGGACGTCATCGAAGCGTATGCCAGGTATCACAATTGGTTGTCGAGGCTGAAAGGGGTCGTCAGAGGTTTGCGAGTTGGATCGAGAAGTGCTCCGAGGTGAGGCAGGTCTGGGTCTGTAGGCCGACAGCTGTATCCGCGTCCCAGCCGCTCCAGCGCCGTGGATATCCATGTTTTCTGCGTTGGGACCGTTTAGGGCCGCTGCAACATCGGACAACGGTGGGGGGCAAGACTGCTCCGATGCGTGGTTGTACTGCACTTTAGTAGTCGTCCGCTCCCGGGGGACTTGGATGTGGCGAGGACGTGGAACTCGTTGCAGTCACCTCGTGTGGGATGTGCTTTGCTTGGGGTAATCCGCCTGGCTTAGCCGACGCACATGTGCCTGGACGCCCCGTCTTTTGCAGTTTATGTATGCAATATTGTGACCAGCCAGAGGCTAATCCTCCAAATTGATCTTGCTGGTCGTAGATCGTAGGTCGTACAAAAGGGTCGTGGCGCCTCTATGGTGAAGGTAATGTAAACAGTCTATATGGGCCGGCGGGAAGGTACAGGGTTGTTACAACAGTTTCTGGCGGTAAGGACAGGATGTAGAGCGGAGAGCAGTCGGTCTCTCCCTCTCCCAAGGTGGGTTGTGTCAGGATAAACACAGCAGGATGTGAGAACCAGTAAGAGCAGGTCTTGCAAGATATGAGCGACGGTTTAAGAGGGGAGGGTTGAACGGGCCGGTGAGCCACGATCAGGCGAGCAGCATGTAGGAGGATGCGGGATAGACATGCTGCATCAGAACGAGGTATGCGGTGTAAGGCGTGAAGTATGATGTGAGGGCAGTTCGCATATGGTGATTTCTCTGCAGAATTCAGTTTCGCAACGTTACTGGCCGTCGAGCGGTAGTCGTTGGCCGTCTAGGCGAGCAGGAAGGAAGGGGAGGGTACAGTCGGCTCTTGGGATTGACTGCAGGGACCGGAGCAAGCGTAGGGTACGTAAGAAGGACGAGGTGAAGGATGAGGCCGGAGGGTCAGGACTGGGGTAGGAGCTGCAGAAAGCAAGACTTCATCACTGCGAATACTAGTCAGTATGGGAGGCGTGATGGGATGGCAAAAGGGCACGGTCCAACCTGCGAAGCTCCGCGGTTCTTGTCAAAGTCAGTCATGCAAGTCGCAAAGCCATGCGATTGCGCCTCCTGGTGTGCTACAAGGGTAGGCACGGTAGGGTAGGCGGACCAGGCAGGCAAGCCAGCTAGGCAGGGGAGACGGTGGACAGCTGAATGGCGCCTCGGGTGGAGCGCAGACGGTAGACACAGACTCAGCGGCAGGGCTGTTCGAGGGATACGAGCGCCAAAAGCCTAAACGGCAAGCCCTAAACTCCATGAATAATGTAGCGGCTACAAGCGCGGGCGCAGGCGCAGGTTCAGGTTCACCATTATTCCACCGTCCCGTTTATCTGGCTTGTTTTGGGCGGGCTTCAGCCCTACGGCACGCAGCCAGATCGGCATGGGCTTCTAGCGCAAAACAGAGTAAAGGCTGCATCCGTCCCGAGGGCACCAGGTTGGGTGGGGTCAGCGTTGGGCCTTGCTGGGCTAGACTGGGTGGCCTGTGAGCTGGTCGCAAACACGAGTTTTGCGGCCAATCTCGATCACTCTACACTGATGGAACCTCGGCGTTCGATTTCTTGCCGACTGCGTGCTTTTCCTCTTTTCTGGCTGTCCCGTAATTGCAGGGCACAAATCTATCCGCTCGGACACAGAGGTGGCGGCCACGGTGCTGCAAGGTGCAGTGCGGTCAGCAACTCTTTTTCTCTTTCACCCGTGCCGTCTCATCGGCACATGATGAGCCTCACACACGGCTGGCTGAATCCACGGGCAATGATAAGCCCAGACAAATGGAAGGCAGATGTCTTGGGAGGGTAAGGAGCTAAGAGCCATGAGAATAGTGCGAAGAGGCGTGAGCTGACCCTTACGCTTCTCAGGGTCGGTAGGGCAGACCTACTGGATACTGACAGGCCAATGAACCGGCTGCCATCGTTGGACGAACCCCTGCAAAGCTGCTCGGCTGCCCCGCCATACTCTATCCCACGCCTCGACGAATGGCCGGCGGGTCGCGGGACCTCCCTGATGAGTCTATGAAACCACAGCCGGCCACCGACATGGCATGAGCCCGTGAGGCAAGCTTGCACGCGTGCAATGATTTGCAGCCATCGCGGCGCAAGCTGGCATGATTGGATGATTATGACACGATCATTGTCCAAGTTGTCAAACACGGCATCAGTCTTACCGCAACTGAAATAGAACCCGCCAACCAATTCTACCCCGTGTTGTTTATGCTGCCACCCGTCCGCTGCTCTAGATTCGCCCGAGCTGAGCCTTATGACCACGCCTGGAAAAGGCGGAAGATCTATTGGAAATGGGTGCTTCCCGAGAGACGCACCTTCTTACGTTCTCTTTTCGAGTAACCCAGGGCTCCCAAGCATGCCTTTTTGGCACGGCATCCTTTACGGTCTCCCTATGTCAAGGTCGAACTATCGCGAACAGTTGGCACGTCGGCGGGCCGTTTGCTGCATGCTCGTGCATGGCTACTGCAGAGCATTCACCGTAGATAGTTGAGCTCCGCTTGGTTGAAGAGTGCTCTGTCAATGCTCCTCGACGCCTCTTCGTATGCTCCTCCACGTCATAGGCTGAAGCAGCGCTGACATGGGGCTGGATTCGTATCCCATGACTAGTTGATTCAAGAACACTTTCCACGATGAGTGCCGAGCTCACCCCTTGCTTCCGTGCGAGATGTCGGATCCAGTCCATTGTTCGTGGAGCGTCCCCGAATGATTATGCCCGGTCACGAAGGTCTACTGGGATAATCGTAATGACTGGTTGAGTTGGATGTCAACCCAGATGGTGCAGTGCCGCAAGTGATATTCAGTGGTTGGCACGAAATCACCGCCCTACGTCTTCCTTGTTCTGCCCTATGAGGCCGATCTTTAGCGCCTTGCAGAATCAACATGCCGCCTTTTGTGGCTAGTGTGTTGGCACAGGGGATTCAATTAGTCAAATTCTACTGGATACTCTCCGTCGTCCGAGATAGGATTCTTGTGTTTTCCGGAGCTCGCTTGACCTCGACCTTCTATTTGCTGCATGCGCGCCTTCTTCGTGCAGTGTATTGTGGACTGTGTACCAGGTACCTCAACCCATTCTGATCAAGGGGACACGGCCCCATGGAGTCCCGAGATGACTAATTTGTGCTTCGCGTTTGCCGGGACTCTAAGGCAGGCATTGCGACCTTGACATTCAGAGATACGAGTAGTGAATAGCGTGAACACTTTGGTTCAGGCGTCTGCAGGCGACGAACCTGCTTCGTCCGATCGTCCGAGGGCCCCGCAGGCTCTGTCGCCCGAGGATCCAAACTGGTTTCGGGACTGTGGAGAGTATGTCGAACACCCAAGGGGCATACTTTAGCAAAATGCGGATCTACACGAATAAGTAGCGTTCTGCCTTGAGAGACGACAAGGCTGATAACCTGTTGGTTGACTCGATCATTCAGGGTGACGTTGATGAGGTTTTCTGGCGACTGGCGTTAACTCGTAGGGGGTAGTCGAGTTGTGGATGAAGTTTCCAGACCACTTACAACCCAACTTACCAGAGATGTAGAGATGGAGCCTGGCGTCGGAGCGAGAGTTCCAGAGATGGGCAAACGTCCGGGTTGATCCTTTTGAGTAGTCACAGTCCGTGCCCAGGGAAGATGGATTGGAAAGCGGGTCGAAGACCGCTAAGACGGTTGCTGAGTGGTTGGCAGGCACGGGGTGCCTCGTACCTCGTATCCTAAGTTCAACTCAATTCATGGAGCAGCATTATCACCTGGCCTCCTGTATGTGCATTACCCGTAGCGACCGCTACGAGGTATGCGCGAAGGGTACTAAAGTAGACTGTGGAATCGATCCTGCCGACGTGGAATGCTACCCCACCACAACTTGCGCGCTGCACGGGGTCCAGGATGACAGTCTCAGGCTGTTGGCATTTTCCAGAAGCTCCATACAGCTTTCGCTTGCGATTCAAACGGGGCATAGTAGAATACGAGGAGAGGCATGTGGCTTCAAACTCGCGAAAACATTTTCACAGCTCGTCCGTGTCGCCGTCCACTCAAGCTTCCGTTGTCCGAGTGCGACCCAGCACAACACAAGGACAAGAGTTGTACAGTAAACTCATACCGACAGATTCATCGAGGAGGAACACTTATTTAGCTCACCAATAATCACCAGTACCTCGGTTGACGCTGAATACCCCTCCTGCCTTACCGGTTAATATGCATTTAAGCATAAATTGTGCGGCTTATGACGTTTACCTCGGGCGGACTCCGTGTCCGTGTACATGCCAAGGCGCGGCGTATCACGGTCTTGGCATTAACCGAGGCTCAGGCTCGTCAAATTTTCCTTGTCGCAAGGCCGCCATGTCTTTCGAGCCATTAACCAATCTCATCCATAGGGCACAGTCGTTGGTTTGATTGAAGCATTCGAGCTTTGGTCGACACAACCAGGGTATCCGGAATTTTCTCTTCTAGGGTACCACTGCGAACAGGACGAGACAGAGTCTCAAGCCCATCCCATCACCCCATTCTCCGAAAGTGGCAACCAAGTCCACCTGTTGCCCGCTCTTCCCTTCACCGCCTGCACTTTCTGCGTCTGGCTGGTTGGCCTAGGGCTCGGCGGGTGACATCTTTCTCCGGATCGACCTTGGCCCTGCAGATTCCTGTCGTGGTTCTGCTGTGGTCCTGCTGGAGTGACGGCCTCTCAAACACCGATCTTCCGTACACAGTACACAGATACTGGAGCCAACATGGACGTCCCAGCCTTACCGAGCAAGGTACCGGGCTATGATCTTTACATCGATGGGTAGGTTACAGTTCCCCAGCCTTTTGACGTCTCTGTAGCCACCGAAAGAAAAAGAGCATGTGCCTGCCCCAGCCTGCACAAGTCCCCGCCAGTTCGACGCCAGTCGAACATACCAGGGAAGAATGGTCCTGACGTGATCCTAGATTTCAAGCCCTACGTCGTCCCAAGATCCTGCAAGATGCCAACATCTCTCACGTGGTCTCGGTCCTCGACTGGAAGTTTGCGAATAACTGGGCTGCCCTACGTGGGTTCCAGCATCTACACATCCCTCTCGATGATGTCTACGACTCGAACATATTGTCCTTCTTCCCGCGGAGCAATGCCTTTATCCATGAAGGCCTGAAGCACTCCAGATCCAGTAAACCCGCGTCCAACGATGCGAACGACTCAGGGGTCAATCCCTTACCTGGCGGGGTCCTTGTTCACTGGTAGGTTCACTCATGTTTTTCATGTTTTCGTCTGGGCAATTGGCCTGGTGCACAGTGGACCGATTCGCTCAGGCGACTATTGACCAGTACTCCGTCCGTCCGGGACCAACATACACAGTACCCGGCTGCCTGGCTTGGCCTCAAACGGACGTGGGCCCCTTCCCTTGTATGGCGCTGTTCGCCACGACCATGGGAATACCCGACGCCTGCGATCCACAGAATGTGAGGCAAGACCTTGCGTACGCAACCGCATCGGACACGCCGGGTTTGCTGTACTTTTGAAAAATACTAAACAGCCTTACGAGCCATGAGAAAGCGGTCCGGATACGTTTCGCGGCCATTAACCGGACTCTGATCAAGTACTCCTTTTGGCGTCTTGGCCGAAGGGGCAAAGCCTCTTTTGGGTTTTGCCACGCCGAGATTTCACTACTGAGTACTGCGTCAAAGTCACGCCACTTTGGTTTCGGCCCTACACAGTACTGTGCTAGGGCGCGTTGGAGCGATGTGAACGGGACGCACCGCTATTTTCGGCCATGATGTCGGTTGCCGAACACCTCATCTCCCTCCGTGCGATCCCAACTGTCCTGATCACGTGGCTCATCCGATCACGTGAGAGGCTGGACATGTCGTGCCGCCGTCAGGGGCGTGCACCGAACGCCAGGCCTTGGCAAGGACAGAGTCGACATGACCGTGAACTTGTTCGATACCGGTGGCTTGCTGGCTAGCAAGCAAGCAGAGAGTCACTCGCATGTTGATCATTTCGTGCATGGCTAACACTAAACCTCCCACAGTGCAATGGGTGTGTCCCGCTCCGCAACAATCGTAATAGCCTACCTCCTCTGGCACTCCCGGCAAACGACCACAGTCCCCCTATCCACATCGGACTCGAACCCTAGCTCCACCTCCAGCTCCGTCTCACAACACGAAATGGTGTCCCTCCCACCCACACCCTTGACCGTGGACACGGCGTTGCGTCTCGTCCGCGAATGCCGACCCCACGTCGAACCCAACTCGGGCTTCATCAAACAACTGCGCATGTACGAGGCCATGAACTGCCCCTCCACCCAGGACGAGCTCGAGTCGCACAAGATCTACCGCCGATGGATGAACTCGCGACAAGTCATGGACGCGCTGAGTGGCAACCGCGCCCCCGAAATGGAGCATATTTCCTTTCGGGACGAAGAGGATGAGGACGAAGCAGAAAATCCGTCCCAGGCCAACCGCACAGAAGAAGCTCCTAGCCTGTCCGACAGGGTGGAGGCCCTCGACCTCTCTAATCCCGAGCACGACTCACCAACGGAAATCAGGAATCCGGATATAACCCTCTCGTCGCCATCGCCGGCGCCGGCACCCCCTCCGAACCTCGAGATCAAATGCCGCAAGTGCCGCCGCTTGCTGGCGAAATCGACCTTTATCCTTCCGCACAAGCCGCCTCCGCACAGAGACCCGTCTGCCAGCCACGGAGACGACCCTTGCGCGCACATATTCCTGCATCCACTGTCGTGGATGAGGCCGACCTTGTCGCAGGGCGAGTTGGACGGACGCCTCACCTGTCCGACACAGTGGTGCGGGGCGAATATCGGGAAATTTGCATGGCAGGGGTTGCGGTGTAGCTGTGGGGGTTGGGTGACGCCGGGCTTCGGACTCGCAAAGGCGAAGGTAGATGAAATGCGTGTCAGTGGGGAGAAGGGAGGGTCAGAATCAGGCAAGGGAGTGGACTCCAGTAGGAAACAAGCCTTTGTCAGTGGAATGCGGTTTCCGCCTGGGATGAAGAGAGGAGGCAGTAACGGAAACCTGTAACGGTCCGAATGCTTCACCTTGAATGTTGGTTCGGCCGAGAGCTCTTGCTTGAACGAGGTAGGTGGTCCTGGTCGAAACAATGAGCAATGGAGCACGGCTGCATGAAAAATCCAAAGACTTGACACACCCAATCGAGTAACAAGCGCTGATTGGCCTCGATCGTTCAATGATTGACGGGGTCGCACGCATGCATGGCTACCGCGTGAGTTAGGTATGTCTATCCAGGTTGAGAAACACCTCATTCCACACGAGAAGTCAAAGAAGCCATGCATATCCAGGTTGTCGATGCAAGCGATGCACTTCCACAGAGCCATACGGGAAGGACGAGGACTTTCCTAACTCAGCCAGCCACACGTCTCATCGCCCAGGCGCTCACTTATTTCCAGAAAGGTCGGGAACCTCCATGACAAGCGATGGGCTCTTTGAAGCCCGAGAGCACTCTGCTGATCCCCGAAAGAGGGTCTCGCCAGAGCGAATGCGTCCTCGTCAGCTCAGGCGGCTGCCCTTGGCCGAGATGTCGTGGGGCAGCGTAGCTCTAACAGAGGCGCGAAAAAGAACGCGCTAGAAGGTCGCTTAGCGTCATCGGGGCTTCTGGAAGCTCTGTCTGAGCTTGACAGCAGGAAAACGTCGATTCCGATCGTTACCCTGGCGTGCACAAGGCGCGCTGCAGCATTAGTCAAGACGTGATGACGGTGTTGGAGCAGAGTCTTTCAGCCCGTGAGATTGAAACCTCGGTTCTTCCTTCTGCTTTTGCTGGGGTGAAGGATTCGCAGCCGACGGCCGTGGGACGCTCCGAGAGCGCAACGAGGGTTCGCATCATCATTCCCTGTCGTCCATGGTTCTACGAACCCCAAATGGTTACAGAGCTGCTGTATGCCATCGATTCCGTCCCACAACCGCAATGTTACTTTTGCCACTTTGAGACGCGCTAATAGGGCGTCTGGGATGCCTGCTGGTGGCTCGCGTCGGTTGATTTCAATGTGGCCGTAAGCCGACCACTGAACGGTTTTGCGGGCCGGCGCCGTCAGCAGCGTCTTACTGTCCTCGACAAATCTCACCCCCGCCATTCTGCAAAACGATGGTTGCAGGCGTGAACAGCTCAGCCAGATCTCATGCACCTATGCATCTAGTCCGTTGTTGACGTCTTTGACACTCTTTGAGTCCTTGACCATGCGGTTGGCAGTGGGAGAACTTCGGAGTCACACATACGCGTTGAAGCACTTGACAAGCTTGCAAAGATCGCGTAGTACCCTTGTTTCATCAACGAGTAAATAACACCCGCGGTGTCCGAGGTAAAACGGACTTGTTGAAAGGGGGTGCGTCGGGACACCATTCTTCGACGACTTGAATGTGCAGTACAATCTCCACTCCGAAGTGCCGAGGGATTCCGGTACGCCTTCAGTGACTCCAGTCCAGGGTGTATGGAAGATGGATGTGTCTGCCACTAGTGTCTCCGTGCTGTTTTGCGATCACTAGAGCCGAGATATAGGATACGAAATGAGTGGTCAGCCTCTCCGTAAGGCTGTCCGTGTTGGACAGTCCCCGAGTTTCAGCCTTATAGGGCGCCTTGTCGCCGAGGTGGTGGAGCGGGAACAGCGCTTCGTTGGCCACCGTAAGCTCGCACCCGACTTTCGAGCCGCCGCATCCGTAGTCCAGACAGAAGGCAGAACCAGATATCACCTCCACAATGTCAATCCTTGATCGTGATCGTTCTATAATCAGTGGGCGCGTGGGCGCATAGGGGTTGATCCACAAAGGATGCCGGATTCCAAGCGACGCTGACATGCTGAGGCGAGTCAATCTCGAGTTGATCGGGCTGCAGGGTTTATAGAGGGTGCAGATGGAGTCTGACCTTCTTACCCCAGGCTGATCACTTCGCATGGTCCATGCTTTCATTACGGATTTCGGATATTAGGCCATTATCTTGCGGACATAGTATGTGGTTGTGCTGACTCGAAGGAGTCGGCCGCGCCGAAACTCATTCATATTCAATGTCTCTCTTCGTGGCTCCGACCAAACTGCTATCTTGCAAGTTCCCGGTTCAAACTTGATGACGTTCACGACCGCTTGAACTCCGATCAGCAACAATCGGCATCGCTCCGTCGAGATCGTCCACGTGTCAATATTCGCTTATCGGAGGCGGCTATCGGCCACAATGAGTCAAGCATACGAGTGAGTCCCGGCACACTTTCTCAGGTTGAAGGTTGAAGAGTGCACACGGAGTAGAGGCCGCGAGCTGAAAGCGGACTGGCATCGGCTGGGTCGGGAACGTGGTTGGAGATGAGATTCAGCCTCGTTCGGAGCCTTCAAGTAAATTTGGTCGGAACCTCGAGGGTCCCATACTCCAACACCCTAATTTTGATTGGCTGGCGTGTTGGCTACAAGGTGTGAGCCAGATGGAGACATATCTCGCGCGAACCGCAGATTGTAGGGAATAAGTTGCAGCCTTTGAGCAAAGTGCAAGGTAGTTAAACATGGATCGCGATCATCCGCGGTGCGCCTGCGTGCCTCCGCTCGCAAATGCGACCGAATCCGGCATGGAAGCGAGCCAACGCCCAAAGGGGACGAGGTTGGTAAAGTCTCTTTCTCGGCGGGAGGCCCAACTGCAGAGGCGGGGTTCCCCTCCTGCAACCGAGCAGGTCAGTCTCTTGCGAGCGCTCTCCTCAGCTTCCGGCAGGCTCTCGCATGAACACGAGACTGCACGGTGCGAGCTCGTATTTGTATGCATATTGCGGGAGACAGAGGTCGCAATCAACCACGTGTCAATATGGCAGAGGCTCAAAGTCCTGGGTGTTTCGACATCATTCCAATCCAATCCCAGCCATGGAGATGCGGAATTATCTCCCGTAGGCGGCCGCTCACGCTCCGGTCGAGCTTGAGCATGGGTCAAGCAGGACATGGCGCTAGCAGCTCCACCGGGGTGAATACGAGGACGCTGTAGCTAGACGTTAGCGCTTACAAGGCAAAGGCACGATCCGCAGAGGACCGTGGGATGGACATGTGAGTGCCTCTAATGCTCGGCCCTATCCTGTAGGATAGTGCATGACGAATGTAGTGCTTTTAGAACCCAGCGTCCATGGGAGGGGATCATTTGGCACAAAGGATCGGCGACATGACTTAAAGACGTCCTGGAGTCAGGTTGCACAGAGTTAGAGGAGCTCACCAGGATAGGTATGTAGAACGAGTACGAGAAGTTAAGTTGTCTCGGCCACGTGTCATTGAACATCCCCTCTCGGTGCGGCAGGAAAGAAGGATGGATCCTTGATTCGTTGTTGGTTTCGCTTCGCAATTTCCAAGTTGCGTAAACGGTCGATTCGCATCTGGAAGAAGTGTCTGCATAGGTGAGTAAAAAGAAGGCACGACGCTGGCAAGAAGGTACTTACCTATGCAGAGCGTATACGCGAGGTGTGTCCACGGGATTGTCAGTGGCGCCTGCGCCAGACTGGATTGCTTTGATCTGCAAACTTTCAACATCGAGGACCGACTGGCGCTGCAGAAAATAACGCATTACCTTGTCATCTCTTTCTTTCTCAGCCTTGTCATCATCATCGTCGTCCTTCTTCTTGTCTTTGTCATCGTCTTTGGCCTTTTTCTTGGCCTTCTTCTTGCGCTGTTTCTCTTCGTACTCTTGCTTGATCTTTTCAATTTCTTTGTCGAGCTGCTCCTTTTTCTTCCTTGCGGCTTCTGCCTCGGCGTCTACAATGGGCGATGCAAAACCTCTATCGTTGAGGTGGGAAACACAAATGTAGAAGAAGTCCTGAGCAGCACGTTGGTAGGTCGATCGCAAGGAAGGAAATAAAAGCTTCCGAATCTGAAGGACTACTGGAATGCACCAACCTTGTTGTCGGGCGTGATGAGAACTTTGACGGAAGGTTTGTGACAGACATAGCACGCTTTGGAAGAAGCTTCAGCCACGGTTCTGAGGTGGTAAACATTCTGAAAAGGCAGGGCCATTGCGACTGCCTGAGGGATAAGCTTCGCAGCCAACTAAAATACCAGTACTTCCAAAGCTACTGGGGAGATCGTCCTCATATCCAGGCCTGTAGTCAGAAAGAGGTCGGGAATGGCAGAGGTCAATCCAAGCGAAGCGGGCTCTCGGATTCTTCAGCCCTACACTAAACCATTTTTGACTAGCCTGTCACGGATGCACGTGCAAGTCATCGGTGTTGTTTTGCACGACACATCAACCTCGAGATCAACCTCGCAGGTTCCTACTTCTGGTTGTGCTACCATCTTTCAGCCTTCACGGAAGCATGGAGCGATCAGGCCCCTGTACACCGTCATAGCTGAGCTCACGGGCTTGTCTGAGCACTTCGAAGCACCGTCTGGATCAACCAATGAAACGTGCCGGCCACGATAAGATAACGAGCTATAAAATTTCTCCAGCGCCGGAAGTTTGGGGTACATGAACAACGGCGGATGTCAACAAAGAAAAGACAGAAAGAAAAATTTTTGAGCTCGCATGCTGCAACTCGCTGAATCTGAATCAAGTAACAGTACTCCGTATAGCAGCCCTCTTCGGGCCTTTGCACCCCAGAACTTGTTCGCCGTCAGAGCTCACTTTCGATTTACTTGTACCTGACCTGTCTCGGCGATATCATGGCAGACTCCGGTTCCAAGCCGCAGGCAAGCATGCTGTGGGGTGGCCGTTTCACTGGTGGCCTCGACCCTCTGATGGTGTCTTACAATGAGTCCATCTACTTTGACCGCGCCATATATGCCCAGGACATCAAGGGCAGCATAGCCTACGCGCGTGCCAATGCGAAGATCGGAATCCTAACGCAGCAAGAATTCGAGGCCATCGAAAAAGGCTTCGCCCAAGTCCTGTCGGAATGGAAGAACGACAAATTCGAAATCAAGCCCGGCGTGGACGAGGACATCCACACCGCCAACGAACGTCGCCTCGGCGAGATAATCGGCACGAACATTGCGGGTAAATTGCACACAGGTCGGAGCCGGAACGATCAGGTCGCAACTGGTATGCGTCTCTGGCTGCGTGATCAGCTACGGGAGATCGAGCAGCACCTGGTGGGTCTGTTGCGCGTGACGACCTCGCGGGCTGCCAGCGAGATCTCTGCGCTCATGCCCGGCTACACACATCTTCAACGCGCCCAGCCAATCCGCTGGTCGCACTGGCTACTCAGCTACGGCAGCGTCTTCACCTCGGACCTCGAGCGCCTGCGGGAGGTTGTCAAGCGCGTCAACCGCTCGCCGCTCGGCGCCGGTGCCTTAGTAGGCAACCCCTTTGGCATCGATCGCGAGGCCATGGCCAAAGAACTCGGCTTCGAGGGCATCATCAACAACTCCATGGCGGCTGTCGCGGACCGGGATTTCGTGGTGGAAACGCTCCAGTGGGCGTCGACGCTGATGCAACACATCTCCCGCTGGGCCGAAGATCTGATCATCTACTCGACTGCCGAGTTCGGCTTCGTGAGACTGGCGGATGCATATTCCACGGGCAGTTCGCTCATGCCACAGAAGAAGAACCCAGACTCATTGGAGCTCCTGCGAGGAAAGAGCGGGCGAGTGTTCGGATACATGGCCGGGCTGATGATGTCCGTCAAGGGCCTTCCGTCAACATACAACAAAGACTTGCAGGAATCGTTTGAGCCCATGCTCCAAGGCGTCAAGACGACTGCAGATTCCATCCAAATCGCCACGGGTGTGCTGTCGACTCTGACGATCTTCCCTGAAAAGATGAAGGCTGCGCTCACCCCGGACATGTTGGCAACTGACTTGGCAGATTATCTCGTCCGCAAGGGCGTTCCATTCCGCGAGACACACCATATCTCGGGACGAGTTGTGGCACTAGCTGAGAAGGAGGGCGTCCCTATGGACAGACTGAGTCTGCAGCAGCTGCAGGGGGTGGACAAGCGCTTCGGCGACGACGTCATGCAGGCCTTCAACTATGAGAGTAGTGTGGAGAAGCGCACCGTATTGGGTGGGACAAGCAAGAGGAGTGTCGAAGAGCAGATTGAGCGGATTCAGGAGTTGCTCGAGTAACCCATTTAGGATTCCGTGAAATGTGGTTGAATAAAAGTCGTCCGCAGAGGTCGGGTTCCGCAAAATTCCAGGCTCACGGGAGATCATCTGGAGATATAGGCGTTGATACGACAGGCTTTAGAACGATTGTACTCGAGGGAGGTCTGCAAAAATATGAGTCAGGACGTCCAACAAAGAAAGCAAGAAGTCACATGTCTTAAGATACCAAATACATCGCCTGGACTTGCTGTCCAGTGCTATCACGGACCAGCCCGTCTCTGAATCCTCGAGTCTAACTGCGCCTGCTGAGCGAACACAGCGCTTCCAATCGCAGGCCGTCCATTGCCTTGTCTTTGCCGCGAGGAATCCTCGGCCAGCACATTGTCCTTTAGCACATCCTCCTCTTCCTTTGCAACCGTGCCCTCAAAAGCGGCAACCCTGCTTGTTTGCTCAAACACAACCTGCCGACTCCACTTCTCCCAGTCGTTGTACATCGCGTTCTCAATACCCATGGAAATCTCCATCTGCGACTTGCCAAACTTGGCGCCCATGTGTCTGGCTTCTTCAGCCGCAACCCTGTCTCTCAATTCTTCTCTTCTTCGTAGGCTGTAGAATTCTTTGCGTGCGATGTCGTAGGCTTGGGGAACGGTGATGTCGGGTACGTTTTCTAGCAACCACAGCTGTCGCCGGACCACGCATTCCCCTGAGAGTGGGATGCCGGGCTGCACGAGCCCTGTGGACCAGTCTGCGTTTTTGTGTTGATCTCCTGAAGTCTCGACTACCACACGTGGGCGTGCGAGCTCCCAAGGGTGGTCGCTGAAGAAAGTTTTGCGTAATGAGTCTTCCTCATACCGTAATTGCTTCGGTTGGAAGACGTGGCGGGCCTTGGCCGATCTGGATCTTTTGGGTTCTGAGATTTGTGCGTATTGCTCTGTCTTCCCGCTGGGCAGGGTTCGTGTGCGCACTTTGGTCAAAGCATGTTTCATGGGTTGCTGGCGGACGAGGATTTGCGCGGGAGGGACATCTTGTATTATGTCCACCCAATTTGGAAGGGCTGGTATTTGTTTCGACTTGAACTTCGCAAGGGCTGTTCGACGGACGTTGAATGCCGTGAGGTTTAAGCGACCCATGATGGGCGAACCGACGCTCTGTCGCTCCCAAAGTCTGACGCAACGAACCCTATGATCGGGCTAGGTTTTCGTTACAGCTCAGGAACACCCGGTGATGCGAAAAGACTCTTTGTTGATTAAGGGGAGATAGATGTCGAGTACATGAAATGCTGGAGAGTTGGAGCTGCGGCGGAAACGCGCGCTAGTGGAGCAACTTCGAAAACCCCATTTGGGCAATTTCAATCACGATTCACTCTTCATTCACTTGTGCCTTAGACGAACCTGCATCTGAAAAGGGACTTGTGACTCGATCGAAGCAGATGATGAGGTCGTGATCATCATGTTCCCAAGCATATGCCTCGTCCCTCCAAGATTCTCGGATGCAACAGCCTTCCGAATGCAACATCTATAGCAGCACCCTATACGTCTACCAGCTGCGATGTCCTCGCGCCTGCGTTCAGGGCAAAATCGGACACTGTCTCAAGAGGACGAGGCAGGGACCATTCCGCCGGACACCGTCGAGCCCCTGAAGCTGCCGCATACTCCTACAATGCTCGATTTCGAGGCACAGAATGCCGCCCAATCCGTCCCTCGATAACACGTGCATTCCGCCTTGCCAACACTAGCGCGCCGTGGAGGAGGCATGGCGAGCAAGAGAAGGACAATAGTATATCCTGGACCCAGCGCCGAAGTATTAGCCGATGCGTTGACGACATAGGGTCCGAACGAGCAGCAAAAAGGCCCCGGCGCAATGACAATGGAACCGGCTGGGACTTTTTCGACTCAAACGCGCTTGAATTCGCAAGGAAAAGTCGGCTTCCTCTCGCCTTCTTCCACGACCTCGACGTCCTGCATAAGAGGGTGGGCACGAAGACAGCCGAGCAGCCGAAACCAGATGGCCCTAGCTCATCCAGAGCCCTCTTGAAAGAGCAGATGGAACTCATGGACTCTGTGAGACAGCTTGAAGAGAAGTTGGCAAAGGCAAAAACAAGCTTGAGCGATTCATTGCGGAAGAACCTCGAGGCACGAGAACAACTTTCAGCAACGTCCTCATCGGAGGCAGAGCATCCCAGAGTCGTCCTGTCGAAGGGCGATTACAAGAATTTGGTTGATCTCTACTTTCACACTCATACCAGTCGTTTCGACCCAGAATCGCCTCATGCGTCTCCTACCCCGACCTTTTTAGAAGACTATGTCTTCAAGCTATCTGAGGACTTCGCGGCGCCGCAGGCTTACGCGGAGTTTTATGAAGATGAAGCATACGAATCGCCGCTAAAGGAAGTAGAGCGGCTGATTAGATCCAAGCAAATCCGAGAGGTCTCTGCTTTCAAGAGCTTCGTCGACCTGCTCCTTGACGACCGATCTTCGAATGCCGCCCTTTTCAAGGCCTACAAAAGACTGCCCCAGCCAGGCGTTGCATTCCTCCCAAAAGGAACAATCAGGGTGTTCCTGCAACGCATGTCAACGCCATGGCAGAAGAGCGAGAAGTCGATGATAAGATATCTTTCCCTCATTGACGATATGCAAAAGGCCAATTTACCTATTTCGCGCGCAGAATGGGCATCTGCCATCTATCTGGCCGGAAGGTCTTTCAACAAGGTCACCGATACCGAAATCAATGCTGCGATGCGTCTGTGGAAGCAGATGGAGCAAGAGGCCGGGGCGAAGGCTCACCACGTCACCTTCAATATTCTTTTTGACATCGCTGTAAGAGCCAACAAGTTTCCATTGGCCCAGATGGTCCTCAAAGAGATGCACGACCGGGGCTTGCACCTCAACAGGCTTGGTCGTGTCAGTGTCATATACTATCATGGATTACGAGGTGACGGAGATGCTGTCCGAAAAGCTTACCGTGATTTTGTCGATGCGGGAGAAATTGTTGATACCCTCGTACTGAACTGTGTCATGGCAGCACTTTACAACGCACAGGAGCCTGCAGCCGCGGAGCAGATTTACGAGCGCATGAAAAGCTTACATGTCAACACTCGCCGCGAGACCCGAAGTGATGGTTCAACGGCATATTACCGACAGTATCCAGGCCCGGGGTCAGAGGTCATTGACCGCGAGTTGGCGGCTAATTCATTGCACCGAACGTTGCTCTTCTCCCGGAGACTCAAAGACATCCTACCAGAGCACCACAAAGCACTACAGGAGATCATACCACTGAGGCCGGATCACGTCACTTACCGGACGATGATATCCTATCATGCCAATATGTCTGGCAACCTCAACCGGATCACGGTATTGATCAGTGAGATGTCCGAGTTGTTCGGTCTACCATTGCAAAGTATCCACTATCAATTGCTCTTCAAGGGCTTCGCTCTCCATGGCGCCACCAGAAGCCCCGATGCGACTTGGAGCTTGAAACGATTACAGATGGCCTGGGATTCTTGTCGGCAAGAGATCAAGGACGGACAGCTCGCCCGCAGGCGTGCCAGGATGGCGGCCGATCTCACGGTTCCTCAATTGCCATCAATCAAAGTCATCAATGAAGGGGGTGCTGAAGAAGTACCAGCACGGCCCAACAATCAATTCAAGCGACTGAGCGAGTGGGACAACTTTGTATTGGATCTAGCGGCCTTCCCGCGAGAACGACGAAAACACATCGAGCGAATACACGCCGAGCTATTTGATGAAGAGCAGGAAAAGAAAGAGCGTCTTATTCGAAACCCGTTCTCTCGTCTTCCGGCCAAGGAAGTGCCACCACAGAAGCAGGAACACTACTACCCACTAGGCGATATGAAACTGGACGAACAGGAAGGAGAATATGTGCTTCCGTCGCCGATCCTCGCAATTGACCCGTCGAGTGCCGAATTTCAGGATCCATTCTTCCCGAATCGCAATTGTTCCGAGGGAGCGATTTCCCCATCTACATCGGACAATGTTGAAGCCTCCGCAGACACAGAGCTGCCTGACGACGGCCACCACCCTATACTGCCAAGATTTAATGCAGGACCTTCCGCAGAAGGTCCACCTCCTCCACAGCCAGACCAAGCAAGTGATGCGAAGCCCGAAGATGAAGACGAGCGAGACAGCCAACCGATCCCCATAAGCTCAAAGTATCAAGTAGAAGCGACGCGCGCACTCGTCTGCTGGCTTTTACGGGCGTATGCAAACGCAACGGGCTCACGCTCGCAAGTGGAAGAGATCTGGAACTCTGTGAGAAAGCTGTGGAGGAGCCGTGACCCGAACGATCAGGCGTCTGTCATCCGAGTGTTGAGACGATGCCTGCGAAATTGCGATCGCTATGGGCCGCCTATGTAGCGTCAGTAGCCGAAATGTCGTGTAATGTAACATGTAACATCTTATACATGCGCTGGGTTCAAGTTCGTTCTGGTCGTCCGTCCTCATGCGCTGGCGTCGGCAGCATGGATTAGCAATCGTTGAGATCTAATCAAACCGAGATCTTCTCCGGTGAATTTCAAACGGAGTACGGAGTGCTCAGCATGCGAACCGCCTTGAAGTGAAATCACACAGTTCGTGTCCGTCGACACCATCCATCGGGTCTGCTGTAACACTTTGCTTGTATGAGAACCGTACTGGATAGAGTAATTATATGGTCCGTACGAGCAAGCACATTCAAGCTCGCGGGACAGGACACAGACAGGAACCGAAGGTGCAGCAGGCAGGCAGGCTTTCCGTGCCCATGTCGTGCAAGTGATCGAAGTAGCGACAACAGGTGTGTTGTGTAATAGTGGACTGATGCCGCTACAGTACGTAGCCACTGTAGCCTCGAGGCTCTGCCGTGGCACCCAGTTGCATGTCAAGTATGGAGTATGCAGTACAGTACAGTACAGTACAAGATCCGCACATCTCGTTGAGCCCCTTGCTGGTCTCTCTCGCAAAGTAACCCTTCACTCTTGTCGCATGGAAATCCCGTCCTGACTCGATGACTTGCTGACTCGCTGACTCGCTGCATCGCGTTCTCATGATTGTCCTAAAGACAGGACAGGATGATATACTACAGCGCGTTGACGTTACATGATGTTCCCCGGGACAACAGCTTCACGTTTCATCTCTCAACATGCATATGTCATGTCATCAGCGAACAGCCCTCGAATCACGCACGCCGTCGTTTACACAATTGAAACCGAGTGGAGACAGCCATGTTCATGCATATCGTCGGAACTGCGCCGTCAAGAAGCTTATCATAACCAGTGGAAGCGATCATGCATATCGCCGCAACTGCCGAATCGTTAGCGATCCAAGTAAACCGATGCGCGGGAAGAAACACTTACATCCAGGGTTAGGGCCTTGGAGCTGTTTGCGCCTTGATCCCGATAGACCCCGACCAGGGCTTCACTGCCCTGGAAGAAGCCGGTCTTGAGACTGATCACGATGAATTGCATGCCGGGGCCCTAGTAATATCTTGCATAAGCACGCGACCAGGAACGACGTGGCAAAGCCAGAAGAATACAGAACGATACGGTGATTACTTGGGTAAAGAGAACTTACAGCATGGTTCCGCACGTAATTCACCAACTTGCCGACATTCGCATTATCTAACGCAGCATCCACCTCGTCAAGCACAAAGAACGGGCTGGGCTGATAACTGTGGATGGCAAACAACAGGGCCAACGCGGCCATGGTTTTCTCGCCGCCGCTAAGATGCTCCATGTCTCGGAACCGCTTAGTAGGCGGCATGGTGTGGTAATTCACGCCGGCTAGGTACGGCTCGTCCTCATCGGCAGTGAGATATGCGCGTCCACCTGCGGGGAATTCATCCGACTTGGTCAGGTTCGAGTAGATCGGCTCGATCTGCTCGGAGATGTGGCTGAACGCTTTGTGGAAGAGTTCGTTGCGCTTCTCCTGCGTGTCTTCGAACCGGGCCTTCAGCTCGCGGTAGTTGTTGCGCGAGACCTCGTATTCGTGCTCCATGTCCTTGGCGCGTTGTTCCACGGCGGCGAGACGCTGCGCGGCGTGCGCATTGGGCTGCATTTTATCGAGCGCGGCGTTGAGTTTGGAAATCTCGTCCAGCAACTGCGCTTCCATGGCTTCGCTATTTTGACGCTTGTGATCTTCGTCCAGGGCGTCAAAGTCGACCTCGATGCCGTAGTCGTTGGTGGTGTGAGTCTTTAGGGCGGAGGAAGTAGGTTCATCTTCGTCTTCATCAGCATCCATGGCATCGGCTTCCTCGAGGGGAAGATCGTTGATCGGGACGCTATCCAGACTCGCCGAAGATCCGGTCAAGGGGATCGCGATGTTCTCTATCTTGCAGCGGCGGAGCAGGGTGTACCGGGAAGATGAGTGACGGTGCATATTCCCTTCCAGAGCGCTGATGGCCCGGAACGTGCTTTCCATCTCCTTGGCCCGCTTCTGGACCTCTTGCTTCTGTTTGGCCAGCTTATCAGCCGCTACGGCGAGTAGCTCTCGCTGCTCATCCAACTGAGCGTGGAGTTCGTCAAGCTCCTCTTTGAGAGTATTCAAGTCGTTCTGGATGCCTTCACGTCGTTCATTCAGCTCGTCAATCGTCTGCCTGTCGCGCTGCTCTTTATCCCTGAGGGCCACGAGGCGGTCGTCTGTTTGCTGGAGCCGGGCCCTCTCGAAGCTGAGTTGTCCTTCAATCCTGCCTTTTTGCGTGACAAATTCAAGCTTCTTCTGTGCGGCTTCTTGCTGGAGCGAACCCTGACGAGCCTCGTAATCGCGGATATCGTCAAACCCGTGTTTTTGGCAGAAGTCGCCAAAGACCTCGTTTTCGATATTGCTCACTGATTCTTGGTAATCGGCAATATCTTCGTCGATCTTCTCCAGCTTGCTTCGTTCTTGCCTTGCTTTGGGCCGCTCCTCGGCCAGCTGTTGCTTGACATGGTCGACCTCACGCTTCTTGCTTTTGAGATTCTTGCTCAGAGCGTCGAATTCCTCTTTGGCATATCGCAGTCTATTCTCTAGACCGCTGATCTCGTTTTGGACGGCCTGTTCCTCAGCTCGACGTGCGCTTTCCTGCGGCAAAGCAGCAAAGTCTTCCATCAACTTGTCCTTGAGCTTGTTCAGCCTATCAATCTCAGCTTGGTCCCAAGTATGTCGGGTGTTGCTTTCCCTTCCACGGCCGCCAGTCATCAGGCCACCTTTATGAATAACGCTGCCATCGAGAGTGACAGCCTTCGCGTCGACGTGGCGCCGGTAGCACAGCTCTTTGGCTATGTCAAGATTGTCGCACACAATGGCATTGCCACATGCGTATGAGATGGCTCGCGCAACTGACTGGTCATAGTCCACTGTCTCGATAGCTGGAAGCATGCCCTTATGCATACCTCTCAAGTTCGAGCTGATAGCCTTGACCTGGATTGTGTCCAGCGGAATGAAGGTTGCCTGGCCCGAGCGATGGTCTCGTAGATACTCGATACATTGCTTGGCTGTAGCTTCAGTGTCGACGACTACAGCGTCAGTGTGACGGCCGAGGACGGTCGCAACGGCCTCCCCATATTTCTTCTGTTTGGGCCTGCAGAGTTCAGTGACGCGGCCCTTCACACCAGGATAAGTGCGCTTGAGCATGTTGATGGTTTCCCTCATTCTGATTTCCTTCTCACTTGTGCGACGGCCGTCGTCGGCCTCGAGGAGTTTCCGTGCCACCTCAGCGAGCTTCTCGTCAAGCTCGGTTCTCGTCCGAGCTGCTTGCAGTCGCTTCGACTGTGCAGCGTTGAACTCTTTCTTCTTCTCGTTGATCTCACTCTGTGTCTGCTGGACGAGTTCCTTGAAATGTTGCTCTCTCTCGTTGATGTCGTTGTGCTCGTTCTCAAGGACTTTCAGCTTATACTCGGTGCTTTCCACGCTGTTCTTGAGGTTATTGTAGGTGGCTTCAATAGGTGCTCGATCGTTCTTGAGTCTCTCAATGCGGCTCAAATCGGCAGAGGCACGCTTGTTGAGTTCTTCGCGGAGCCTGGTGTATTCTTGGAGGTCAGTAGGGCTCAGCTGACCGCCCAGGCGAGTCGCGTTCTGTTCCCATTCCCTTTGCCATTGAGCTTGTGCTTTCTCGACCGTGCTCAGGTCTTTCTCCAGTTGTGCCACGGTTCCAGCCTGAGCTGTGCGCTCGTTGACGATGCTGTTGATGCGGTTGGCATATTTGGTAAGCTGCTTGGTCGACACGGAGATCTGTTCATCGATGGGGACGAGAGAAGAAGTTTTGTCCTCAATCTCCTTCTCCTTGGCCTTGATCAACTTCTCCGCCTTTCCAACATTCCTTGATGCCAAAGCATGGTCTTTCTTGGCAGCATCGAGACCTTTTTCGTACTTCTCGATACCTCGACGATATTCTTTCAGTTCGTCCTGATGTTTCTGGATGTCTGCGCTCGCATCTTCAATCTGTCGCTGCAGATGGTACAGTTTCCACAGAACGTGGGTGACGATTGCGTCATCGCGTTCAGCAGCCTTCTTCTGGAAGTTGTCGGCCTCCCGTTTCTGCTCTTGGTATTGGCGGATTTCGGAGTTGATACCTCTCCGGCGATTGAGTTGGAAGGTCTGCTGATCTGCGGCCTGGTCTAGTTCGGTCTTTAGCTGGTCGTATTCAGCCTTGTGTTCTATGCTGCCCGAGACTTGCTCAATCAGGCGGGTCAGATCTTGGGGTTTCTGCGTGGCGATAGCCTCGACATCACCCTGGAAGACCAGGAAGTTGCGAGCCTTGATGAGGATGTTCTCTTCCTCCAGCGAGTCGTTGTAGTCGTTGGCGGTCACCACCCTGTCGTTGATGCGATACTCCGAGACGCCCTGGTTGGTGATTGTGCGCTTGAAGTGTTGCTCCTGGCCAGCGTCATCCTCATAGACAGCCATGACCCAGGCGGATTTGGGGTCATTGCGCTCCTGTGTGCCATTGACTTGAGAACCTGGCTCTTCTTCGTTGTGGCTGGCCACTCCGTTCGTCTGCGGCTCTCCATTGATGGTGGATTTCTGCAGCACACGTCCGCGATAGACCAATTCCTTCAAGTTCGTCGATCTGAGGTGTGAGGATTTGATTCCGAGCACGAAGGAGATGGCGTCCATGGAGTTGGACTTGCCGGAGCCATTAGGGCCGATGATCGAGGTGAAGTAGGCATCACCGAAGAGGAGCGTATGATGGCCCTTGTACGACTTGAAATTGTACAGCTCGAGCCTGATCAGCTTGCCCATTTTGCGTCTGGAGGGGAAAGACTGGGGACGCAGAGACGACGGCGAGACTCTTGGTGCGCTCGTTGGTGATATGCGCTTTCCTGCGACCGGTGCGACGCGCAAGTGGAGGGCAGACGCGGTGCGATGCGCGCGTGGGGAAAAATGGCGCGGCGCGGAAAAACGTACCACCGCACGAGACCGCGGTGAAATACCTTTAGGGCGTTGTGGGCGTTGTGGGAGGGACCCTGAACGCACCCGAAGCCGCCTACACAGTAGGCCTGACGTAGTTGCCTGCGATCTGCCACTAAGATTGCTTCATGTCTGCACGCTGAGCAGCCTCTTGTTCTCAACACCACAAAACCCACGGGTCTAGATTTGTTGTATACATTGCTATTTCTTACCAGGCTCATGTGCCTCTTGGTGAGCGTGACCTCTAAGCCCACGCCGTCGCTCCTCAACTGGCACGTGCCGCCTCTCTTTTATCAGTAACGCCTAAGGACTATTGCTTGCCTGCTCCCTTTCCCTGGCGATCCAGTATATCTGGCGAATACCCCATCCCACATCCCAGCAATTCCGAGCCTCGAATTCCGCTGTCATACTCATACATCTTCCCGTCGCATTCTCATCCACTCTTGCCCAAATTCCTTTCCTAGCTTCTAGCCTCCGCCAGACTTCGATGCGGCCGCTCTAGCCTCTTAGGACACCATGTCTGAATCCATACCGATTCCTCGCTCGAAGTCGGGGTCCGCCCTGGACGAAGGAGTGGCCAGCGATTATGTTGGGAGTCTCGGATCAGATATCGGGGGCTCGTCGAATGGCGGTGCGTTGACACCTGGTTATCAGTCGGGATACCAGTCGTCCTCGCCCGGGAGTCCCTTGATGCTGTCCAGGAACAACTCGTACATTGGAAGCCAGTCGATGCAGGAAGACTGGGAAGTCCCGCTCGACAAACTCAGCCTCTTCGACATCTTCGACAACCTAGCCTTACCCGCAAAGCTCGACAAATGGCAGGCCACGATACAAGCCCAGAAAGAAAAGCTGGCACGCCAGCAGGAAAGGATAAGGACCACGGGCAACAATGCCAGGGACCGTGCCATGGCCGAATGGCGTAAACGAGTTCCCTCGGCCGACGAGCAACTCGCCAAATACCGCTCTCGTATGAAGAGATCGGTGGACGACCTGAACAAGAGGTGGAACGAAGTGGCTACCATATCCATCCGTGAGAAGGTGTCCTTCATCTCGGCCGTGCTCAACGTCTTTATCAGCGGATATCTGATAGGCGCTGCACCGCAATACTTCTACTGGTGGTACACCATTCAACTGATGTATTTCATGCCCATCCGAGCCTACACCTACCACCGCAAGGGCTACCACTACTTCCTGGCCGACCTCTGCTACTTTGTCAATCTTCTCGATCTCCTGGCCATCTGGGCATTCCCGCGCTCGAAGCGCCTCCTGATCAGCGCCTACTGTCTGGCGTACGGCAACAACGCCGTTGCAATTGTCATGTGGAGGAACTCGCTGGTCTTCCACTCCATGGACAAAGTCGTCAGTCTATTCATCCACGTCATGCCCCCAGTGGCGCTGCACTGTATTGTTCATCTGACCCCAGACGACTACCTGCTCAAACGATTCCCTGCCGTTTACACCATCAAATACAGCCCCAAGGAGTCCCCAGAGCACTATTCCCTCTGGGCAATGCTCGTGTGGGCGACGGTGCCCTACGCCGTCTGGCAACTCTCCTACCACTTCTTCATCACCGTCCGCCGCAAAGAGAAGATCGCGGCCGGGCGACCTACTTCATTCACCTGGCTGCGCAAATCTTACGCCAAAACCACGATCGGAAAGTTCGTCAACTCTCTGCCCGTATACCTGCAAGAACCGGCCTTCATGGCGATCCAATACTCCTACGCAATCCTCACGATAATCCCGTGTCCACTATGGTTCTGGTATCGCTGGGCAAGCGCCGGTTTTCTACTGACCGTCTTCAGCTGGTCCGTGTGGAATGGCGCCAACTACTACATGGACGTCTTTGGCAAGCGGTTCCAGAAAGAGCTGGAGCAGTTGAAGAAAGACGTGGCGAAATGGCAGAACAGTCCTGCGGCAATGTTCTCTCCGCCGACAGGGCCCTTGGACGCCGAAACAAGTCCGCATATCACAAGAGAGGACGCGGCCAAGCGCCACGCCAAGAGGGAGTCGATCGACAAGATCCCCTTGCTGGACGAGATGGGTCAGCCGCAGGAGAACGGTCACGACGACAGCAGCGCAAGAGCCACCGGGGCGGAGCTACTCAGTGCCGCGGACGAGGGTATTCTCGACCGTAAGAGCGTGGCCACGCCGCTTGCGGAGGGGGGGTCGTGAGGGGGTTTTACGACGCACAGAGCACGTCAACCCACAAACGCACGCAGCCCACCGATCGAGATTCGAATTGCCGCGAGGACGAAGTTCCAATCTCGCAAGGAAGGATACGGGCACCACACAGCTTGAATGGCATGCACACGAACGGACGACCTACAACGCATTACTGCTACAGTGCTGGCAGACACTAGGAACACGAGGAGGAACTCGAGAAGGCAGGAGGGTTTTTGCCTCTGACTTTGAGCTTCGGTGCGGACGAATCGGAGTATTATGTACGGTGTACAGTTTTACAGATAACGGATACCCTCGATAGCGTTCTTTTCTAGTACCTTAATTGATTACAGTATTTGGATTTTGGTGCCCAGATTTCAAGTATCGTAGGTAGTGCATCCTTACACAGGTATGAGTTACCTACTGTTTTTGCTACTGTCTCGCACTGGCTGGACATACAATACCGTGCTTTTGCCACATACCTACTAAGTAGGCATCCCAACGATTTACGACGTATTGTGTACGAAAACGGACGACTCAAGGGGTAACATGTTGAGGTGCAATGTCGGCGGTACTGTGTTGTGTACAATCAGCAAAACAATTCAATTACATTCCATTCCATTTCATTCCGCGCCCTGTCCTGCGCGCCATCGTCATGAGCCTCTTCGACATCGCACTCCTGCTTTGATGCCCATGCGACGGGTCTATCCCTTCATACCTTCCCACCGAGTGGACACGAGTTCTTCCGTCATGAATGGTGACGCCCTGGAAACGCCAAAACAAGTCGATCCATCATGAATTGTGACCTGTGAGTCCCTACCCTCCTAGCACGCACCAGCCAGAGCCACCATCTTCCTGGCCGGGCGAACCGCTCCCACTACCTACAGTATCCCGCCAAACCGCTATACCGACGCGCCTGCCCGCCGGCACTTCGGACACAGGCAGCACCGTCCTCTCCCACGCCTCACGGCTGCGGGTATGCATCTCTGTCGATCACGCCCACGCTCTCATGCTCCCGCCAGCATCACCTGCCCCACGGGTGCCCATCTCTGCCGGTCACGCTCACGCTCACGCTCATGCTGACGCACCTCCTCCCAAGTGAGCGGCTCGCTTTCCCGGACCAAGGCCGCGAGGGCGGTATTGTGTAGTTTGATCACCCGGGTGGTGAAGCGGCAGTCGAAATCCGGGCGGTGGGGGTATAATGCGCAGGGCGAGGCTGGGATGCAGGAGCCCAGATTGCAAGGGGTGAGAGGAGTACGATTAGCAGTGGTGGGTGCGAAGATAGAGGCGTGTGCCACATGGTCGAAGATGGAGAAGGAGCCAGCATGAGGCTGAGGAATATCGTGCTGTTCGGCTTTGACAGTGGACATGTCTTCTGCTGTGGTGGGCATGGCGGCCATGATTTCGGCCCATGCATTGTCGTTGTCGTTGTCGTCCGCGATCGTAACTGCAGTGTTGATGGTAATGGCTTTTACGTTGTTGACGTCGTGGTCATCTGCGATGCTCGTGATGATCATGTCGTTCACGTCTGCAGTGTCATATGGGTTGGCGCGGGCACTGGCATTCGCATTGACATTGACATCCGTGCCGTGGTCAATTATGAAGTCCTCGTTGCGCAGGCGCGGTAAGGGCTCCATCCCCTGCTGGTGTTGGCGCCGGCGCGACCGCGAGGACGCTGTCAATGTCGTGGCGTCGACATATTGTGGTGACAAAGGGTGCTGGTACATATTGTCGTAGTCCCGTTCAGGGGCACACTTCTTCACTGCAGTGTGCTCGTTCGCGTTTGTCGCGGGAAGTAAGCTCTTGAAGCTCAATGTGCTCGACGCCAGCGTCGTAGCAGACATGCTCTTCAGACTGAATGTGCTGGAGAGCGGTGATGGCGTAGTTGGATTGCATAGCTGGGTTGGCCATCCGCACCGCATGGTGCTCTTATAGTCCTGACACATGGTACAAGTTTGGCGCTGAGAGCCTTGAGGAGAAGCGCCAAAGGGTGCTGTTGATGAAGCTGACTCCCATCGTGGCAGGGCAGTTGGGAAAGGACAGGCGGAATCAGAGTTGATATTCTCCTTCGGGAAATCGACGAGTGTGTGCTGTGTTCCGAAACCGACGGTTTGGCCGAGCCATGTGTTTCTTTGTGCTTGAGCCGAAAGTGGCTCAGGACTGTCTCTTAGAGTTGGAACAAAGGATTGAGCAGGCGGACTTCCTTTCGATGTGTCAGTCTGGAACAGGCTGCAAGCAGCACTTTGTGCGGGACAAACGACAATGTCTTGGAGATGGTTGCCTTCGTATTCCTGATAAACAAGCTTGTCTTCAGGGTGGTGCAGAGAATGATTGTCATGACTATGGCTCAAGATTGTCTCTGATTCGCGGGGTGCAGGCCGTGGCCCGTGCTCAGCGTCATTCTGGGTTTGAGGGAACAGTCCACCGAAACTCGTCTCGGACGGTAGACTCAAGGCAGAACTTGAAGCCACAGCTGTAGTCACGGCAACCAAGACCGGAGAAGCGGCTGACTTGCCCACCGCTGGTTGGATAGGGACGCTGTCTGATGAGCAGTTGACCGAGCTGGCTTCTGGGCCCGGGAAACTACCAAAGACCGGCATCCTCGAGATCTTACCAGAAGCAGATGAGGCTGAGTTACGGAAGGGGTCATTTGTGCCTACCTCCCCATATTGCTTCGAAGCGGCAATTGCTGCATCGCAGCCCCGTGGAAACCATGGCTGTTCGCATTTCATCTTGAAAATATGGCTTGGCGAGTGCATCGCGGGACATGGTTCCATGCAATCAAGAGCGAGGGCTGCGTGGCAGGTATTTGTACAGTGGAAGGTAGTCACCGAATTCGTTTGCTCCAAACAAAAAGGTTCTGCTGTCGTGAAAATGGCTTGTCAGAGCACCGTTTGCGTAGTCTTCGTCTGCAGGCTTTAAGATGCGAACTCGATGTTGATCCCAGTCCTTCAAGATGGCTGTTCCTGTCACCGGCCCGTGAAATGCGTGGTCGGTATGCTGTTTGCCGCCATGAGGCCAGGAAGTGCATGGGCAACCAGTTTGACCTAAACATGGTAGAGTAGCGCTGTTCTAGGAGCAGTCAGCATAGTTTGACTCCCTGGTCGGCCGTGAACTGCCTTTTGTCAAACTCACCTGCCTCCATCCGTGTTTCTGGTGAAGTGACGGCCTTCTTTAATATAGGCAATTTCTTTCACCTTCGCCGCCAAGCTAAATCCCAGCCATCTTCACTCGGAAATCGTTAGCATATCAATTACTTAAACAAAATTGTTCCCGACAATGGGAGCTGGAACCCTTCCAGCCTCGTCAGACATCTCCCTTATTCGCAGCCAGGAGTGGATATACAAGCATCAAGGAAACGCAGAGGCTCTCATTGCGATCCTCCTAACTCGGGTGATCTGATGACTTGTACAGGACCATAGTGGTTATAGTTTGGCAAAAATGTGTAGGAGCTCGTGGATGTCGAGGAGAAGGACACGGTGGCGGCTCCCATTGTCACCTTTTTGCCCTTTTTTGCATCAGGATTGCTTTTTCGATCAATTCTTTGACTGTTGTGAAGAGGAGCTGTGTGCGACAGTGACGGCTGCACCTCGCTTGGCAGGCTCCTGATGGTGGCTGGGTGGAGCGTACATTCACTACAGGATTTCACAGATGGGCGTACAGAGTAGGCGCCATGCGGGTTTCGACCACGACCGCAAGATGTCCCATCTCATTCGAGCACTCCAATGTAGGGCACGGTCGAATTCGATTTCAGTGAACCACTTCAGAACTCATCAACTTGGAGACGCGCGTTGCTCTTCAACTGTAGTCCGAGGCCAAAGCAAGCGGGGAACATCAGACGTCCGCATTGAACTCAAGACCTCCTGAGATGGTGTCTTTTTGGCTTGTCGTCACTTTGCCCGAGCAGCGAGGATTATGATGACAGAGGAAGAGAACGGATATGAGGTGAAGGTGAGGTCCATGTCCATCAAGTTCCTTGGTGGTTAGGAAGGTACGCCGAGAACTCCCCTTATTCCGCTCTTCGAAGCTGGATATGTTCGTACAAGTCTCGCCACAATAAATACTTGCTGAGCGGCTGGACGATTGTGAACCACATTCCATTCTCTGCCTGCACCGCATCATCCTCGCACTTTGATCACGACCTTGCCGAAATGACTTCCCGCCGCGACATACTCAAAGGCTTCCTTGGCATCGTCGAATCCAAACACCTTGTCCACGACAGGGTGGATTTTTTTCTCCTTGTAGAGCTCCAGCGCTTCTTCAAGTCGGTCTCTAGGTCCGTTCCAGATGCCTTTCAAAGTGACGTTCCTCCGAAGCGCAAGCACATTGGTGTTGACCACGCTATCGGCTTTATCAATCTTGCCGCTGAGGTAGCCAATGCAGGAGATCAGGCCGCCCCATTTGACACAAGCGAAGCTTTTGGCCAGTGTCTCGGGGCCGCCTTGCTCGAGGATGATGTCGACGCCCTTGTTGCTGGTGATGGCCATGACTTCCTCGTGCCAATTGGGGTGCGTCCTGTAGTTGATGAGATGGTCGGCCCCCAGTTCTTTCGCTCTTTTCAACTTTTCTGCGGACGAAGACGTGACAATTGCTGTCCGCTGTTAGTCACCACATGTGTAATTCAGTGTGGGCCTGGCCTTACTCGTTAGCCCGCTAGCTTTGGCCATCTGCAGCCCGGCGATTGAAACGCCGCCCGTTCCTTGCAGCAGTACCACCGTGTCCTTGCCCTTTATGCTGTCTCCGATCGGCCTCATCCAGTTCAGGGCCATCCAAGCAGTGACGGCAGCAATTGGCAGCGTCGAACCTTCTTCGTCACTAAGGTGATCTGGTACCCTCACCAAACCTTCGTCCGGGAAGCATCGGTACTCCGCCAACACGCCGGGAAGAGGCAGCCCGAGTCCAGACGGCAAATGCTCGTCCGTGATCTGACCCGTCAGGTGTGTCAAGTTGAAGATGGCCATGACCCGGTCGCCCTCCTTCCAGCGGTTCTCGCGGTCAGGCGAACTTCGTGGTCCGACTTTCACCACCGTGCCCACCATGTCGGAACACGGAACGACAGCCGATGGCGACTCGATGGATTCATGGTGATCGTAGTCACCAACACACACTTACGAGCAGCGGCTCGTCAGCAACAGGCTCAATCTCAGGTAAGGAATGTGCTAGATGTTGCGGACTTACCCTCGACATCTCGATAATTCAGACACACAGCATGGATCTCTACTAAGACCTCATCTGCGCCTGGCTCCGGTACGTCTGCCGTCACTTGCTTTAAGCTGGCGAGGCCAGAGAGATCACTGAACCACTGCTTCATCGTGTGGATTTGGATGTGTGCTCTTCGTATATGCGGGGATTGCTTCCGAGTGAAGGGGAGCGAAGACGCTGGTCGTTCTGCTACATGTTTCAGCTGAACCACTGCATCAAGAGGAAGAGTATATATACGGAGTATGTGCTGCTCATCTGATATGGTGGTCTTGGTCCCTGATGACGAAGTGGTTGATCGATTCTATTTGTAAGCCCGTCTGTCTTTACGCCCTAGGACTGCCTGCCCTGCTTGGGATTTGAAACCCACACACTTGCTACATGAATATGAGTCTTGACTCTTACTTCTGTGCGCATCATTCGAAGCTCAGATCCGTTCAGCTCGGTATCATTGTCATGGCCGCTACGCGCTCCGGACCAACCATGAAGGCTATCGCGAGCGAATGCGCCTCCTCGGCTGGATCAGCCTCGACGCATCTGCAACAAGACGGCACCGGGAGCCGTATCTCGACATACTCTGAGCTATGCGGGATTAATCTCCTAGGATAGAGTCGAGAAACCAAAGAAGCCCAGGGGGTCAGAGACGTCCGCACAGTGACAGTAGTGTCACTGGCACGGTCGAGTACATCGCGAGGATGATATTTGGGTCGTGTCACCGAGGAACAGGACAGCGAGTGATGTAATTGGTATCTCGGGTAGCAAGCCGTATGTATCCCTTGCTTACCTCTCCATTTCGGAAGCCAACCCGGTCACACACAATCGAGCGGGTAATCGAGACTGGTGAAGGCACAAAAGGTAAGTCGCCAAGTCGAGATCGTACTTCGAGGACAAGCGGTATCGCAAGGTTCAAGAATCGAGGCCCGCTGCAGGGACACTCCGGGTCGACGTCGGCGGGACATGGCCCGCTGGTCCGAACGAAGAATTTGAGTCCGCACAGCTGCATCCATTGCTACTGCATTGTGCTTCAGTAGTGATGACGAGGATGATGTGATTTAATGTGGTGGACAGAGATGCCAGAGAGTCAGTGATATCAGAATCAGTACTGCAGCATTATCATCATCGTTAATTACTCCTTGTTACTTCTCCAAAACTGAGGCGTCCCTTTGGGCGCTGGATCGGGGTTACATGGCCCGGGGTAGGATCTTCAACTATTCCCGTGAACTGGGTACTGTACCGTGATGGATTCTCCTGCGGCGGCGGCGTTCTGAAATCTTCCACCCTTTCGGGCTGTTCTCCTGGAGCTGAATACGTATGCTGATTGACAAACATGCCGGTGATCTGTGCGGCCCAGGCGACGCGCCTCCATGGTATAAGAAGCCTGTCAGGAGCTTCGACGTGGAAAGATGTGGCTTCAATCTCAATTCACCCTGGCCACGCTCTCACTCGTCAACAAGCTATCAAAAGTCCCCTTCCTCGAGTTTCACACCCTCTTTGATAGGGTGACAGGGGCAGAAGCCTGCGCGTTCCACGCAGTACTCTAGAACCCTCTCTCCTAAGCCTCATTCGTATTGATACCTGCCGCTTGTCGTTCGTCCTTTGCCACTGAGCGCACCTTGAACCAAGAACCCTCGGAATCCAACTCCACTCAGCCTTCAACATGTCCGTCTCTGGATTTTCCGTCCAACACGACTTCGAAGTCCAGGAGTATAACAAGCGCCGCGCGACTTGGAAAGAGTCCGAGAAGAAGAGAAAGGAGGAAGTCAAGTTGCTTCGAGTGCAAGCCAAAGCGATTCGGGAGGCGGCGCTGCAGCAGCTGAAAGTCCTCGGTGTTGGTGAGTTTCATGGCCGCCTTCCATTGCATGGCCAAAAGTCAGACTGACGCAGGAAGTACAGGTGAACAGAAGAACATGAGAGCCGCGTTCGGATGGATCCGCACCAGTCGCAGGGAGAAGTCGGAAAAGGGGCCCACATCCAGGCTGACCGAGGGAAAGCTCCTCGAAGATGACTCCGACGGTGATTCTGACGAGATCACACTGACTGACGCGCTGGCTGCATGAACGTGCTGTCTAACTTGGCTTGAGTCGCTTTGGATGTCGTCTCGTATGGCGCAAACTTGTCACTGTTGGCGCGACGTTCAGTGTGCGTGTCATGGTTGGAACTTGGCAGTCGCTGAGCTGGATGCTGTAGCCCCGTGACATGACAGATGAATGAATCAAATTCAACCTTCCTCCAGAGACCACAATTTCCCACCCACTCTTCCTCTTGCCACCACACCACCGAGCCAGGTCCCTCTCCCTTCGATCCTGAGATTCACGCCCTTACTTCCGACCCACTGGCTCACCGCCGCTGTGACGGCCACTTCATCGTCTCTGGGCACTCTGATCCACGTGTTCTGCTGCTCGACCTTTAATATGTCGATCGGGATGGCTGTGCCTGTCAGACCGAGGTATTGCTGTAGTGCAGCTGTGAGATATGAGCGAATTGTGAGTTCATCGAGAGGTTGTTGACTCTGTTGGTCGAGGGAGGTTAGGCGGAGATGGAAATATGAAAATGGAGGGTTACGGAGTGTGATTGTGCCGTGTGGTTCTTTGGCTGATGATTTGGTGTTGGTCATGGCGTAAGTGTCTCGAGCGTTATGATGTGATGTAATAGATCGTTCGACTGGATCTTGGTGTTATCACAGTGCGACTTGTGGGATCCTTGGACTTCATTATTGATTGGGTTGTGGTCGATGAATATGATCAACAGATGGACACTCAATGGGTGAGATGGAGATCGAGGGCAGAATTAAATTAAGAGCTTTGTGACGGAGTCATGATTAAAAGTTTGAGACATCGAGGCGCTTTGTCGTCGTCAGACAAAATGTTTACGCGACTTCTGTCCGCTCGACCTGCATCTTATGTGCTCTTCCCGGCATTATGATTCAGGTCTGTCTACTTCGAGTCCAAACCTTTTGTAGATCAAGATCGACTTGGCTGAAAGAGCGAAGTACAGTGCTCGGCGCTACCATACCGGCCATGGGTGTAATGACGCATTTCTCACTCTGTTGGTTGGTGCGAGACCCGAACTGGTGACAGGACGCATGATGGGTACAGTTCGGCGTCGTGCTCAGCATGTGCTTGATAGTGTTGAACGCGAGAAGGGAGGGATGAATTCGCGAGTAACAGGGGCCATTGCCTCGGATTGCCTGAAGCATCCGCACACACTGGGAGACTGGCTTGGTGGCACCTTCAGCACAAGACGCCCATACTCTTGCTACTGCGTCTTGTTCTTCCTCCCGCCATTGCTAATTCCATATTCCATTGCTATGCTCATAGACGATGATCTTGATCGCTTCCGTGTTACCTAGCCCGGGGATGTGCCTGCCAGTCCACTCTCATAGAAACGAATCACTCTCTCTAGGAACCTAGAATCTTAGCCGGCTGCCACCTTGCTGGCTGGAACAGCGTAGTAGTCCAACCCCGTCACATGAATAGGTGCTCAAGCTCCCACCTCAGACCCACACCTCACACCCTCCCCTCCGCTCGTAGACCCTCATACATCGCCATGGCCGCCAGTGTCTTCCCATCCCGCCACGCGACCTTCCACACTTCCTGCACCGGCACGATCTTCAGGGTGATTTTCTCGCCGTGATCCCTCAACCCGGTCAACTTGCCCTTCAGCTCATCAATGGCACGCGTGGACAACGATTTGCGAGCCAGGAAGATGGGCATGAACTCGTCGCTGCCTCCAGGGGAAGGATACATCGCGGGTTGAAGCTGTTCTTCTTCCGAGGAAGTGGCAGACGTGTCCACGTCTATTTGGGAAGCTAGCAATGTCATGTCGATAAGCTCGTCTGCGGAGATTTCGAGCCCTGTTTCTTCGCGAACTTCTCGGGCTGCTGCGCCGGCGAAGGTGCCGCTGTCGTCGATCATGCCCGCGGGTAGTTCGACAAAGGATAACGACCCGGCAGGGATGCGCGGCTGGAGGGTGAGAATGGCGTATTCTTCCGGCGTGGGCAAGGTGTCGGGCTCTTGATCTGAGCCGTGCGGGCTGTCGGACGGGGTGAGGATGATGAGCATGGCGACACTCCCGCCCCGCATGAAAATCGAGCCAGGGAGATGTTCGCCATCGTCGTTGCTGACTTGGGCTTTGAGTTTCAGGAAGCCTAGACGCTGGCCGGAGAAAAGGTCGAAGGACTGGATCTCTATTGATTTGAGAGAGTAGGGCGAATTGTGGAAAGGGTGGGTTGACGAGGACCGCTGGAGGGAGAGGGAGTGGCGTAGAGTATTGAGCCAGGTCTTGAAAGCGGGAAACGCCAGGAGTTGGTCTTGAGAGAGGGATGTTGGGTGAGTGACGGGGATGGGCGGCTGGGTGTTGGGAAGGTGGAAGGTCGATGTGGTTGATGTCATCCTTCCGGTCAGTAGCTGTACGTGTTGATTGAAACTAATGGGAGACAGGAATTGAGGAACGAGATTCTTGAGTCTTGAGAGCATCACGCGAGAAACATGCCCGGGAAATCATGCCTCAGAGGCAGTCGCGGTTGTTTGGTGTCAGCAAGGCAGTTATATATAATCGTGAAGTATCGGACGACGTGTCTTGCAGACCAATCAGATCAAACAGCTACAGCCAATTCTCAAGACAAAGAACACAAGAAGCAGTGCGATTGGAGAATGTACACGACTCTGTCACGATAGTAGTGTGTTGGATAGAGTCAACGTCTTACTGCACAGGAATGGAGTTGATCTGAATAAGCGAGCAGCTTTGCTTCTCCATTCTGGACATCACCTGAAAGTCAGGAGTTGTCCCGCCGTCATCTCGATCGTATCAGCATACGACATGATAGTGACGATGAGGATGCCGGTAAGAATACCTATCAGTAAGGGCTATCTACTCGATCTACCGACCAAGAATGGCCATGGTCTTAACCTCACTGGACAAGGGTAAAGTGAGGAATTGTCTTCCAACTTGAACGCCCACGCTGATGGTCATGGCTCCCTCCTAGCGAGCATCAACCTCAGCGCCCGCAACAGTAATCCTATCTCCTGGCTGTTGAGGAGCTGGCGCAGATCCGCTCTCATCGCGGTTTGATCCGGGTGTCACACTACTCCCTCTCACAGCAGCGAGATACTTCTCATGCGCCTTCCTCTGCTGCTCCCATTCCTTTCTCAACTTTTTCACCCGACTCGCTGTGAGCGGCTGACCATCCCTTCCCGTTGTGGGCAGGCCATCGCCGTCCCAAGCAGAATACTCGCTCGAATGCGGTGGTTTGAACATCTCAGTCGGGCTCAGTCTACCCTTTTGCAGTCGTTCCTGAGCTTCACGCTCGCGTTGCCGTTTAGCCTCTTCTTTCACACGGGCTTTATCTTCGCGCTCGCGCCGCACGGCCCTGAGACCTTCGGTGACGGGGCGCACGAGCGCAGGAGCGTTCTCCCGGTCTTCGAGGTAGATGTCTAGTTGCCAGAGGTCGACGTCTCGCACGCGGTCGCAGAGGGCGAGGATCTGCTTGTTCAGATCGGAGGAGGATTCAGTGCTGGGTGCTGAAGAGGCTGTTTGCAGGGCGTCTCGGTTGAACTCGCTTAACGCACGTGCATATGACGGCCGAGGTCTACCTACCGTAGGCGCTTCGTCTAGCCCCGAAGGCGATGTGGACACGATCTCTTGTACTTTCTCGACGGTAATGGACTTGGCAATGGCGGCCTGTCGGAGTTCGTCTCGTATCCTCGCCAGCGGGTAGACGAATTCTTTGGCGGCGTCAGGGATCTCGATGCCTTTCCAGCCAACTTGTTCCGTGTCTGCAGGCTCGGAGCCGTTCAGGCCAAAAATGTTGACCAAACGAGTGATGAATATTGCGACATCGTGATGATCTCGTGGTGTGAGATCGGATTTTTTGGTGCTGTTGTATATGCTGATTAATTGTGATATTGCTTCCATAGCGATGGGCGTGTTGAATGAATCTAGTAATGCAATGCGAACCCGCTCTTCAGCCTCCTGAAGTGCAGCCTGCAAAGTTGCTTTCTGATCGGACGTTGCTTTCAACTCCTTTATTGCCTCAACGGCGTTGAGAAAGAAGTTGTCGACCCGATCTTCCCAATTCCTGCCTTGAGTGACCATATCGTCGGTGATCTCTATGCCATCTTTCCAGTTGCCGAGCAAGAAAACAATTCGCAGACTCCTGGCAGTCCAGTCTTTCCGCACGTGGAGAGCTTCTCGGATGGTGGTAAAGTTCTTCAACGACTTCGACATTTTAGAGCCTTGTATTGACAAGTGACCCATGTGGAGGAAGTAGTTCACCCACTGGCCATGATTTGCCCAGAAGGCCTCACTCTGGGCAAGCTCATTGTCGTGGTGAGGAAATGCAAGGTCGATGCCTCCAGAATGAATGTCCATTTGCGAGCCTAGTTTTCCAGACGCCATGGCCGAGCACTCAATATGCCAACCGGGCCGACCAGGGCCCCATTCACTTGGCCAGCTGGGTTCACCCGGCTTGGATGCCTTCCACAGAGCGAAGTCGGCGTCCGACCTCTTAGCGGCGGCTTCAGTCTGTGATAAGGCGCCCTCACCGTCCGCTACAAGCTCTTTGTCATTCCTATTCCATGGCTCCAACCTGGCATACGGGTAGCCGGCAGCCTCAAAAGCCTTGATGTCGAAGTACACTGAGCCGTCCGCTGTCCTATAGCCCATCTTGTTGTCGACGATTTTCTTGACAAACTCTGCAATCTCGTTGCCATGCTCGGTCACACGCACCAGGTCATCCGGATCCATCACATTCAAGTCATGCATATCTTGGAAAAAGCGTTGCTCGTACTCCTTGGTGAGTTTTGTGAATACAGCATAGTCGTCTCCGCGGATCGTCTTGCCCAGCTGCTCGTCCAAGACCAGGCACATGACATCGCTCACTCGGTTGTAGAATTCGTGCGGCGTCAGGAGCTTTGGATCTTGCATTAATGCCCTCGCGGTGCCTCTAGCAGTATTGATGTGCATCTTGATCTTTGCTTCCCTATCACCTGGCTTGGTGCCCGGTTCGAGGCTTCCTCCCGCCAATATGTCCCCGTAAATGGGTTCGATCAGGCTGTCGAAAGTTTCAGGGGTGACGAGGGTCTTGGGATTTATTCGTTTCAGGTTTCTGTGTATGTAGTAGTGCCAGGCATGCCGAGCGTCTTGACGGACCTGGTCATCAATGTATCTGGAATGGGTCAGACACATGAGGAGCTGCCTTGGGTCCGACATTCACCATACCGATGTTTGTTCTTGTACTCTTCGTACAGATGCCTCTGCCTCGCTCTTAAGATGATCTTGTCATCAATATCTGTCGTGTTCATCACAAAGCGGATCGAGAAGCCAAAGTAATCCCGCAGGATGCGCCGAATGATGTCGGTGGTCACGTAGTTGCGGGCATGGCCCAAATGAGCGTCGTCGTACACCGTGGGACCGCAAGCATACCAGGTGATCTTCCCTTGTTGGACAGGCACGAAGGGGACCTTCGAACGAGTCAGGGAGTTGTAGACTTTCAATTGAGGCTGGTGCGTCGAGCCTGACGGGAGCGACCAGGCGGGTTGTGCCATTCTGGTGGACTTGCTGCAGAGATTGAAAGCGGCTGAGGAGAAAGCACGCTTCATGTATTTCATGAGACACTCACCCAGCTCGTTGACTCATCCATACCCGTGCACAAGTGGTACTGAGTCACAACACCATGCGCAGGGAAATGGAATGCCACAATACGAAGCGGGCTCGGAAAATCCATTTACTCCGCCAGCCGTTTCCCACGGGATCTGCCGGATGCATTAGCGGCTCGCCTAAAGACGGCAGAGCCCGGCGCTAGCCATTAATGCACAGGTTCTGAGATTCAATTTTCATGCTTCAGGCTCGGGCTGTTCCATGCTTTGAGAACAGTTTGAGATTTGGCAAAGGATAAGATTGAGCGACCTAAAAATGGTGTCAACATTCCTTTCCCCATCTCTGCACACCAAGACCGGCGATCTCGCCTCCTTGCACCTCCGCCGTGATCAATCCCTGCCCACAATCCTTTCAACACAGGTCGCCAACGCCTCGGAACAAGGCTATGCAGAAGGCGTCGTGACCAACACTCGCTTCGGGTCGTTCCCTCACAGTACCATAATTAACGTGCCCTGGGGAAGTCAAGTACGAGCCAGTAAAGTCGACACTGGCTCCCGCGGTCGCACCACGAAAAGCCACAAGAAACGGAAGATCGATGACGATGAACCGCACTCCGTGTCCACTCCCGGAGAAAGTGCACAGGTCAAGCAAGCTGAAGTGGCGGAATCAGGGTTCATTCATGTCTTGCCGCCCACACCAGAGAACTGGACGACCAGCTTGCCTCATCGGACTCAGGTCGTCTACACGCCCGACTACAGCTACATCTTACATCGGATCCGCGCAAGGCCGGGCTCAAGGCTGATTGAAGCAGGGAGTGGGAGCGGGAGTTTCACGCACGCCGCGGCACGGGCAGTGTTCAGCGGCTACGGACGCGGGCGTAAGGCAGGCAAGAATGAGACCGACACTGATGGCGTTCAAGCTCTGAAAAGCGAAGTAGAGGCACGTCGGGGAGAAAGCGAGCCGGATGACGCTCGCGGACGAGTCTTCACCTACGAATTCCACCAAGAACGGCACGAGAAAGTCAAAGCAGAAATGGAATTGCACGGGCTTGATGCCATTGTCCACGCCATGCACCGCGACGTTTACAGAGACGGGTTCTTGCTGTATGACGCTGACCAACAAACCGTGCCAACCTCTCCTCGAGCCAACGCCGTGTTCCTCGATCTGCCCGCCCCGTGGGAAGCGCTCCCTCATTTGACTAGGCAGGGAGGTGCGGACGGCGCACCGTCCGTCCTCGACCCTGAGTCCACAGTGCATATATGCACCTTCAGCCCATGCATTGAACAGGCGCAAAAGACCGTTTCGGCCCTCCGCAGGCACGACTGGGTTGACATTGAGATGGTCGAGATGCAGCACAAGCGCGTCGAAGTCCGTCGCGAATACACGGGACTGCATTACGACGGGATGCGCGGAGTGAATGTCTATGGGGCGGACGTGGACGAGGCGGTGTCCAGGCTCCGGGAGGTGGAGCAGAGGTTGAAGGATTTCCACGCCGGGAAGGCCAGCGGCAAAAGAAAACAGAACCATCGGCAGCCAGAGCCTCCCAGCCGATTACCCCTCGACGAAGGCAGACTTGTGCACCGAACCGAGCCCGAATTGAAGACTCATACATCGTACCTAGTCTTTGCGATTCTGCCGCGTGCATGGACTGAGGAGGACGAAACTGCAGCGCAGGAGAAATGGGCCAAGAACGTGACGGTCGCGACCAACGCGCCCAAGAGCCAGCGACAGTTGAAGAAGCAGGCGAAGCAGGCGAGACAGGCGAAACAGAGGCTCAAAGCGAGAGGCCAGACCGGGGATGGGACAAGCGAAGCGTCACGGCGAGAAGAGAGGGAAGAAATTAATCAGGGCCAGCAGGCAGCAGAATAAACGTGACAATCACTGGATCATGGAATGCCATCTCAGAGGCCTCCTTTATGCATGTGATTATCAATAACCGCGCGCAAGTGTCCGTGCAGCGCCTTGCTCAGCCTTCCATGTACCCTGGGCGAGGAGAGCATAGTTACCGTGCTCGGTATGCAGTTCGGATTCGCGAGGGTACGGAGGACCCAGTCGTAAGTCCCACCACGCTGTACGCCGTACACCCGTGCCCAGCAGACGTTGTCTCGAATCTCAACTCTGGACTCTCGAGAATGACTCTCCCACCCACGGCGAGGCGAGACATAGTCGAACCACAACACAACGCAACCGCCGAAGCAAGTCACGTAGAACCCAGTGTGATGCCACGCGCGTGGAAAAAACAGTCTTGACGGCGTACGTACTATACTGTGCACACCGTATGAAGCACTTCGCACCTGGCAGAGTACGTTAATCGTGCTGTCTTCACAGTAAGCCGGTTCGCTCGGTCCCGGCCCATCACAGTAAGCCGGTTCGACTGAGAAGACACCACGAGCCAACGAATACTGTAGTACATATGCTTCCTTCACCGCACGGAGTCTCGTCTCATCGGGCAGGCTTTCATCCCACCTCGCCTCGCTTCGCCTCGCCTCGAATGCACAGCCTCGAAGGACGACATTCGTCTCTACTGTGTACCAGACACTTGGAGACTCCGTAATTGGGTCTCGCCAGGTCTCGGTTCCCAGCGTGCGAGAGGCCGCTAGACCGCCTTTGGAAAAGGTTGCGAGAAATCAATCACATCGACTGTACCCCTATTTCGTCTGTTGCAAGAAACTATGATTGTGTCGGAACACTTACGGAGCGCCTGGTTTCATATTGCCTGGTGCCTGGTGCCTGATGCATAGCTGGGCCTGTGCCTGACGCTTTATGCTCCATGCCTTGTGCGCGTTATGCATGCTGATACTGCAGACAGAGGCTCTTATCGCCGGGAAGACTGCATCCCTTCCTGCGTACCACAGTACCGAGTATGTACAGTAGTACCTTGTACCCACGCCGGTCGGTGTTGGCCCGCTCAGTGGCCTTGGACTCGGGTCCGAATCTTGCTTAGGATTTCAGGAGAAGGTACCTCGTACGGAGTACTCCGTAGGGTAGCCTGTCTGCCTTGCTGCGTGCCTGCCTAATTATCAGCCAGTAAGTCGACGTCTCACAACCAGACACACCACACGCGTCGGTCATATACATACGTACTCCATACGGCGTATAGAGCATGGCATCCAAGCGAGGCTGCGCATCTGTCTAGCCTGTATGGCCTACGGAGTTCTGGGACCAAGTACACACACATACATAGCGTGTTGGAAGTTGGAGGTTTCAGATTGAAAGGCGTCTACGGTGTATTCTCGTCCACCCTCAGGCACTGGATATCACTGCACCCCACTGACGCTGGACGCTGACATTGACACCGACGACCGACAAGAACATCAAGCACTGCCACAACGACCGACGGTACCCATACCCACGCGGATTTAAGCCTCAGCCTTGCACTGATCTTCAAGTCGTATCTACTCCGTACCTCGTACGGTACATCTGCATCTTGCATTCCGCGCAGTGTTCTACTCGCCCCTCTCTACCTTTGTATCTGCTCAGGGCGAGGTTGTCACGTCGCCACCATCAGCTATCAAGTCAGTTTCATCAAGGCAACGGCGAACAAAACAGGCCGTGCACCCAACCGCAGTACTCACGTTGTTGCTCCTGAGAACTTACCTACCTGCCTACCTACCTGGGCTCCTACTGTTGCTGTCCGCAGAACTTTGCCGGCAGCTGGGTCTTCTCCATCTCCGCTGAAGTCAAGCAAGTCACATTCAAACTCGCCAGCCCGAAAGAACTGCCCCGGAGCTCACGAAGGCGGTGTCCTGTACCCGCGATGGCAATCCTCGACACCTTCATTCCGCACCTCGTGCACCTCGCTGCCCGGCAAGCCGACGATGACAATGCCAACAACACCAACCAACCCGGCAACAAGAGTCCTGAGCAATTCGCGAGTCAGGGCCGATACAACTATCCTCCATCCTTCGCCGCAGCGGTGATCTTCCTGATCTTCTTCAGCGCGGTCCTGTTGGCGAACGTGGCGCAGTTCTTCTGGCACCGGGCCTGGTTCTGGTGGGTGATGATATTCGCGGTGTCATGTGAGTGGGTTCCTGTCTTTTCTTCTCACCTTGAACGGAGCGTGCGAATCAGCTGGATGCCCGGAGTGGAGGGGGCGTGAGTTGTGGAGATGCGTATCACGATTGCGTTTCTCTTATGCCGCGACCCTTACTAATGTCCACGCAGTAGAATTTGTCGGCTACCTGACGCGCGCCATGTCAATCCACAATCTCGACAGCCGCGGCCTCTTCATCATCCAGACGGTCGTCATCCTCGTGGCCCCCGCCGTCATGGCCGCGGCATGCTACATGGCCTTTGGCCGGATCGTGCTGTGGGTGGTGCCGCCACGCTTCCAGACGGCGCGGCACCTGTGGGTCCCCGCGCGCCGCATCACGCCCATCTTCGTAGGGTCCGACGTCTTCAGCTTCTTCGTGCAAGTCATCGGCGGCGCGATGGTCGCGGCGGCCAACGACCGCGACAGCGCCGACCGGGGCAAGAACATCGTCATGATCGGCCTGGCGCTACAACTCGCCGCGTTTGGATTTTTCGTGGTTGCGAGTTTCCGGCTCAACGTTTTGCTGCGGCGAGGCATGCGCGACGTCTCACTACCGAAAGAGCGCAACTGGGAGCTGTTTTTGAGCGTGATCAACGTGGCCAACCTTTTGATTCTGATCCGGACGATCTTGCGGTTTGTGGAATTCGCGCTCGGCACCACGAATTACCTGATCGACCACGAGTGGTTCTTCTACGCGTTCGACTCGGCACTCATGCTCCTGGTGGCCGCGCTGTTCGTCGTCGTCCACCCGGGCCATTACTTGCCGTATCTGGGCATCCGGCGGCGCGAGATGCAGTTCTCGAAGAATGCCGACGCCGGGCCGTTTGCCAGGCTTGCAAAGGGCCGCATGAACGTGGAGTTGATGTGAAGGCCGAAGTCGCGTAGCGAGTTCGTCGAGGTACATCCTGCTAGTGGTAGGACACTAGGTGGCATTGCGACATGAGAGGCTTTGGTGAGGCAAGTGGTGGTAGTGTACGCCGCTTCTCGATAGACCTACGGGACAGCTCAAACGGGCACACGGAGTCGATCGCCGCATTCTGACTCGTACACAGTACAAGTACGCGCTTGGCATTGCGTTGCGTGGCTGTGCTGCAAACGCAGCAGGAGAACGGCGGAGCTTCACAACACGTGGAGACGCAATGTGGATGTCATGTGTTACACTGGATATCCTTTGATGTGCATCACAACCTATTGTGTAGATCAACGGGGCGAATTGTTGGATCTTTTTCGCGGCCAGCGGTGTTGTGATTTCCAGAGATACATAGCACGTACCGGTAATTCGTACATAGCCAGTTCTGTCGATGTGCAGCTCAAGTATCGCTAGTCTCGCTTGCACTGTTAAAACCAGACATGAGACTTGTCATGGGATTGCATGAAGGAACCTCGTGGCGGACTGCCGACACTCTATTCGAACCCGGCAAGGGTGCTATCCCCGAGACAGGCAGGTGTGGAAGCGGGCAGCACGGTAGAACATTATCTAAGGCCTTGGCACGGAGTATCTCGAAAGGAGTTCACCAGAATTGGGAGTTGGGTCATGGGTCATGGGCTTGTCGGGGTACACAGTACACGGTAAATGAGGGCGATGAGGTTCGCGGCAGGTGATGCGAGCGGCTAATTAACGGTGCGGTAGTCGCCCAGTGGTAATTTACTACTGGTGGCGATGGTGGGAGGAGGGGGCACTTGGGGGTGGCACTTGGCTCCTTGGCCGGCTTAGACGGCATCTCCAGCCAGCGCCTGCTACTCAGTGGTCAAGACTGTGCCACCACTGGGGACAGTGGCAGCCACCGATAACTGCCGTACTGTGTACTGTGCTATGATGTCGCAACTGCGGCCGAGGCAAGCAAGTTATGCGATGGGCAAAGGTAAAAATGCCAGGACAAGAATCTGCAAACTGCTTGACAACAATGCGTCCCTCGTATCATATCTCAGTGTCGAGTTAGCCACCTCGCCATCTTTGCAGCACTAGCCGACAGTGGATCGTCTAGGCAAGGTACAGCCGGTTGCAAGCGAAGGCAGCGTGTGGCCCGGTGTGGCCCAGTTCTCCCAGCGCGGCCCATCCACACCCATCGCCAAGCCGGTAGTGCGTGCCCACGGCCTGTGGTAAAGGCGCCTCCAAGACAATCACGATCCACTCCGCCTAACACAGTGCGATATGCGACATGAGCATCCGTCCAGCGGTGGCTCGGCGGCCCCCCATGCCCGCTTGATAGGATGCTGTTTCATCATCGTCTGGGAAGCTGTGGGCAAGCCCATCTGCCCCCTCGAGACTTTTATCCACATCTTCGCTATTGCGTCGAGGTGCACAGCAGCGTGACGATCTTGTGGCATGGCATACGGAGTAAACCCCCGAAATTGCTGTCTGCACCCTACGGTTGCGGCGTGGCGAAAGCCCCGTGTGCGTGTCGCGCCAACCCGCCGCATGTCGAAAGAGATTCGCGTGTAGCCAACCCAGTGGCAGACCCACACTCTCCCTCCCCTGTTTGAGATCTCCCGACAGCCACCACCCAACCCACGGCAAACCCCAAGTTTGTCAACCTACTTCGCACAGTAGTCGTGGTTTGCGTGGATCCCAACGATCTCTTGGAAAACGGGACTGGGGAGGCCATCACATATAGTCGGGCATGGCCACCTTTTCGGGTTGCGGCCACAGTGACTGACCACGCACCATGCCCTTTTCTTCGTGCAATGCCTTTGATGGGAAGGCTGCTGCCGCTGCGCTTCAGCTTCAACTTCAAGGCCAAGTCGCAGCCGCTGCTTGTGAGGCTCCTCCTGTGGGCCATTCTTGTGGTGGCCTCCGGTGTCGTCCTTTATCTTAGTGTCGCATACCTCGCAATTCCGCTGTTCATCTTGCTTTCGCCGACGCTGCATCCCACGCTGTACGAGCTGGGCTTCTATGGCGGGTCCCCTTCGCAGACCTACTTCTCCAATGGCCTGAGTTCGCCGCGCATCAGCATCAGGAAATCCGACCCGCAATGCGACAAGGCGTACACGTTTCTGAACTTCAATGGCGCGTCCATGGTGCGCAAGGGGCCGGCGATACTCGATCCCAACAATGAACTCGTGTGGAAGTTGGAGGCTGAGGGGACGACGACCAATTTAAAACTGCAGACGTACAAGGGGGAGCAATATGTGACCTACTGGACGGGCATGAAGGGAGGGACCATGGGGCGCGGCATTTATCACATGGTGAGTGCGAGAGCGGGTGCGAATGCAAGTCCGAAATTGACGAGCCCGCCATGTGCAGTTGGACGCTTCTTACGACCTCAAACACACCGTCTCAGCCGTCGGCCTCGGAGGCGACCTCCACGAATTTCTCATCAGCAGAGACGATACAGCGCTTCTGACCTTCTACAACGTCACCCCGGCCGATTTGTCGTCCCTCGGCAAAACCAAAAACGGCTGGCTGATCGACAGCGGATTCCAAGAAGTCGACATCACCACAGGCGAGCTGCTCTTCGAATGGCGAGCCTCGGAGCATTTCCAGGTCAACGAGACCTTCATGACCCACCCTTTTGGCGGCTACTTCAAAAGCATCCCCTTCGACTTCTTCCACATCAACAGCGTTGACAAGGACTCCAAGGGCAACTATCTCATTTCCTCGCGTCACACCCATTCCGTCACCTGTCTAAGCCCCGACGGCCAGATTGTGTGGATCCTCGGGGGACAACGTAATCAGTTTGAAGACCTTTCAGGGGGCGAGGCCCTGAACTTCCGCTGGCAGCACGACGCACGCTGGGTGGATGAGGAAGCTGGGATCCTCACCCTTTTCGACAACAAGGAAGGAGGTCCACTGCATGTCGATGGGCCATACAGCCGCGGAGTGATGCTCCAACTGGACGTACCCAACCGGACGGTGACTTTTCTGCACGAATACGCATCCTTACACCACACCCGCACGCCTTCACAAGGCTCGACCCAATATCTCCCCACGAGCGAGCATGTGTTCGTCGGATTCGGCCATTCTCCAGTTTTGAGCGAGTTTACCCTGAACGGCACGTTGCTGTGCGAGACGCACTATGGAGCGCCATGGCTGCACCCTTTCGACACGGCCGTATCATATCGAGCTTTCAAAGCGCCGAATTGGGTGGGAATACCTCGTGAGCCTCCCACTGCGAAGATTCGGGACGATGTCCTGTATGTTAGCTGGAATGGTGCCACCGAGGTGGCGGCCTGGGTGCTGCAAGGCGCGAGCGAGCAAGATGAAGGCTTCGTTGATTTAGACGTGGTGGACAAGGAGACTTTTGAGGAGACCTTCGAGCTCGAACAGCTGTCGCAGTATTCTTGGTTCCGTGTAGCAGCATTGGACCGGAATGGGCAGGTACTGAGGTCCACAGAGGTGATCCAACGACAGTCTTCGAGCAGTTGGTGGAGCTTTCTGCTGGCAGTCTTTTGCTGGGCATTGCTCTTCAGACTCGCGTGGATGGCTTACAAATGGTCCTCCGAACGGGGCCATGCCAGCAGCAAGGGCGTCTCTTGGGTTGTCTGGAGGAAGTCTTGAAAGCGCCCCTGAACTTAGGCTGCATCGCATTTTGACGGCGCAGTATACCTCTTACATGAGGTAATAAATTCGTTCTGTTCATCTGTTCTGATGTGTCCCTCGTGATTTGCACTGCTATTGTCTTTCTCGCTGGTTGTCAAATTTGGAAGAACGACCTGCAGCCATATAGTATTACCTGGTCGTAGCAAACTTCGACCTCCTCACGGCGAGTCCAGGACATCGTCTGGATCTCAATACCGAGAGATTTCAATGTCTGAAACCCCATGGCTTAAGGGCAGCCTCACAAACAAGCCCAGCTTCAGGCAAAGTCCCGTTTGCGAAAAACGTCTTCACGATACCAAATGTGCATACACTCGGGTTGCTTGACCCAGCGCAATGGCCAGGCATATCCTGCGTTAGTACAACACTACCTTCATGACTCTTGGACATTTTGAGCGCGTTCCTCACTGGTGTGACCGGATCCGCCGTGTTGCCAATGAACAAGAGCGGACTGCCTCGACGATCGTAGTCAGACAGATTCGAGGCAAAAGGGCCTGTGAATCGATTTCCGGCTAATGGGCGACTCGCCTTCTGCCAGTGGATGCAGGGTAACGTGATTTCTGCCCAGACGGATCCCACCACTGGTGATTGGGATTCAAGTAAGCTAAGGTACTCTCCGAACTCCTCCTTCGTCCGGGAGGTAATGTCGTCGCCATCGCCACAGAGAATGGAGATGGCCGCCTCCTCCTGCCAAGGATAGCTCGTCGGCAGGCTCAACTCCTGCTCCAGCAGGGCTCCTGATAGGAAGGGCATGAGAGGTAAATTGGGCAGAGAGGGATGGAAGTGTCTATTTCCAGGGGCGAACCACGCCCTCGAGGACCTCAGTGCGGAAATCGCGCTTCTCTCGTCCCGCTCCATCAACGCTCTCAAGATCAGAGCCAACATAGGCCATAGCTGAATTGGTTGATACAGATGGCCATGGATCATCGATTTCAAGTCGAAGTACGTGAGGACAAAGGCGTTTCCATTTTCCACTAATGGCAGTGGGTTGTGCTTAAGCTCAGCTAGAAAGTCTTCAACCTTCTGCTGCATCTCTGCCGGGCCATGTACCGAAGCGTCAGACAAGGTGCACTTATCACCAGCCTCAAAACAATAGTCAAAGAACTTTTCCCATGTCTTGTTGTTGTCCTGGAGGTTAGTGGTCCAGCCGGTAGCGGCATAGTCATCCGCGTCAACAACACCATCCAGTATCATACGACCAATCCGGCCAGGAAACATTGAGGCAAAAGTGTTACCGAGGTATGTGCCATATGACAGACCCCAGTAGTTGAGCAATGGAGGACTGTTTTCCGAGTCATACAGGATCGCGGCCTGTGGCTTGTGCTGATGCTTCTCGTCTGAACGCAGTTGGCCTTGTCGGTGTGCCTCGACTTCATCGATGATTGCCACCATATCATGAGCGACCAGGGCAGTGCTGACATACTGCCGAATAGTCGAGCCATCCGGATATCTGCCCTTATTCGTCTTTGCGCAAAGGAGGCCGAGGCTTTTGTCGATGCTCCATTTGGTGTCCAAAGCATATTGATTCGATTCGAGGCTGCCAGACGCCGCTGACATCAAGCGTAGATTGCCACGTACAGAGTCATCTTGAAAGCACTCCAGGCTGGGTGTTGTAAACTGTACTCCCCGAGGGTCGAATGACAAAATCTCAAAATGTTTGTCACTGTCCACCACATTCTGAATGCTTTTCCCGCCCCACAACACAGTTGTAACGCCCGAGCCGCTAGGTCCGCCTGGATTGATGACGATTGTGCCGCCAAAGGACTCGTCTGCAACGTCAACGACAGCAGGGAGCCTCGTAATGGCAAGGGCGACAGTGTTCGAGTTTGAGAGATTGGACCAATCGAGTGGCACCTCTAACCTAGCGCATTCGAAGAGTCCATAGCACTTGTGGTACTTAAGCTCTTTCGATGGTCTGATATCTGTCCAGTCGAATTCCTGGCTGGCATCACGTTGATCTGCGGTATATGGCAGAATGAAGGCCGAACCCGTGTAGGACAGTCCTGCTACCACAGCTCCCGTGAGCGCGGCGTAACTTGTCCACATTCTTATGCCCAGATGCTACCCAGCACGAATCCGTCGTTGATCCGGATGCACTCTTAATCCTCGATGAGCAGTTGTGGAAGGGATATCAATACCTGGTAAATGAGGGGCTGCTGAGGGAGCGGGACAGCTCTTGACCGAATGAAGCTACCGTCCAGGCAACAGCCTTTGTCCACTTCAGGTCAAGATACGTGTCGACGGCTTGCCTGAATCGAGCAACTCACTGAAGTTTGCAAGATGACAAAGCTTGCCCATCGCCGCAAGATTCTGAGTGAATTGCTAGGTGAAGTGGTTGTGAGCGAAGCAGTGAAGGACCGATACGAAGCCAGACCGCCACGTCTGAGGCAATCACGTGGACAGCACACTAATCGCCGCTGCTAGGTAAGCAATCTGATAAGATAAGATGCGCCGCTGCTTAAGAGGTTGCATATTGCACCTGACGCGTCGATGTGTCCCGATCATCGCGTCTCAGCCCCCGCCAGCTCAATGCATTTTCGCCAGATGATGGCCAATAGCGAATGTAGTCGCAGGCCATCGCGATGTGAGCAAAGCCCAAGTCTTCGGACGTAGAATGTCTTCGTCACAACCGTTCCTGGCCTCCTCGCCCATAACTGGTGGCCGGAGGAAGAAGTCGCGCTTCACCTACAAGCATCTCCACTTGCTCGCGCAATCATCAACGACATGTCCCTTGCGATGCATCGCACTGATCGATTACGACGCCTTCTACGCGCAGTGTGAGATGGTAAGGCTGGGCGTGGCTGAGACTCAACCATTAGCCGTTCAGCAGTGGCAAGGTCTCATTGCCATCAACTATCCAGCACGAGACTTCGGACTGAGCAGACATGTTACGATCACAGAAGCAAAGCAGAAATGTCCCGAAATAGTGGTCCAGCATGTGGCAACCTGGCGCGAAGGGGACGATAAGTGGGCATATCGCGAGGATGCTGCGGAACACATTCACACCGACAAGGTATCCCTGGATCCGTACCGCCTCGAGTCACGGAAAAGCCTCGCTCTGGTCAAAGCGATCTTACCACCAGCGCCAGTACAGAAAGTGGAGAAGGCCAGCATTGATGAGGTCTTTCTTGACTTATCGGCACAAATCCATCAGATCTTGCTGGAACGGTATCCGGAACTTCGGTATGCTCCTTACGATGACCCAACCGAGAATCTGCCTCCTCCGCCTTCGACAGCGCTCGATTGGGAAGTGGATGCGCTTGTAGATCTCGACTCCACGGAGACGGAGGACGATGACCCGGATTGGGACGACGTGGTGATGAACATTGGCTCTGAGATCGTCCGGGGTGTGCGAAAGACCATTCTCGAGAAACTGAAATATACGTGCTCGGCAGGTATTGCACGGAACAAGATGATGGCCAAGTTGGGGGCAGGGTACAGGAAGCCAAATCAGCAGACCATCGTGCGCAATCGCGCCGTGCAACACTTTCTCTCAGGTTTCAAATTCACCAAGATCCGAAATTTGGGAGGCAAACTCGGAGAACAGATTGTTGACGCCTTCAACACGGAGGCTGTCATTGATCTGCTTACTATTCCTGCAGAGCAGCTCAAGTCTAAGCTCGGGCCCGACACCGGGTCGTGGCTTTACGGGATCATTCGTGGAGAAGATAACAGTGAGGTTAATGCACGAACCCAGATCAAATCAATGCTCTCGGCAAAATCTTTCAGGCCGAGCATCAATACTACTGAACAGGCGAACAGGTGGCTGCGCATTTTTGTGGCGGACATCTTCGCTCGCTTGGTCGAAGAAGGCGTCCTTGAGAATAAAAGAAGGCCCAAAACCATCACGCTCCACCACCGTCAAGGTGGTCAGACAAGGTCAAAGCAACTCCCGATCCCAGGAGGGAAGAAGATCGATGAGGCAAGCCTGTTCGAACTCGCCAAGACATTACTAGGTCAGGTCATTGTTGATGGCCGAGCATGGCCCTGCGCAAATCTCTCCTTGGCTGTGGGCGGCTTTGAAGAGGGAGTCTCCGGCAACAAAGGCATTGATACGTTTCTCTTGAAAGGAGATGAAGCCAAGGCCGCCTTGAATCTGCCGTCCCGAAGCAACACAGCAACGCCGGTCCCGGGCGACGAACAGCCTTCGAAGCGGCGAAAGTTCGACGAAGGCCCTCCCACTATCGCTCGTTTTTTCTCCAGAGACGAGAGCATCGGAGAGGGCGAGGATGAATCTGGGAGTGAGGTGCAGGGAGTCAATTCCGAGCACCATGATCTTGCTTCAGGGAACGACGTCCAATGCCACCATGACACTCAGCTACATCAGTCAGGCATCGCGATGTACCTTTGCAAGGCATGTCATCAGTCCATCAGCGAATCTGACAGGCGTGAGCATGAGGACTGGCACTTTGCGAGAGATCTTCAAGCTCAAGACAAGCCGGCTGTGACTAGTCCCGCAAACAGTCGTCCGCCCGGCCCTTCAGGCAGTAAGCCAAAGCGCGGGGTGGGTGGAACTCGAGGCCGGGGCTCGAAGGTCGAAAAAGGCCAGAGCCGTCTCCCTTTTGGATAGGCTCGCCATCCTTTCTCCGAAAACAAGCATTAAATGCCCTAGTCTTTGTACTCCTTGTTGAAGGCTCTTCCGATGACCATCCTTCTAACCTCGCTTGTTCCTGCACCAATCTCGTACAACTTCGCGTCCCTCAATAGCCTCCCGGCAGGGATCTCATTCACGTAGCCATTGCCACCCATGAGCTGGATAGCGTCCAAACCGCATTCCGTGGCTCTTTCAGCAGCGTACAGGATGGCACCAGCGCAATCTTGAGTACGCACCTCTCCTTCCTCGTCAACCTTCTTTGCCGTCGCATAAGTGTATGCTCTCGCGGCCTGCAGCTTTGTATACATGTCTGCCAATTTGCCCTGCACAAGCTGGTTATGCGCAATCGGGATGTCGAATTGTTTCCTCTGATGTGTATAGGGTAGCACCAAATCCAGACAAGCCTGCATTATTCCCAATGGTCCTGCACTCAGTACCAATCTTTCAAGGTCGAGTCCTTCCATAAGCACAGTGACACCTTTGTTCACTGGGCCCAGCATATTTTCCTGCGGGACGAAGACGTTGTCAAACACCAGCTCTCCGGTATTTGAGCCTCTCATGCCGAGCTTGTCTAATTTCCTCGACACGCTGAATCCCTCTGTGGCTGTCTCCACGATAAAGGCGGTGATGCCCTTGGATTTCTTCTCCGGTTCAGTCTTCGCATATACGACGATATAATCCGCCTCCGGTCCGTTGGTAATCCACATCTTCGTGCCGTTCAACTTGTATCCGCCATCCGCCGCTTTCGCCGTAGTTTTCATGCTAACCACATCACTACCTGCGCTATGCTCACTCATAGCCAACGCGCCAACTTTATCCCCACTGATCAAGCCCGGGAGATATTTCTCCTTCTGTCCTTTACTCCCATTCAAACTCAGTTGATTCACGCACAACTGCGAATGCGCCGCGTAACTCAATCCGATGCTCCCACTTGCCCGTGATATTTCTTCCATGATTATACTGTGAGCCTGATAGCCCATTCCGAGCCCGCCATAGTCTTCATCCGCGGTAGGACCAAGGAAGCCTGCTTCGCCGAGTTTCTTCCACATGTGCTGGGGGAAGTCATTGTTGCGGTCTGTGGCTGCGGCTACTTCTTCGGGGATCTCACGCCGGGTAAACTCTTGGACGCGTTCACGGAGTTCATAGAGGTCTTCAGTTGTGGGTGGGGTGAAGCCGGAAGGATGTTTGGACGTTGTTGAGGCCGCACGTATTGGCCCTTTCCTATGTTGCCGAAGGAGAAGAGGTGAGGTGAGGGCCGATGGGTCGTGGGCAAAGCGGCGACATGGCCGAAGCAGCGGCCGCACGATTGAGCATGTCATGATCTTAAAGGTTCGATTGCGCTGCTTTCAACTACGCAACAGACACAGTGTGGACTGGGGAAGGTGGTAGAGTAAATTGACAGTGAGTAAAGAGTGAACGGAAGAGCATGAGTTGCGTTGCTCCGCAGTTTGGCAATGCCGTTGCTAACCGCGTTGCCGAGGTGTGGAGAGTACCTAGGTAGAACCAAGATATGTGTTCCGTACGAGCACCTAACGAGGTACAGGATTGTTTGTGGATTTTTTCATCAACCTCTTCTGTTAAAGTCCTTGAACACAGCCAGGCCGGACACAAGCCAAAGTCTGAGTCGGTCTTCTCTAGTGGCTCAATTTCAGTGGTAACGGTACATGTGTCCGTAAGACACAAATTTCATCCCTGCCGCTGAAACCTTACACATCAGGCACACATCATAGGTAGCCGTGACACGCTCCTTGCCAAAGCATGACATCTTTCGTACATCTGCTTGTTGGCACGATGATATCCTTCATCAACGAGACAGGTGCATCCGAGTTGGCAAACTTGTCCACGCAACAGCCACAGTTCGTGTACCTCGTTAGCAGAAATGGCAAACACGTTCGCTCAAAGCACCAGAATACATGGTCAAAATCCCCTTACGGGTGGCTTGTCGCCTGTATGAATATGCACCGAGCTTTCGTCGACGGATCGGACACGTTGAGGAGGTGGACTGGCGACCATGAGCTCGCAGGAAGACATGAGGTGGACTCAACTCTTACTTGTGGTTGCATGGCATGCCGCAATGGCTGCAGACATGGTGTTGGCTTGAAATCTTCTCAAGTACGGCTTTTCTATATCGTTCACCGTCGTGCTTCAAGATGTCAACTTTTGGACCCTTGCTGAGAACTCCGAGAAAGTCCCTGGACGACAGTCAGACGTTTGCCCTTCAGGCCAGAATCAATCGCATTACCATGTGTCGCCAGTGGATTGTAGCAGTGACTGAACCCTGGTGACCTCGACGACCACACCAATCCTGCAGATTGAAGGCTTCACAAAGGCGTATTGCTCAATGTCTTCTCGCCAGCTCAATCCCTCGGAATTGACGATACGCCACTTCTGTTCTTTGCTGCCTTGCTGGTAATAAGATTCGAGAATGAAAAGTTTTCTTTCAACCATTTTGAGTTGAGAACTGAGGCTAATGATGCTGACAGAACAATGACAAACCTAGGACTGTGTGATCTGGATGACCAGAACATTACATGGCATCTTGATACTCAAGTTGCGCGCCACAACCTTTGCGAGGCAAGAGCGACACACAAGCAGTGCCATTGTCGGGGGTGCCCGCGAGAGTCAGGCATCTGTGGTGTTGACGAGGCCACACAAGAGGAGAGCAACCGTGACTGAGAAGATCAAGAATACGCAAACTGCAATGATTGTCGCCGGTCACCGATCGCCAGGGACAGAGGGACAACAAGTCGCGGCACCAACAGGACTCTGTCGATCGCCGGAGATTTTGCTGCCTATTTATGGTTTTTCCGATTCGAGAAAGACACACGATGGGAACGTGAAGAGCTGATTGTTCTTTTACTCCTCATTTCTGGCTTTCCTCTGACTCCTCCGTTTCACCATTTCATACAGTTCATCTTCAGACTCAAATCACATGGAGACTCTTCTTCCTTGTTTCAGTGTCGTCCCATTCAAAGATGTCATAGCCCGGCCTTGCAGCTTCGATGTTGACCGCCTCTACCCTCTCCTATGTCACTTTCTCACTGCCGCTGTTGGCTTGCTCCAACGACCTGTCCCTTCGACCAATCCCGCGCTGCAATGGCGTCATCATGCATACCGAAGTTATGGAAATGCCATGGTCATTAAGAGCCCCACGAAGCCCCAAAGCTAAGCATGTGCTTTTTCTGCAACCTCCCGCCTCGCACAATGTACCATGATACCATTCAGCAGCTTCGCCACTGATAGTGATCTATGGTCGAAATCCTGCACAGTATCCACAGCAATCAATCTGACCATTACCGTTGTCTCTTGTGTCCCATGATGGCGTCGACCTGCATCAATCGCGTATCTCGGCGGACTGTGCCCAATCACTCGACAATGCCCGGAGCTTGCAGAGGGTACCAGAGTTCTTAGGGTACTTTCTAAAGTACTATCCAGACATCGTGCACTTCCAGGGGACCCATGAAAGAACCGCTACAGTACAATGCCATTGCCATAGCAGCTGACCCCGTGCAGGATACGCCGCCCCTTACGTAGATCCTGAACACGCGGAGTACGTCCTGGTGTTACTCCAGAGTCGCCTCATCGATAAGTATAAGAAAGACCTTGGGACCCTGAATAACCACAATGCAGTCATCAAGCCAAACGCCGAAAAGTTCACATAGATTCTTCCCAGTTACCAACTCCCACCAGCACCATGGCTCCCATTGCTATCACTCCTCCAACCGTCGAGCCTAAGCAGGTTCGACCTAGCATGCAACGTGCCAACACTGCCAATATGGGCACGAAACGAAAGATCATCTGCTTTTCAGGTACACTTAGACGGAGCGGCAGTTTTAAAGTTTGTCTAACGCCCAGATCTAGATTTCGATGGCACGATCTTCATGCAAGATACTGGTCATGCCCTCTTTGACAATTTCGGTTGCGGTCCAGAGAGGAGGAAAGTGCTCGCACACCAACTTGAGTCGGGAGAACGAACTTTCCGAGAAGTCTCTAATGAGCTTTATGCCTCGCTCGACGTGCCCTTTGAGGACTGCTTCGAAGTCATGAAGACAGCCTTGGACATCGACCCTGACTTCCAGACCTTCCACGAGTTCTGTGTCAACAACAGCATCCCCTTCAACGTCATCTCTGCCGGTCTCAAGCCTGTATTACGGAGAGTTCTCGACCACTTCATTGGAGAAGACATGAGCAAACATATCGAGATTGTCGCCAATGATGCCAAAGTCACCGCGACGGATGATGGGAACAAGTGGGAAGCCGTCTGGAGACACGAATGTGAACTTGGCCATGACAAGGCTCGGTCGATCAACGAATACAAGGCCGCCGCCCGAATGGAAAGCGACAATGGCACAATACCGATGATAGTGTTTATCGGCGATGGTGTCTCGGATCTCCCCGCCGCACGCGAAGCCGACGTGCTTTTCGCTCGCCGAGGCCTGAAGCTTGAGGAGTACTGCATCGAGCACAACATTGACTACATTCCCTTTGACACATTCGCCGATATCCAGAAACAAGTCATCAAGATCGCCAAGGTCGACGAACAAAAGACTCGCGGCAAAGGGCTTCCTTCCAACTTCAACCCTCGTGCCAACATGTGGAGAAGAGTCAGCAGCAGAGCCGCCGTGCCAGTATTTGCTGCGCTTTCTCCGGCCAAGGAGGAAAAGGCTTTTCTGTGGCCAGACACTTTCACCACGCCAGCGACCGTGGCAGCAACTGTGCCGCCCAATGTTGAGGCGGCCGTGGCTGTTGCTGCTCCTGTGGCATAAGATCGCGCCGGCGATGCACGCATGGCCGCGCCACGTGCTCGACGTTTTCACTTCTTTGATGTGTGACGATAGCGATTGGCGTTGGACGGGACCGAGATTCGACTTTTGTGATTCATGACTTGGGAATCTAATGAAGATAGATCTGTCTAGACAGATATACATAGACTATTGTAGAGCATAGAGAGATGAGCTCCTTGAAGAGGTTGTGCAGAACCTTCTAGTGAATATCAGACTGAATCAATCTGCTCCGTCGATGTCTTTTATGATTCTGTCTTACAACCTTTGAGAGGCTTCCTGACCTGAACAAAGATCAAGCCTAGATTAAACGGCTCGGTAGACGGCTTTCATCATCCTAACTTACAAGCTTGCAAGCGACTCCTCGACCTGACCCGGTTCGTGTGCTTTTCGGCAACATCACAGGAATATCCCTTCCGGATGAATTTCCAGTCCACACCCACACACCTCGCATGTTAATATACCTACCTATGTTGCGCCAACATATCGTGACTGCTAGCAGCACCACACATCCAGCGCCGCCCATTGCATGTCCGTCTTCGCCCCAGAAATCACTGCATCACATCCCCACCAACATCTGTCCACCTACAGCATCGGTCTCGATCCACTCAGCCGATCCTGACTCACACACTCACCTAATCATCAAGACGGACCTCCCAACGGCTAAGGCCACGTCCACGTCCACGCCTAGATTTAGGTCTGGCTGTCCGTCCGTCGTTTTACTTGTATCTCCTCGGTTTTCGTATCCCCCCCTCCTCCCCGATGACACGCCCGCCGGCTATCCCGACGGTCTCAGTCTCGATCCCACCATCATTCCACGCCAAGAAATCCCAGATCCTCCGCTCGCTGAACCAGCCGACCGATTCATACACGGACAATTCGCCCAAAGGAACAGTGGACGCACAGATCCGCGATCTGATTGACGAGATCAATGCCTACGAGGGATTCGTGACGACGAGTTCGTGTGCGGGACGGGTCGCTGTGTTTGTGGAGGGGCCCAGAACGACACCGGGCAAGGGTGAGGGCAAGGCGAAAGGGACCAGGACGAGCACAACCACAGGCGGTGATGACTCGGTGGTTGGAGGGGATGATGAAGCGCAAGTGTGGCATTCCCAGGACGACGGAAGGGGAGGCGATCCGGATCTGGGCAGCCACGATGACGATGATGGACGGAATGTGCCTGTGCCTATCGTTGTTGCCGGTGGAGATGGGGGTTCAGGGGTTGGAGTGGCCAGCGCGACTACGAAAGCACCCGCCGCCACCGCCGCTCCGACGACGACGGCGACGACATCACCCGGCGGCAAGGGCGGAGGACGATGGCTCTTCGTGTCGCATGATCGGATTGCCATGCCGAGGTCGGGTCGTGGTAGCAGCACGACTACAACGACGCCGGGCACGCAAGGCGATAAAGACCACGATACGATCCATGGAGATGGAGACTACTTCTCGAGACTGTTCAATCTCGGTGGCGCAAGCCCCGGGACCACGTCCTCGCTGTCCGCGCCACCACGTCTAGTCCATCTGACCTTCTCGCCCCTGATCCTGCACATCCACTGCGCGTCGCTTTTCCACGCTCGCCCTCTCCTCTCCGCGGCGATCAACGCCGGGTTCCGCGAATCGGGCGTGCAATCCCTTCGCGTGCTCGATCCGGCGGAGGCGGATAAGGGCGTGATGGTCGCGGTGCGGACTGCGGGATTGGGGTTCGACACTGTGGTCGGACGCGTGGAAGGGCGTGAACTTGAAGGTGACGATGGAGACGGAGATACAGCCACACCCAGCCAGCAGCACGATGAGACATACGACGCAGATGGAGATACAGTACCGCAGCCCCAACACAGTGAGACGTACCGCAGGATGGTAGGGGAGGAGTACTTGCGCATGTGCGTCGAGGTGGTTAATGAGCGGTTCGGGTGGAATGAGGAGAGGAGGGAGCGCTTTCGGGCGGAATTGAAGAGGGCGATGGAACGGGAGGGGGAGGGCCTGGTAGACACAGGCTGGGAGGACAAAGAGGCCAGGAGAAGGCGGAAGAGGGAGGAAGGATTGGCGAGGCAGATGAGGACGAAAGAGGGAGAGAAGAAAAACGGTACGGAGGACGACGCGCCGACTTGGAGACAAAGAGGTTGACACGATCGACAATATCCTCGATGTGCTTGAAATCGGCTGAGCCATGCTTGACCCGCAGCCCCGAGGCGTCGACTGTCAGCCCGGCGGGCGAGATTTGGATGGCACTCGATGGTTTGCAAATGCTTCAGTTTTAGCGCGAGAGGACTGCGCGCCGCACATCTACACCTTCCTCCCCTTCGCCAGGAATGGTCGCCTCCTCGACTCGCCTCTCAGCAGAACCTCGTCGTCCATCCTCACAATCTCAAAGTCCGTCAAGCCAGCATCTTCAAAGTACTTCTTCAGCTCCTCCTCGCTGAAGCCCATATGCGCGACGGTGTGCCTGGGAAGTTGTTGGCCTGAAGATCCCTGCTCGTCCATCGCATGCGTCACAAAGTCCAGGATGAGAAACACGCCTCCTGTTTTCAAGCGTTCGACAAGCCGCGACGTCGCGAGAGCAATATCGGGAAAGTGGTGGAACCCCAGGCCTACGACAACTAGGTCGAAGTTGAGGAACTCCGGAGACGCGAGACCTTCGGGTGAAGGTTTCTTTGCATCGAGGAGATTGCCGACCACAGCATGTGCGTTTAGAATCTCATCTTCTCCATTCGAGATTTCGTCCGCGGATGGTGACGTGGCCCCAGGATTCGGCCCAAAGCGGAGATTATATGCTTTCACCATGTTCTCGCTGAGGTCAATGCCAATGTACTCGGTTGCGCGTGCGCCAAGGGCATGTGTTATTGTACCTGGGCCGCAGGCGTAGTCGAGCACGCGGACGCTTGGTACTGAGGCCTTTTCAAAGGCTGCTGAAGGATCGACGAAGTCGACGCCGATCCAGTTTACGTGCTGGTGAATGAAGGCAGTGATTTTGTTGAGCATGTCGCGTTGCCATTGTTCCGCCGAGTATTTGGAGGCGAAGTCACTGTTGGTTGAAGGGTTAGCCATCTCTGCCAATTGCATGACGGGAGTTTTGCCGTCGCTAGAGGCAGGTAGGATAGAGCTGGGAAATGCAGTGGTTACTTACTTCCAATGTGTACGGTTCGCCTCGGTAAATGCTGCATGGTCCTGATGTCCATGATGGTGGTCATCGCGATGGTTATGGTGGTGATTGCCCTCCGCCATCGTAAATGAGGCTATATGCAAAATATTGTTCAAGAACTCAATGTCTGCGAGGACGACAGGGCAGAGAGTCCCTCGCCAGCCTAGGCGGTCGGCCGTCAATATATGCACAGCGCACACTGCTCGAACAGTCGCCAATGTAGCCGGAGAAATACCAGCCAAAGTGACACCAGTGTGTTCGGAGAGTTTTTGACGTTCGCGGAGAGATGTTTAGTGGGAGCTGCGTGACACTTCGTGAAATAGCCGGAAGATATTTGCGACCGAAGTGCAGTATTGACTTCAATGTTGCGTCGTCTGAGCACTGGACCACACTGAGCAGCAGGTTTCAATTCGGCTGCAAGGGATTAAAGTCTGAGGGAAAGAGTCGAGTGATTGTCCTGCGGGATGTAAAAGTCGCCGAGGTCCACTGTCGCTGCGTGAACTTGGCATGACTTTTCTCTAGAAAGCTGTTAGTCTCCAGATGTGGTTCGGAAGGTGAGAAGGCGAGGCAGACATCCTCATATCTTGCGCTTGAGGGTTTGCGAGTATCCCTCGCAAAGTCACCTTCTGCACAATACTGTAGAGGGAGAAGACTCGCTACGTACTCAGTCGGCATTGATTGGACTTGGAATTTGCCCTCAGCTCTCACTCAGAGTCAACCTTATAAAACAACTTCTTCGCCGTAGGTGCCTGCGACTAACTCTCCCTGACGTCCAACCGTCGCCTCAGACCTGCTATCGAACGCTTAAACCTCCGGAGAATACCATTTTCATGTTTCGAAGAGTGTGATGCTGGTGGTCACTGAGGGCAGAAGTGGAACCAGACAGAACACAATTTCGCCCTCAACCCGTACATTGGAGAGGCCGCGACGCCCAAAACCATAGGGCTCGTAGTGCCCTCACGATATAGAAAAGATTGTGATCATTTCCAAAGAATACGCTGTTTTGTGAATCAAGGGCTGAAGTCCAGGCCGCCGAAAGTGCCCCTTGTAATGACGTCAACAGACGCGGCTCGACGCGTCCGAGTTTCACCGATTCCCTTCAAACAGGGTGTTGCGCTTATGTACTCCGTAGTATTGTGTGGTCGTACAGCTTCGTGAGTCGACGACAAGGAGAACTCGTCGCTGCCTGTTTCGTATATACATTACCCATCTCTAAAATACCTAGGTAGTTTACTCACGTGGTCGTGGGCTCTTTTTGGATACACGTCCCGGGCAGCAAAGATGCCAGCACGGAAGTCAGGGGCGTCCAAAAAGGCAACATCTGTCGCCACGAAATCTCACAAACGGCAGTTATCGGAGTCTACCCCAATAGCAACGCCTGGAAGCAGGGCATCAAAGCGAATCAAAGAGTCGGCTGAGAAGGAGCGTCGCACCAGCAATGTTATCCCAACAAAAAGCAAGTACTTCCACAAGCTGGATAGCGAGGACGACGACGTCGGCGATGATAGGGACGACGAATCCGGCTACGAAGACGAAGATGCATCAGCACCCGAGGAGCTGTCCAGCGATGATTCACTAGATGAGGACGATGATGATTCCGAGCAGGAGGTCAGGGAGCGCAAGACGAAGAGCAAAAAGGCTTCGAAGGGTGCTGGCGGTCTTGGAGCCGTCGTCAGTGCCGTCATGAAGAAGGGCAAAGAGCTATGGCGACCTGGCGTCAGGACAGGCTTGGGTCCAGGCAAGCAGGTGTTTATCGAAAAGCCCAAACCCAGAGGTAACGGAGGCGTTAAGTATCTGCCTGGAACCATCCACCCAAACACAATGGCATTCCTGAAGGACTTGAAGGCGAACAATGACCGGGAATGGCTGAAAAGTAAGCCTCTAATGAAGTGGTCGCTCTCCGATCCATGCTTGGGCAAGGTGCTACTGGGTGGGCTGTGGAAGCGGCACGAGACACGTCGGTGCTAACAACCGGCTGGCACAGTGCATGACCCCGACTATCGACAATCTTGGAAAGACTGGGAAAGTTTTGTGGAAGCGCTGACCGAAAAGATAACGGCAATCGATGAAACAATCCCGGAACTGCCGCCAAAAGACCTGGTGCGTCAAGCACCTTATCCCGTGCTTTACGCTCGCGCTGATGGGCTTGACCATAGGTCTTCAGAATCTACCGAGATATCAGGTTCTCTTCAGACCCTACACCTTACAAGGTTCGTGGCAATTCAGGACTCTTTCCAGGCTGTATGGGCATTGCTGACTCTACCTGCAAGCCACATTTTTCGGCAGCTTGGTGAAGCTCCCTGCTCGCTCGGCCCGGACGATATTTTTGACTTTTGATAGGTCTCGGACGGGTCGTAAGGGGCCCTATGCTTGTTACTATGTTCAAGTCCAGCCAGGGGGCAGAAGTTTTGTTGGTATGAAAGCTCGCTTTGTTTGTCCACGACTGTTTCTGAACTTTTTCACTCGACAGGCTCCGGCCTGTGGATGCCTGATGCCCAACCTTTGGCTCTGCTCAGACAGAATATCGACCGCAGACCGAAGAAACTGCGGCAGATTTTGACTGAACCTCAGATGCGGAAAAGGATTCTGGAAGTCAGCTCGAACGATGAGAAGAAGGCAATTAAAGCGTTTGCCGACCAGAACAAGGAGAATGCCCTGAAGACCAAGCCGAAGGTATGTGTATCTCTTCATCCTCCTTTGTTTCTCAACGCCGTCTCGTGTCTAGTGTGTGCTGGGCTCTAGGAGTCTGGCGCAGTGAGCAGTCATTGTTTCTAAGTCATCACGCGTCGCCATGCAGATCTTTCTCTGGTCTTGAGAAAGCCATTGGTGTAGACCACGGACTTTAAGCAGTAGCTACTGTGATTCAAGTAGCCCTGGTTCTGGTCGGAGTCCGTCAGCAGCTCGCCGTCCAGATTTAGGGGGCGCAGCATTCTCAGACTCGTGGATTTGCCTCCGCAGCAGCCCGGGGGTGAAGTGGGTGAGCGTGCAGGCCACTAATACGCAAAGCGGGAAAAAGGAGAACCAAGTGACTGAGCACGTATTGACGCCACATTTCATATTGAGACGGATCGCGATTGCATTGCAACTGCGAATGCCACTGCGACCGCGACTTGGGGGCATGAGCTGCAGAGTGTACGAGTCAGGGCAGCAGTCAGGGAGTTGCAGTTGCCCCTCGTTGTTGCCACCTCCCGGGTGTTCCCTGTTGACCTCAGTGGCGGGTGACAAGCCGCCCGCGCTCTGACCACCGATGGTCCAGTACCACAGTACTCCTCGGGAACGAGCACGCACGCAGATCGGAACTCACCTCTGTTCGACTATCTCGTCTCGCTACCGCGTGCTCTAGATCTCACTGACGGTTCCACTGTGACAGGGTTACGAGGCTGATAATCCAAACATCGAGCTTCTTCGTCTGCGCAACTTCACTTTGGGCAAGAGGATTCCGGACGAGAAGGTCGTTGGTGAGCACGGGCTGCAGACCATTCTGGACTTGATTGGCGTCATGGTTCCATTCGTAAGTCCACCTCTTCGCCTCCAATCTGCGTCGGTCCACGACTCGGAATGCCCACAAAAAACTATCACGCAAACTCCGGCCATGACTCGCTCCGGACTTTGGTGAGAACTCGTGGCGTACACTTTGCAAGGGCCTTCAGGCCCAATCATACCTCGACTAGGTGCGACTCGGTGGTGGAGAACTGGCATGTGCAAAGGCAAAGAAGGCGGGCCGACTTTAGCCCAAAGCCAGTTCAGAAAAGAACAATCCAGCGTGATCAGTCGTGCCCAGCTCCCGAACTTCTCTGACCCGATCCATGAGAGGGCGTGCGCTGACGAAAGTTCAACGACCAGGTCACATACCTCAACAGCGTTGTGATGCCAGATGAGGATGAGTCCAGCAGTGACGACTCTGACGGAACCACAGAATAAGGTGATGGTTTGGCCTATTGTGGTGATGTGAACCTTGCCACCGCCCGTGTCCGACCATGAGCAAGGACCCGGAGCTGGCTCCAGGGCGCCGCCCGTGCTCTGTGTGTACAGTAGTATCTCATTGAAGAATGGCATGTCAGGACATTGCCTCAACATCTTATGTAGCGACCACCGACCTTACAGCCAGTTTTCGTTGTTGCTGGCATGTTTTGGCTTTTAGGATCGTTAGATGATATGGTTGTCGATGAGGTCACCTGTTGGCTGTCCTGAGCGGAGAGACTCGTGCGCTGTGGCTTGCAAAGATTGTGTTGCGTTACATCTGCCATCGCTGTCCGTTCGAGTCAGTGGGCCCGACGGGATAACCCAGGAAGACCAGCTGACCAAGTACCATGGAGCATGCGTGGTAGCGTGCTTAAGTTTCGCAAAAGCAAGGATAGGCCCTTGCAGTGTTGGACTTCTAATGGTGGCTCTCTCTTTGGGACGTGGAGCATGGTCTTTGAGGCTTTCAGCTGCGAAGTTAGAATTCCCCATTTTGCCTTTGACGTGGAAAGCATCCGGAATATGGCACCATCCGTGGCAAGACCAAGTCGCAAAGGCAAAGCCCGCACAAGCAAGGGAACTGTCTTCGCAACTTCATCATCGAGAGGTACAGTGATTGCGTCCTTGTGTCCTGGTGTTTGCTTCACCCTGCCCTCACCTAGCGCTTCGCTGATCATGAGGCAGGGGAAATGGCGGTGGGCAACTTCCCTGTGGGGCCTTGCTCACTAGAGGCAAGGCGCCTAACCCATCAGCAACAAGCCCGCCTCGTCTCGTCTCGGCTGCAGCACAGTACATCAACCTCAGATCATGTGACGCGGAGCACCCTTTTCAAATGACCGTCTGTCAAAAAGACAAACACGAGCCGAGGTCAAGCAGATCGAATCGTAACGTACCGGTACCACGATACGGGACGGGATCTGGTCCAACTGCGCCGTTACAGTAGGAG